GACGAAGAAGGTGCATCATGCACGTTCGACAGCCTGCATCTCGCCGCCGCCGTTCAGCCCCCCGAACAGCCCGCTGCCAAGCTTACCTCTATCCTCTTCTTCCGAGAAGAGACCCCACCACCAGTCGCACCACCTGAGAATGGCGCAGTCGACGGTGGACCTTCGGACGGCGCTTCCTTTCCCTGCGACCCACAGGCTCACCACGAGCGAGCCTATCTCTGATCAGACCAGTTTACCGATCAGGAAGACGGCCAGACACCGATACGATACTACTGGTCGGGCGAGGGATCTACAGCCACCTCATGTGGTCAGTGTTGGCCCTGCTGCTGTTTAGGTTGCACCCCTCGCTGACGTCTATCTGCCAGGACACGATAGCAGAGACTATACCTACTGCTGCACCTTCGGAAGTGCAAGTGCAATGGGGATATGCGATTTGAATCCAACTTGGACACATTCTTTCTCCTGCTCTGTTGCTCTTTTGCTTTGGGCTATTTATTACATTCGTTCAATGTTGATACGACTTCAGTCTTGAAGACTACCTAGAATAAAATGCAACTACGGACAGAAAACAAATGGCAACCCCGCCATATGATCATATGTACTTGTATCATTATATCTGTAATATATGTTCAGCGAAGTCCTTCGGGATGTCAACACACGTCGTAGATTCGGCTTTCAGACGCTAGTCATAAGAAGAAACACAATTGCCAATAGCTGCAGGTTCTGAACCGACTCGCAAGTCGACTTGGCGCAGAAAGTTCGCAGTAGGAGCGCGTCTTTTATTTATCTTTTTTCGTCTCCGGCTTTTCCTTTTGCGACTTGGGCTGGGGTGCGGCATGTTGGCGGTCTTCCAGCACGGAAACAATGATGTACGAGACGAGGACGATGTTGGCAGCGATGATGGCGGTAATGGCTGCGTAGGTCGCGTTTCCTGCATGCCAGAGTTCAGTCACGTTCTTCAGTCAAAGATAATATAGCATGCACCCTCCCAGAGATAGTTCAGCGAGCCAAAGTACGAGGCTATAGGAATAACGCCCAGAGCGATGCTGAAAGCCAGTAGTCTGGCCAAAACACCCCTGCAGATGCGTCAGTATACGAGACGATGACAAGGAAAAGGCAACATACCCGCTTACGGCTTGAGCATTGAGGTTACTGGCAGCGGCTTGTGCACTCATGAGGAAAGTTGTCCAAGGAATACGATGACGAAATGCGTCCGAGACGTGTTCACGGTCGCGTGTGCACGTGAGGGGCAATGACCTTCGGCAACCTTGATTCTTGAACTTCAAGGTTGTTACTTCCCTACATTCTACACCGAAGGCGACCATGGCGTCGGAGAGCAAAGGTCCACCGCCGTCTGCTACGCTGAAGAAAACGGCTTCGACAACAAGCCTGCGGTCTTCAAGTTCTGTGATTTCGGACTCGTGGCTGCAGTGGGACATCCTACCCTCGGAATGGGATATTTTCTGGTTGTCGACCGCGATAAAGCTGCTGCTATACCCCTCCTAGTTAGTGACGTGTCTTTGTAAACCTTTCGATGCAGCTCATATGTTCCAGTCGGTCCACAGATTTTGAAGTGCACCGGAATTGGCTTGCTATCACATATACTCTTCCCATCTCCAAGTGGTATTACGACGTGCGTCTTTCAGATTTGGAAATGTCACTTTCTGTTGACGAAAGTCTGTAGACGACGTCCGAATGGAGTGAATACCTCTTTTGCCGTCTCTCTGGACCAGGAGACTGACCACGCCTTGGCCTCGCAGCACTGGATTATCCTCCCTTCTTCGCATACTTCGAGAAGCTACTTTCAATACCAGCTTCATTCATCGACCCTAAAATCGTGGACCTGAATAACCTCAACTATGACGCGTGGTCCGTCATCGCCTACCAAAGAACGACGGTTATCCTCACTGAGCTGGTCCTCGGAGCGGTGTTGCTCAGGCGCGTGCATCTATTTTACTTCAGACCCGGTTCTATCGCTCATTTTCCTACTGAGCAGATTCATACGTGGCTCGGTTGATCCTTCAATGCAGCGGATTGTATCTGCTTCTCTGTTCCTACACCCAGGATTCCTGATCGTCGACCACATCCATTTTCAATACAACGGGTTCATGTACGGTATCCTCCTCTGGTCCATTCTGATGGCGCGCAATGTGAGTAGTGGTGATTAAACGACCGCATTACGCCCTCTCTAAACGTCCGATTTTCCAGGGCAACAAGCTCGCTAGTGGGATCTTGTTCGCGGTCCTTCTCAACTTTAAGCATATTTACATGTACCTGGCCGTAAGCCCAGCTCCCTGTTTCTCACTTCGCGGCACTCAGTAGGACGTCAACAGCCAGCATACTTTGTCTATCTCCTTCGGTCGTTTTGCATGTCGCCGACAGGTCAAATCGAGACTAAAAATTTCCTGTCCCTTGCGAATGCTGTAATTGCGGTGTTCGTAGTGTCTCTGGGCCCTTTCGTACTGATGGGACAAATTCCCCAATTACTCTCAAGACTGTTCCCTTTTACCCGCGGGTTGAACCATGCATACTGGGCCCCCAATTTCTGGGCGTTGGTAACAGCTGCAGACCGCGTTCTTTTAAAGTGCAAGTGCGATCTTTCGTAGCTATCTCTCGAGCTAATACAGTCCTTTTAGACGCCCAACTCACCGGCGCTAATCTCCCCATCAACGAGTCCGGAGTAGTGTCAACATCGCGCGGGCTCGTTGGCGATACTGTCTTTGCGGTGATCCCCAACATTAAACCATTCCACACGTTCGTGATTACCATCGCATTCCAGCTGGTCCGTCCCCATGCCCTGACTCTTATGAAATTCATCTAAACGTTCATAGGTATGGTTAATCAAACTATGGAAGAGTCCAACGTACAAGTCCTTTTTGACGGCATTGACGCTTTCTGGATGGACCTCATTCCTATTTGGGTGGCACGTACATGAGAAAGCCGTGCTTTTGGTCCTGATTCCGTTGAGGCCAGTCTTTTTGTTTTTCTTGTCCTCGTATTTTTGTTGCTCCTCGCTGACCGGCTATACTATTTAGTTTACTCGCTGCCGAGAGGCATGCTTATTTCAGAACCTTCGTTCTTGCAAGCGTTGCAGGCGTTTTTTCGCTCTTCCCCTTAATCTTCACTCCAGCCGGTGCGTCTAGAAAGATCTCGTACCCTCGCCACCTTTACTCATATCTTCATGATAGAATCGATAATCAAGGTCGTTTACTCCATCCTGTGGATAGCGGCTATTTATGTTCCCTTGAGCCGACGGGTGTATGAGTGAGCACAACCTCGTCTTCACCGCTTAATATCCACTAATCCACGGCGCGAATGTTCACAGGTACCCAAAGTCCATCTTTTATGTCATCATTGATTGGCTAGAAAAAGCTTACTTGGCTGGGTTTCCCTTCTTATTACTCTTTGTGTCCGCGTTTCCCCTTCTACAAGGTCAAACTGCCGCTGAGGCTTCTGTGGAGTCGTGTGTACCTTCAGAAACCACATCCTGCCCTGCACCTCAGCTCGTGGTGAAGCAAACTGGTTCGACCGTGTCAGCGCTAGAATTTTTGCCACTCATGGTGACCAGCGTTTATTGTTCCGTTGGTCTGATCTGGAGCTTCATGCGGTTGTGTTTCATATTCCTCCACGAAGAGACGACCTACCAAGGGCAGCTGAGCGAGGTCAAGTAGACTTGTATACACTACATTTGTATATTTAATAGAGCTACATCAGTGCGCGAAGGGCAGATAAGATATATTTCGAACCCCCGGTGGTATGTTTTTACTTTTTGGAAATATGGACGACTGAAAACATGGTCAGCTATCAAGCCAAAAGAAGGCGCGAACATGAAACTCACCGTCTTCATCTTCCAAAACGTGTTCCAGCCCGACCTTCTGTCCGCGCGCATGCTTTGCACTAGAACCCCAAACAATCGCACTGTGCAAAAGCCAGTTGTAAGCACGCAACATCATGTATCCCATAGAAGAGACGGATATTTACTATTTCATCTGTTTGGCAATTTCCTTGTGGATAGCGTTGCAAAAGTCTTCTACCGTGCACTTGCCATTCCGAAGCACGACAGGCGTACTGTAGTCTGGAGCCAGACCACGCGGTTTCGTGTAGACGCGGACAAGATTAAGCGTCGACCACATTTTATCAATGAGCTCATCGATGTTTAGCCATTCTTTGGATGAGATTGGAACCGACATAGGGATCTTGTACCTGTTTGAGATGGTGAACACGTGTTAGGAAGTGGCCAGGCAGAAAAAATGGCATACAGAAGATCCAGTTCTTCGATGGAAATCGCGTCTATCTGAAGACTATTCTTGGCTATGTTCAAGTAGAGGCAATAGCGGGCTAACCTTGTTCAGCACCTGCAGCCAACAACGTGAGTTCAGAATACAAATAGGCGGTGTGGAGAAGATTTACGTAGATTGCTGGAATATACACGCTGCAGAGATAAATTAAGCACGCATACTCTAGGCGGCGGGGAAGGTTAGAACATACCGGTTTCCTTCTATCACATCGACAAGATCATCAGCGGTTGCGTTTGCTTCTCGAATGGCGACGTCGGCGTTGCTAATCTTGTATTCGCTCAAGATGGCCTTGATTTCATCTTGGTCGATGTTGGTTAGTGGGACTGTGTTCGTAATGGCGATTCCACCCTTTTCCTTTCTCCGAACGGTGATATTAGGTGGTCGTTTGTTCAAACGTATTCCGAAGCCCTCTAATTCAGATTCGATAATCTTCTTATCTCCCAAGGGTTTTAGAACATCAAGCACGATGAAGATGAGGTTGCAGGTTCGGGCGACTGTGCGCAGTTTTTAGTCGTCTCGTGTTGGAGTTGACGAGATGGGTCGTGCATACCGGCAATAACTATTTTGCGAGAATCAGTACCAACATAGAATAAGCGCATATTATTAGTTTTAGCTTACCTTGTCGACCACGACCTCTGCCGTCGTTTGCACCTTCGATGATACCAGCTGTACGCGTGCTGTAAGAGAGGCAGCTTGAGATAATAATACGGCATACTAACGAAGATCCAGAATTTGGATAGGTGCACCGTGAACTTTGACTGTACCGGGTACTGTGGTTAGTGTGGTGAAGTCGATCGCCGAAACTTCAGAATGTGTGCCCGTTAGTTTGGACATGAGGGTGGACTATAAATGCAGACATGAGCTTTGCAGCAAGTGAGGCGGGGAAGGACGCACCTTTCCAACTGAGGGAAAGCCCACAAATCCAACGGATGCTACGCCAGTTCTGATATTCCGGCAGATGAGGCTGGGGTTCGACGTGATTATCTTGAAAAATGTATTTACATACCGTGCGACATCGAAACCAATACCTCCTCCTCCTCCCCCGCTGCCGGTAGAGGGGCTGATAAGTTCGCGCCGTAGCTTTGCGAGCTTAGCCTTGAGCTGACCAAGATGGTAGCTTGTGGCCTTGTTCTTTTGGGCTGAAACGCGGGGTGAATAGTGATTGATCTGGCAAAGTGAACGGCATACTTTTGGCCTGGGGAAGAGATTAGACAAAGGATACGCGCGAATAGTGGTGTACACACCATCTCATCTTCGATTTCCTGTCATACGGGGTTTGCATTAGGGAATGGGAGCACAATAGAACAGCATTACCTTTATCTTCTGAACTGTGGTCATTGTGCAAGAAGTGTTCGGCGTTTGCCGGCTGGGGCCTGTTTGGGTGATCGATGTTTGCACTCTCTCTTCGCCGCCCAGGCTCTGTCCGTGTCGTCTCGCTGTCTCACCGTCGCTAGCCTCCTAGCAGCCCGTTCCTTTCCCCACCGCTCGTTGCACCACACCTACAACCATATGCCACTGGCTGGTCACCATTCCACCTCCATCTCATAGCCCCCCACCACCGCTCACCGCCCCCTACCTCCCTACTCCCGCAAGCCCCAAAGCTCATACAAACCATGTGTTGTGGAGGTCCCAAATGGAAGCGAGAGGTCGTGCCCGACCACAAGGTCAGCATCTTGTCTCGTTCAGCGTCCTAGAGACCGCGGCTGACACCTTGCTACCCACAGTTCGACTTCATCAACACGCAAGAATTCAACGATCGTGGGTTCATGATGCGCATGAAGTACGTCTCGCTCAGGAAGACCGTGAATCTCTTATAACGTTGCTCCAGGTACCTATGGGTCTACATCATCGTCCTCAAGTCATTCTTGGTCTATGTCCTCGATATCTTCTCCGCCATAACCATGTTAACCACCAACAACTGGTCCAATGAAATCTTCAAGCAATGCGCGAACATCCAAGGTTGCTTTTTCATCCCATTTAACACTGGAAAATGGCTTTTCGTGGGCTGTATCATCGTTTCCTTCCTGTTGGCAAGTCGTTTTCCCGATTTGTCAAGTGAACCCAGCCTCATCAGTCGAGACAGTTGGCATACGAGTCGAGGAAAGCGAAGAAGATCATCGCCAGTCGAGATATATCCTACGCGTTCACCAACGTAATGGCCAACAACTACTACTCACTTCGTCGGTCATCGTTATTCCTGTGCGTTCTCCTAACGCTGACGACCTCTAGGCTCGTATGATCACTTCTGCTTCTTCGACCACATCAGTAATTCCACGAAGACCAGCGACGACTTTGCTTTCTTCGTCTTCTTCGTCTTCAAGAGTGCGTGCAGATCATTGTGCCTACAGTTTGGTCCTAACCCCGTTTCTAGGCTGGAAGCGGTTGCTATTAGCAGACACCCCACGCCAAACCATCAATGCCCTCACGCTGTATGCAGTGTGGCTGGTCAAGAAGGACAACAAGGGAGAGTGGTACGACGTCACCAAATACTTCAAGGGAAACAGTTTGTCCACGTCTGCCTTGACGATCACGTCGTTCTTCACCGTGGCTATCTGTGCTGGCTCTCTGCTGCTCCTCTTCGTGGCAGCCATCTGCTATGTCCCGCTTCTCTTGCACATCCGTGGTAACCTCAAGGTAAGCAACCATTTCTATTGGATTCTCACTTGATTGACTGGTTGTCCAGGAATATTGCTGCCACAAGGTTGATAAGGTAACACCTCTCATCTAGCCGTTCTGAATTCCTCTAATTCATGTGCTCTAGCGCATTGGCGATATTATGAAGCGTAAGCAGAAGGAACGTCGCGCCGCGGCAGCCAAACTCGCTCAGAAAGAAGCGATGGGTGATTACTCGCACCTGAAGAACAAGAAGGGTGAACTTATCGCTCAGCCGCTTCCTCAACCAACACTACCCAACCTTTCAGTCGACGATGATGACGACGCTTCATCGATGCACACGCGCGTCGCCCCCAGCATCGCTCCAAGCAAGTATACCCAAGACTACTACTACGAGAAAGGCTCTGAATACCCGCCTCCGATGCCCGCCTACAACCCCTATGCCACGCACCAAGGTGCTGACAGCTACGCCCAATACAACCCCTCTTCCGCAACGATCCATTACGACGACCCCATTTACCCTCCAACGCACAAGATGTATGATGACGATAACGAAAGTACTGCACACCTAGCCGTATCCGCAGCTCCGTTCGCACGCGACCCAGTTGATCGACAGGGTTCGCCGTACGGGTCCGCACGCGGCGGCAGCTACGATCCACACGATGTGTATCAAGGCCGCGCTGGGTCAACACCGCCCCAGCAGCATCCCGGACACCGCCACTCACCGCCAGGTTCGGTCGGTGGTGGGCTCGCCTATGACGATGCGAGCTCAATGCAATACACACAATCGCCAGTATCATACACATCACCGTATGGTGGTGGTGCCTATCCTAGTGGTGCGAATCCGTCAACAGGTTCGCAACAAGCTGGCAGAGGGTACGATCATGATCCAGGGTATAGTCGAGGGCAAGGAGGTTATCAGGGCCCTGTATAGTAGTTGTCTCGTAGATAGTCCCATTTTCCCGTTCACTCGTTCCTTTTATCCCGATTTACTACCAGTACTAGTTACTTTTCCCTGCTATCCTGACGGGTTTCATGTATAACATTTGCTCGATTGAACAATTTCTCGCGAGATTTTGTGCTTTCACATAGTTGACCTATAAAGGACTGTGCATAGATATTCATCTTCATTGTTTTCCATTGCGAGAATTGGGATCGTTGCGTTCACTCTGGAACGTCCGTCATATATTATCTGATTCCACTACGTTGAATAGTTCACGAGAACCTAATCCATACGCGACAAAGCGCGATAATCAGCCAGATAGCTTCTCCCAGGCTATAACTACGATGAGCGTAATAAGGACTGCAACAATTCCAATCGTGACAGCACGTTGTTGATACATCCTGCATGGAATGTTGTCAGAAAAATCTGTCACAATATTGGCTCAATGCTGAGCAGAGAAGGCCGGGACATGCATACCGTCGAACCATCTGCTTCAGTGTGCTGGAGGCACGATCAATTGCGAGGTCTGCACGTTCGAGCTGAACAAACCGAATGAGATTACGGCAAGCCTTCACGGCAATGCAGAGAGATGTACCGTATTTCTCGAGTTCTCGATTTGCTCTCTCTGCGTTCTCAGGTTCATTAGGATGTCAGCACCTTGGTTCTCTGTCTCTAATGCGAGCTGCTGCGACTGCTGTAAACGCTTTGTACCCTGCTCTAGGGCATTTGTGCCGGCGAGCAAGCGTGTTCGGTCGCTCGAGGAGTTGTAAGGATCGTCAGAGGAAGAGTAGGCGTTGTTTGATGAGGAAAGTAGGTCTGCACGGGCGAGTTGTGCACGGGAGTCGGCTAGGAGCTTCTTGTACCGCGAGAGGTCTGCCTTGGCGGCACGTAGACGGGTGTGGTATTGGGCGCGGACAGATTGAGGGATCCCTTGGATCTCTATTTCCATTTGAGATACCTAACAGGAGCATTAGCACAGGCATCTAAATGCATCTGAAGGAGGCAGACCATCTCATCCGCTTCATCTAGGTCCATCTCTGCTCTCCTGAGGGTAGCCTTCTTCTGCTCTGTATAATTTCCGAATCCCCTTCAGCAACTAGGCAAACTTGGATGATCCCAAACGCACCGCCGTTAGCCTCCGTCTCACTGCTCTCTAGGTTCTCCTTGATGGTCTCAATGAACTGTCGAAAGTCCTGCTCATACGAGTCGAATAGAGCGGTGGGTGATGTATCCATGTTGGCTAATAAGTACGGAGAGGTCGTGAGTTTCTGGTCCACCAGGGAGCGACTGCGGGGGATATCTAGAGTGGCCGTGGCGGTAGCAGAGTAAGCACCGAGTATGCAATGGGGCACAGCCACCACTGTCCAGCACAGGCCGGCCCGATTGGGATGATGACGGTAACGAAAGAAAGACGAAGTTGGTCTCTGCAATCATGTCGGCCAATGCGTATGTCTTCTCTGTTGGATTTCTCGCGTTTCTAGAGGGCTAATGGCGATTGTACAGGGTTTCGCTGTATCTTGACCCCCAGATACGGGACTGGGTCCTGTTCCCAATTACCCTGGTCATGGTGCGTGTCCTGCCCGCTGCTTGTCCTGCCCGCTGCTTGTCGTTCAGACCTTGTTGATCACAAGTCCCTCAGATATTAGTGGGCTTCCTCAGGCATTATGTCGTAGTATTGCTCCAATCACCGCCGAAAAAGCTTCCACGGGCGGCCATACGCGAGCAGTGCGTGTTAATCTTCCTTTCGAGCGAGCTTCATACTCACTATTTGTCCTATGCCTCAGACGGGCATTGGCGCGCGCACAAATACTCCGAGCGACTGCGGTACACTCACCCATCCCACCACAAACATACACATCTATATCCAACTATCTCTCCGATGCGTTCGCGACTGGGGCCTACCTCAAAGACGGACCGCCTAAAGGCGACGGCCCATCCACTGCCCCAAACCCTATGACCGACCCTGCAGCTATGGACGGCATGATGGCAGGCATGAAGACGCAGATGGTCATGATGGTCCCCCAGATGATCATCATGGGTTGGATTAATTTTTTTTCCAAGGCTTCGTGTTGAGTGAGTAAACCCTTACACACGAGTTGCGACCGGTCTTGACAGAACAAACAGTCAAACTCCCTTTCCCCCTGACTCTGGGATTTAAATCCATGCTACAGCGCGGCATCGAGACGCCTGATATGGACGTGCGATGGGTGTCGTCCTTGTCGTGGTACTTCCTCAACTTCTTCGGCTTGAATGGCCTGTACCGACTGGTCCTCGGTAATGATAACTGTGCGTTTGTTGCGTCTTGCTCAGGGCCTGCGCTTTTCTTTCTTACGCTCGACCCTTCCTCGTTCACAGCGGCCGACTCTTCACAGAGCATGACAGCATCACCCTTCGCTGGAGGTGCCACCGCAGCGGGTCCGCAAGACTATGCTAAGCTGTTTAAAACAGAGAAGGATAACCTTGAATTCTCGGAAGGACTGTATAACTGGGTGGGCAAGGACGTAGAAGATAGAGTTCTCCGTAAATACGGCAAGCTTGCCCCGGCCTACTAAGTGCCGTCATGGGCACTAATCTAAATTATTTTTCCTCTTCGCTGCGGAGATGAGAGCCAGGAAGAATAGTAGTAATTGGAGAAGTGGTGATAAAGGGTACAAGCTACAATTCATTTCGGTTGTCGTTACAAATAAGTAAGTCAAGGACGCCATGCGACCACTATACTCGTCGATGGCCGAGATCGCAGTCTACCGTGGATTAATACCAGAGCACCAGAAGACGTATATAGATGTGAAATAGAAGTGATGTGGGTATCCTGCTCCACCTCGAGCGGCCGAAGGGATTGCAGTAAGGGCAATAGGCTCGTGGAAGTGCAAGAGGGTAAATAGTTTATTATACGAGCCCATCGTATAGTGACAGTGCCTACGCAACGGCTTAATAGGGATCGAGAAGAGGAGGAAACGGTGCTCACCTGGACGATGGTAGGATCTTGCTTACTGCCCTCTACAAACTCATCGTAGGTGAGTTTGGCATCCTTATCCTTGTCCATGTTCCTGAAGATCTTGTCGACACGCTAGGGAATCGAGGTGATCGCTTAGATGGGGGAACGGCAGCGGAGGTCGATGAGATATAAATACCTTCTCAGGGGTGTCCTCGTCTGAAGGGAGCTTGACCATCTCGCCGGTCATCTTGTAGATAGATTGCACTATCTGGAGCATCTCATCGTAGGTGATGGTGCCATCTTTGTCGATGTCATAGAGTTGGAAGGCCCCTGAGGTGCGATTGGGTAAGAAAGATGGCCGGAAGTTGGCGATGGCACAGGCGCTAAGAAGGCCAAGCGAGGATACAAGAAGATTATGCGCGCTCACATTTCAATTTTTCCTCGAGATGACCGCGGCTGGTGACGGAGAGGGCGCAGATGAACTCTTTGAAGTCAATCTGGCCGCTCTTGTCGGCATCGAAGACGTTGAAGACGTGGTCAGCGAACTCTGCGGGGTCGCCGAAGGGGAAGAATTGCTTGTATATCCGGCTGAACTCTGCCTTGTCGAGATGGCCCGAGGGACAGTCCTTCTTGAATCCCTTGTACCTGCGAAAAAAGATATGAACGAAGATGCATCGGGTGGGAGACGCGCCATACCATTGCTGGAGCTCCTTCTTGTCGACTACACGCTATGTCAGCAATTGGACGGCGAGCAAGCGAGATGACTGACAGTAAGTATTCTTTTGGAGGTCTGCGAGCTGCTCTGGAGAGAGTTTTGACTGCGACTTGCCCATGGTGGATGATGAGGAGAAAGAAGGAAGGGAGAGTATTTGGCTCTTGGCTCAAACGTGTGCAGTTAGCGCCTGCGAGGCTGTACGGTGCGATCTTATCTGGCCGGCTGCCGAGTTGGGCCGCCTCGAGGCAGCAGAGAGCGTGCTGCTTAGTCGTGTATCGATCCAGGAAAATATTATTTCTGTTCGTCGCTCAGGCTCTTCCTTGTCGCAGCAGCCGCCAGGCCTCCGCATGTTCCAGCCATGTCTGCAACACCACAAAGTACAAATAGACAACACCCCTCTTTCGGATACCGCCACCTCCGCGCAACATGTGCTACTCCTCAGGCTCAATCGACCAAATCTGCCCCATGTGCAAAGTATACCCCCATCCAAAGTAAGCACCAGCTGCTGTTGCTGTTGCCCGCAGCGAGAGCCCATGCATGTCGACCCAGGTGCCCACACATCCGTGAGACGTGCCGGAACAGAACCCACCACCCCCGCATGGATGTCCTATATCTGAAGAATGCCGAAGGTATACGCCCATCGCGGATGCTCTAGCTACCTGTCGTTGACCAGTCGATCCCACAGTCGAGAGCTTCAATGGCTGCGGCTACTGCAAGGTGCGTCTTCCGGCACATCCCCCACTATCTCTTCTTGACACCGTCCGATAGTGGGCCAACAAGGACCCCACTCCTCCTCCCAAGCACTTGGGATACAGCAATCCTGGATGGCCAGGATGCTGTCGTTCACCCCAGCCTAACGAGTACCTTCTCGTGCCCATCGCGGACTGGCCGGCAGTCAGTGTCGTCCATCGCATCGGGATCCCCAAGGACATCGAGTCTCTCCTCAGCTCCCTGGCACTCCCTTCCACGCCTTCCAAACCAATCAGCGTTCAGACCACTTCTCTGACGACTCGAGCACCACCTTCAAAGCCGTCCAGCCCCTCTTCCATCCGGAAAAATAGCGGGTCAATCACCCCGTCCACCAAATCAAACATCCTCTCCACCAAGCCTATGAACACTCCAACCATAACGCGCGGTCGAAGCCCTCACGGATCCATCAGTCCAGGTGCCAATCTCTCACGGAGCTCGAGCTCCAGTGCAGTTTCGTCTTCAGTACCGAACTCCTCATACATGGAGAACCCGGCCCGGCGGAAGGGAACATTGACATCAGACCGGCGCGTCGAGGGAACACAATCAGCGAGTTCCTCACCTAGCCGTAAATCTCTCGATCTCGAGAATCCGGTTTCTCCCCGGCGCGTCTCGAGTGCTCGACGCCCTGCTCCCTCTCCCGCCACTACGTCGGTGTCCGTTTCAAGAGTTTCCGTTGCCGATAGTCGCTCGGTGCAAGATAAATCAGTCAGGTCGCGTGGATCCTCTGTCTCGAGCGTCAATGTTGCACCTCGCGTGACAGAGAGTTTCCTTGCCCCGCGTTCGAAGAAAGATGACGATTGCAGCGCATCCAGCAGCAGTGGTAGCAGCGATGGTATGGGTTCACTGTCGGACAGCACCGTGACGTCGGATGGCGGGTTCACCGACTATTTGTCGGACGAGTCAGAGGCAGAACTGCAGAGACAAGCTGAAGCAAGAGCAGCGGTGGTTGCACAGAATCAACAGGAGGAGCAGGAGTTCAAGATGGCAAGACAGCAGCTCGCCCATGTCGGCCTCAAACCCCCAAAGTCCTGGAACCCCAACAATACATTGCCGAACCCGTCCAAATCCTCCGCCTCGCCGGGTGGGACCCTGTCTACATCCAGAAATGCCAATGTTTCAACGACTTCTTTCGCAGTTGCTGCTGCTGCGATGATGCAGACCGGTCAGGCGCGCGGTTAGGGAGTCAAGGTGATGGTGGATGACAAGGGTGATTCCCTGATTGGATGCAGCGTCGTTCACGCCTTGAGCGCTTGAATTCTCATTTAGGGTTTCTCTTGTCATGTTGTATGTATCTGTAGCCCTTGGAGTAGATTGAATGCCTAATATTGTATCCCCTGTCGGTGTTACGCGTATCACCTCACAAATGTATGGACTCGTGGACCGTGCATGTGACTGGTCCATAGAGAGGGTCCATGGTTACATCAGATACCCCAGATTTGGGCATCACCGATACGTTAAGCGGTGACTCTGAGCTATACACCCTTGCTCATCTGCCTCCATGAACTTGGGACGCCATTCAATATCGTCCACAAACCCCGTCAACGTCCTCGATGCCAGATTTGACCCAGAGTGTAACATCTTCACGGCCACGACACAAGCTGGCTTCGCCGTCTATCGCACCCATCCTCTGCAGTTGATCCGGAAACGCGGTAGTGTCCCATTCATCGTTGTCAGAATGACGCCGTCTGATACTGTCGCCCACAGAGCTGACTGGCGGCACGCTATCAACGGCTCTACCATTACATTCGTCGAACATTCTATTCTTACTCGGTGGCGGTCCCAGTCCTCTTTATCCTCCGAACAAAGTTATCTTGTGGAACGATGCACTGGGGAAGGAGATCGCGGAACTGGAGTTCAGGGAGAGAGTGAGGGGTCTGGCGTGTAGGCGGGGGTGGCTGGCTGTATCCCTGCGACGACGAGTGGTTGCATTTCAGATCGGGGATACCATTTTACGATATGGAGAATGGGATACAGGGGACAACCCACGAGGTGAGAATTGTATCCCCTCGCTTGCATCCCCTGTTGGAACTCTGAAAGCCGTGTTCCCTGTGTAGGACTCCTGGCATTGGCTACAGCCCCGTACTCGACCTTGTTGGCGATTGCCGGACGACAGATTGGCCATGTCCAGTTAATCCACCTCCCGCCATGTCCGCTACCTGCCATGACCGGTCCACCTTCATCGTCGCCTCCTCGGAAACCCCCGCCTCCTCCTTCGAAGCATCCAGTATCCATAATAGCTGCTCACGCTACAGCCCTTACAACACTGTCGATTCCGGCTTCGGGCCGATTACTTGCAACAACATCGACTCGAGGGACGTTGGTGCGAATATGGGATTCTGTTACCGGGAAGCTTGTTAGGGAATTTCGCAGGGGTACTGATAAGGCGGACATCTATGGCGTAGCTTTCCGGCCGGACGAGCAAGAGCTCTGTGTCTGGAGTGACAAAGGCACTGTGCACGTCTTCACCTTATTAGTTTCCGGGTCCACGTAAGTATGCTTTGGGCCGTACACGATGCAGCTTCTCAACCATTCCGTTTTAGAAACCGACAATCCACGTTCTCCCCTCTGACACCGTTCTTGCCACTTCCAAAGTATTTCGAGTCCGAATGGTCGTATGCGCAGTACAGGATACCCGTACAGTCCGCCCACATATCCCTCTCGTCGACATCTCGATCGTCGGCTGCCGATCTTCCCGACGAAGAGCGCTGCGTGGTGGGTTGGATACAAGGGCCTGCTGAGGATCCTTCGCTGCCAGGATCAACCCCCGATCACCAACTCATTGCGCTTACTTTTACGGGAGGCTGGTACCGTCTGTCTCTACCCAAACTCACCGGGCACACCAAGCGCGCATCTGGATCAGTATCACCTTCTGGCCTCGTGTCCAGCTCGCCTCCCAAATCGTCTCAACTGTCTCGTGCTCACTCTGTGAGCGGATCGTCGGTTACAAGTCGGGCAGACAAAGGGAAGGGCAAGGAGAAGGAGAAAGAACGCGAGAAGGACAGCAGGAACTGCACACTACAAGAATATCGTCGATATGGAAGGTGGGATGGCTGGGGTTGAATATTTCTTTCATTAATATGTACACCGCCCTACACTATGTCTTTCCTATTGGCTCTCTGGGTGTTCAACTCGTGCTAATACCGCTGCTTTGTGTGTTGCATTATGGCTACTTCGCTTCTCTTCCTCCTGCATATACCCTCGCATACATAATCCTCTATCTCGTACAAGGCTTTCTATCGGACCTTTTCTTCTCCGTAAGCCTTGTACTTTCCATCTCAACGAGAACGCCCCGATGACGCCATTCAGTGCGCGTGACTGGACGCGTCAAGAGTGTGACATTGACAAGGGTCGACTTGAAGTTGATCTCACCACCTTTCTCGCCCATCTCACCAACATGGAGAACCCTCACGCTGAACGACAAGCCGTTCTTCTGGAACGAATCGTAAAGAATACTGTGCGTATTTGCGTCTCAGCATTTTTGTATTTCGAAGTAATTGCCTCGAACTTCAGTCGAAATGCACTGAAATGATATTGGAACTTAACCACTGCTTGGAGGTCTGTGATCCTGCGTGCTGCGTATGACCACTTTTTGATACCGTCTTACCTCTTCTACAGGAAGTTCTGAGGGCGAATGCGTCGGTGAAAACTGCGGCGGACCTCACCACTAAATACCGGAAGAATGTACAGTATAACTTGGAGGCGACGAAGGGCAATTAATGGTGTGGGAGCTTGCATCCATGACAGATGAATGTTTGAATTGAACTCTTGGTGCGATATAACACTATTTTGTTCGTTGACGAAGGGCCTATGGCAATCTGGCTTTGGTAATCGGCGAGTAACTACTTTTAGCATCGCCAACACTCCCGCTATCTCTTCACCAGAACCATCATCTCCGTTCATCAGCATTTCTCCCTCCTTCCACGATTCCTTCCTGCAAACCACACGGATCGCCGTTCTCCGACAATCGATCATGGATGACATCCCTAACATCGTCTTTCCCTGCGGAGCAGGGCCTACTACCTGCGGATATTGCTCTCCTCCTGGTCAGCGCAGCCAGCAGGCAACTAGCTATCACTCGGCGGCTCTTGAGGCTGTGAAACTTACCTGTGCGGTATGGATAGCCTGAACTCGAATTGGGCTGGGCTCACGGAGCATTCCAAGGGTAGGCGTACCAGGAAATGATTGACAGAGGCTGGCGCCGTTCAGGTAGTTCTTGTATTCTGGATCGTGTCGCATAATGTTGAAGCATCATCGAAGGGACGTACTGCTACAAGCCTGACATGAAGATCACCTGCTGCCCACAATACACCATCAAGTAAGCTTGTTCCTGTAGAGCTTGGTGTCCTGATCAATTGGACGAGTCCCAAGGTTAGATGCACTTGATTTCAAACCCTCCAGAAGCCAGCGTAAACTTATAAATCGGTTCGTCTACTCCGCCCAAAATTCTGTTCAACAGCCTTGATTTTGTTCCATAGCTGGAACCGATATATTCTCCGAGAGGAGCCCGACAGTCCTATGGAAGCGGATACCAGGTAAGTGTGGCACTGGTGTGCAACTCTACAAATACACGGCTCACCCTGGGTACAGTGATGAAACGTCAAAGTCGAAGAAATCCGGTAAAAAGCCCCAACTGAAATCGCCCCCATTCACCTCGTTGTCCGAGTCCCTTCATGCATCTGAGAGTAATATCCATCCAGAATTAGAATCGACGCATACTTTTGAAGTATGTTTGCAATATATACTTTCACTCATAATCATTGATCGTCTCTTTAGGTTACTCTAGAGCCTGCTTCATACACTGTCCAGAAATCTGCTCTTTATAAAAAATACCAATCCGAGATACATAATGACAGGAAATCGTCACCATCTGGATTCAAACGATTTCTTGTTGACTCTCCTCTACAGGTGAATCGCTTGCCTTCGAAACCTTTGGTGCCACGATTTTTAATCCTTCTAGGTGGAACCAATACCATACCCGAATCCTCCGCCAAGTCACCTGCCGCTTAACTATGGCTCATACCACCAATTATATAAAATCGATGGTCAATTAATGGCTGTGGCAGTGCTAGATATCCTGCCATGTTGTGTTTCCAGCGTTTATTTCATGTACGATAACACTTGGGAGAGGTTCTCTCTGGGCAAGGTGAGTGTGCTACATTATCAAAGCCCCCCATCTGTTCATCTCTACTCAGCTCAGCGCACTTCGAGAAGTGTCCTTGGCACGAGAAATACGGGAGGCCGGAGCACCGGAAGTGTCTTCTCTATACATGGGTCCGTATTCTTCTTTTCCATCTCACCGAAATCCTAAATTAAATTGGACATGTGCTATGACAGGCTTCTACATACATTCTTGTCAAAAGATGAGATATAAAGGGGACTATTCACCATCATATCTTGCTGACCCGGTATTTGGACTCCTTCCGCCCACATTGCTCAAAGTTTCTCATTTTTTACAGGAAACGTATGAGTGGTATCAACTAGAAAAGTGCATCCCTCTTCTGGATAAACACAGATATGCCTGCTTTTCGGACCCTTCCCACTCGAGCAATGATAATGAGGAATCGGATTTGGAATCTGGTGAGACCATTGGTCTTCTATTCCACGCAGTTCCACGCCTCCTGATTTCAATTCATCAAAAAGATCGAGAATCGGAGGCTTCCGATTCGCCTGATTCTGAGGAATTTGAAGATGTTAACATCCTAGCTCGAAGTGCGGAAGGAAAGATTGTCACAAAACCAGTCAAAGTGCGTATTGTTGCTGCCCATATTCTATTCCCATTTTGGAATGAGGAAAAACCCCTAGGAGACTGGCTATCTATTGTACGCTCAAGTACGGCAAGAGCTGGGATCTTGTATCCGCGGACTTGGTGCCAAATTGGCCAAGGAAATATCTTTCACCTTGTAGGAGCGACGGTCACCCTTTGCCATTTCACTTCAAATCTAGTTAGTAGATTCTCGAGAGTACGTAAGCGCTCGAGTACCTCAGATAGGGCCCTCCTGAAGGCCCGTATACTCCCGACCGCTCTCTTGTCGATGTTCTACTTAGCTACAACCATTAGTTTCTTCGTGAGCTATTTATAGCCTGTGACTTGTACTGCGTGACAACATGTGACGCCAAATCTTTGCCAGGAGAAATCTCTATTTTGGAGTGACTTTACCTTCAGCTCTTGCGTTCGCGATCCTTGCGCACACCTTTCTATGGTAAGTGTTTAGTCTCGTGCATAGGTTGTTATAAAAGCTAATAAACTGAGTTAGCTAAGGCGACAAGCACGGGAGCGTAGAGAATATGTCTACGCAAAATCCCTGGAGGCGCAAGAAAGGCAGACTTGGGACCGCAAACAACAGTTGAAAGGGAGTTTGGCCACAGGGAAGACGCTTCCGACGGAACTGAAGAAGAGTGCAAAGGACTTGGGAAGGGATTTTACATTCGATGAAGCTCAAGCTGGTGAGTAATGCCATTGTCCTAGATTTACTGGACTTCTGACATTTCTGAACGTAGAACCAACAACACACATCGATAACGAGTATTCTCATGCTGGTATTGAGGATCCAAAGATAGTTATAACGACGTCCAGAGACCCCAGTTCAAAATTGTTACAGTTTTCCAAAGTCCGTAGATTCCCTCTATTTCTGGAGTCACGCTAAACGAATTTGGTGCAGGAAATGCGTCTCGTCTTCCCGAATTCCCATCGAATAAATCGAGGAAATTATGTCGTTAAAGAGCTTGCGGAGGCCTGTCGCGCGAACGATGTGACAGACCTCATCGTGGTGCACGAACATCGTGGAATTCCCGACGCTCTTATTGTCTCGCACTTTCCTCACGGACCGACGGTCTACTTCACTCTCAACAACGTCATCCTTCGTCACGACATCGTGTCTTACAATAAATCAACAGTATCTGAACAATATCCTCATCTTATTTTCGAGAACTTCAGCTCCAAACTCGGAGAGCGGGTGCGAGATGTTCTGAAGTACTTGTTCCCTGTTCCCAAGGAAGACAGCAAAAGAGTCATGACTTTTGCCAATGAAGATGACTTCATCTCATTCCGGTAGGTTCATCCGGTGTCCTACTTGGCTCTGCTCATGAGGTGCTAGGCATCACGTTTTCGTGAAGACTGGTCGGGAGGTTCAGTTAGCAGAAGTCGGGCCTAGGTTTGAAATGAAACGTGGGTCTATCATTTTCTCATTGTTTCACGGCTGATCCACGTTCCAAATAGCCTACGAGATTCGGCAAGGAACAATTGAACAGACAGAAGCAGAACGAGAATGGGTGTTAACACATTACACCCGTACCGCCAAAAAGCGGAGTGTCCTCTCTGGGTCAAGATTTTCTGAACCGCCCGCTGCAAAACGCTCGAAACGGTAGCAAAGACCCCCCTTGTGTACAGTCCATGAGATTGAAAAGTAGGCGACGAGTCAGTTCAATTGTATTATACCATAATCGCATGTTACAATCAGCGATGGTGATCTGTAGGCTGTAAGCAGCGCTCAGTCAACGGTGAGCGCGTTGTCAAGTTCGCTGAATCCTTCGAAGAAAGAACTAAAGAGATCAATGGCGTGTTGGACATCATGGGAACCCGCTGTTTCTCGAATGGAATGCATGGACAGCATCGGGTTGCCGACGTCGACTGTCCGGATGCCAATTTTCGATAACATTGGCCCGACTGTTGAACCACAGGGCCTGAGGAGGTATTTAGTAGTAGCTTCAGCGACCGCTTCTCAGCAACCATGCACTTACATATCGTTGCGAACTTCAAATTCTTGGACCTTTCCGCCTTTCCTCTCAACCAATTTCTTCACAATGAAAGTTGAAATCGCGTCTGAAGCGTATCTCTGTTTCGCATTGGTCTTAATGGCAATACCACCGTTCACCAGAGGTCTGTGCTTCTCTTCATGTTTTGACGTGTAATTGGGATGAAGGGCATGACCCATGTCGGCAGAAATGAGGAACGAGCGAGAAACAGACTGCGCGTAAGCAGCAGGTGTGGGTGAAAGACGGCTGAGAAGTGACGGGATAAGACTAGATTCGGCGCCTGAGATTGACACACTGCCGATTTCCTCATGGTTGAAGAGAGCGATGCAGTTGACATTGCCTTGCAATGAAGGGAAATACTGGGCCGAAATGCTATCAGCGATGGCTTCAACTGCGCAGAATCTACACTGCTGTTAACACATGCGGGATAATGGGCACTCCATAACTTACGAAGACACAAGGTTGTCCATACGCGGACTGAAGATGAATTCATTGTTTATCCCTCCAAGAACGGCAGGCTGTGTGTCGTACAAAGACCTAAGATCGGATCTCGATATAGGGTGAAAGACTCATGGACAGGGACGTACAATTCGAAGTCATGAATCTCTTCTGGTGCGATAGACAATTCGCCTGCGACCAGAGACAACAGGGCAGGGTGATGGTTTTCTTGAATGCTGGAGGCGGCTTTTGGGGCCTTTCGTGACTGCTTGTCGTCCTTGTCGTCATCGCTATCAGATTTAAGAGCAGGTGCGTTTAGCTGAGATTCAATCAATCCCAGGATAGGAACAAATTCGGTTTCCTGATTGAATTTGAAGTTGTCATTCACTGTTCTGTCCACTAGTAGTAGTAGAGGTCAATGAAGTTGTGATTCAAACGATAGGGTCAGACGCACAATGAATTGCCAGCGTTGGGATACGCATAATTGGCCTGTCGACCTTGACAAGTTTGGAAGTGAAATTGCCTGTCTTCTCAGCAATGACCACTCTGCCTGCAATGGAGAGGTCGCGATCAAGCCACGAATGCCAGATGCCTCCTCCATATGTTTCGACTCCAACTTGGAGATAGGCAGACTTGGTGCGTTTGGAGATAGGACGGATCTGCAATGCATCAGTGATGTCGTGGTTGGACCGGAAGATTGAAAGACACCTTCAAGTTTGGGCTATCGACATGCGTGGCAACAATGCTGAGTCCTGCACCTGGACTCCACTTCTGGGGCAATGTGAATGCAACTAACGCAGCCTGATTCCTATTTTGCGCGAACGACCGACAAGAACTCCTGAACAACAGTAGAATGTGATTCAGATAGGACCTACCTGGTAAAGTAATATTTCCCCCCAGGTTGAACAGACTTCTCCCACTCATCTTTTTCTTTGATCTGGGTCGAGGTACGATAAGCAAGATCCGTTTACAATGGCGAAGGATCACCAACTTTCTGGAATCCAGCCTGCTCTAGACGAGCTGCAGCGTTGTGAACTGCATGGAACGGGGTTGGAGACGCGTTGACAAACTTGAGAAAGCGGGTCGCAGCTTCTGGGCTAGCTGGATAGAGCATCATAGTCCTGAGAGCAGAAAGAGAAGCCACGGTGGGCAGAAGGCAATTTCAATACTATTCAATAGCGCGGAGGTGGGTCTTCTCCAGTCACGTGTGCGTCTATTTCCAGCATCTCAAATTTGAAACTTTCCACTTGATCGACAACCACCAACGCAATGGTGCAGAGCTATCTCAGGCACGGTCCTACGCAGGTACGCCTAATAGCATGATCATTGAAAAGAGCTAATCCATGTGTCTTTCAGGCTTTTGGTCTGGTCTGTAGCTCGTCATCTAATTCAGTATTCGATGGTAAATTAGCGTATGTACCTGCTCTGGAAGATGTCTTGGTATGGGACGTGAAAAAAGGCCAAATGGTGTGCAGCATCATGCTATATCTCTGGATGCCTCTCATTATTTTTTTAGGTTTCCATGTGGCACGAAACGGGACATCGGGAGGAAGTTACTTGCATTGTTCAATCCCAAAATCCCGATTCTTTCGCCGTAGGCTATGCGGACGGCTCTATACGCTTATGGAGTGCTTCGACGGGTTCTGTGGTGACCACTTTCAACGGACACAGGAAGGCCATCACTGCTCTAGCTTTTGACAAAACTGGAACGCGGCTGGCGTCGGGATCTCAGGACACCGATTTAATTTTGTGGGATATCGTTGGTGAAGCTGGCCTATATCGGTAGGTTCAATGTCTGCCTCTTTTCTACCTACCATTAATTTTAGCAGACTTCGAGGGCACCGCGATCAAATCACTGCAATTCAGTTTCTTACCATTGCAGACAACCAACCTTCTACCTTAACTGCTGCTGCCACTGGCCTACTTCTTACTGCTTCAAAGGACACTTTCATGAAAGTGTGGGACTTGTCGATACAGCATTGTACACAAACAGTTGTTGCCCATCGTTCTGAAATTTGGTCTCTGGACGTCAATGAAGACCAAGAGGTGGTATTCACCGGCAGCGGCGAAGGAGAGCTCAAAGCATGGAAAATAGACCACCGAGCGTTGGCTAGTGGCCTAAGAGAGACGGAAACAGGAGAGGTCAGATCATTTTGTTCTTACTCGTATTCGTTACCTCGCTCATCCCTCTCTAGGTTGCAAAAATGGTGCATCCCATCTCTAGCCTCCCACTTGCCTCCAAGCACCGTGTCTCCCAGATCAAGTTCCATCCCACTCGGCCATATCTTGCTGTTCAATCGCACGATCGTTCTGTTGAGATCTTCCGCATTCGAACAGAGGAAGAAATTCAAAAGAAGCGATTGAGAAGGAAGAAACGGGCAAAGGAGAAAAAACAACAGGAGCAAGGGAAGGCGTCGAGCAACAATAATAAAAAAGGTGACGCAGAGATGGAGGTCGACGACAATGCAAATTTGACCATGGAGTCGAACTTGGTGGATTACTTTACACCACATCTTGTGGTTCGCGCAAGTGGCAAGATCAGATCGTTCGACTTTGGGTCTAAAGAACCCACTGCAAAGAGTTCAGTGCAGGTACAGTATCTAGCATATCTTGTCTCACATGACCTAACCTTCACGTCGATAGCTTTTTGTTGCATTGTCTTCCAACGCCATTGAAGTGTACAACATACCTCCACCGGCTAAATCTAAGGAAGAGCTACCTGAAGCTACTCGCAGTTACTCTGTCGACCTACCAGGGCACAGGACAGATGTCCGGGCTTTATCCCTTAGTTCGGACGATCAAATTCTGGCGTCTGCGTCCAATGGTGTGTCCAATTTGAACGCAACCAACCCGGAACTAAGGATGCCCCTCCACTACAGGATCCCTCAAGATATGGAACATGAAAACAACTCAGTGTATCCGTACTATGGAATGCGGATATGCGATTTGCAGCACGTTTTTGCCTGGTGACAGACACGTCAGTCCTGCTCTGTTTCTTTTAAACAAACTTCTCTTTGACCATTCCCATCACAGATTGCGATTGGAACAAAATCCGGCGAGATTCTGATTTATGACATTGGCTCGTCGACCCTGATAGAGACAATCAAAGCCCACGCTTCAACCGTCTGGTCTATGCACATGAGAGCTGATGGTCAGGCTCTGGTTACAGGTAGCGCTGACAAGGATATCAAATTCTGGGAATTTGAACACAGAGACTCCACTGACGACAGTGTTGGTTAGATTTTCTCCGTTGCCATGTACTTGCTCTCATCGCCTCGCAGATCCAAAGCGGGAAACTTCTGTCCTTGGTCCACATTCGCACATTGAAGATGTTGGATGAAGTTCTTAGCGTCAAGTACAGCCCAAATAGCAAATTCCTTGCGGTAGCGCTCCTGGATTCTACAGTAAAGGTCTTCTATCAAGATAGTCTCAAGTTTTTCCTGTCTCTGTATGGGCACAAGGTAGGCATTCTTATACTTACCTCATCTATCCCTGTTGACAGAAATTAGCTTCCTGTGCTCTCAATGGACATCTCAGATGATTCCAAGTTGATCGTGACTTGCTCTGCCGACAAGAACGTGAAGATTTGGGGCCTCGACTTCGGTGATTGCCATAAATCTATCTTCGCCCACGACGAAAGTGTCATGCAAGTGGCATTCGAAAAGGGGACACATTACTTCTGGACTGTTGGGAAGGATAAATTGCTCAAGTATTGGGATGGGGACAAGGTTTGCAAATAGTTTCTATCGTTCTCAGCACCCTCTAACCATCCGTCGTGCAGTCTGAGGGCATCCAAAAGCTTGAGGGACATCATGGCGAGGTTTGGGCATTAGCCCTCAGTCATCACGGCAACTTTGTGGTTACTGGCTCTCACGACAAATCAATACGCGTTTGGGAGAAACTGGACGAACCAGTACGATTTCACCTATCGTGCATATATCTACGATTCGCTGAGCCCATTTACGCTGTAGCTGTTCCTCGAAGAAGAACGTGAAAAGGAGTTGGAGCGGCTGTATGAAAGTGGAATCGCAGATTCACTGAATCATGTCGGTGCCCCAATTGGCAGTGGTGCAGAAGGAGGGCCGGTCAACGGGGCGTCAGAAGCCGAGGTCGGTGCCGTGACTAAGCAGACGACCGAAACGCTCATGGCTGGTGAACGTATCATGGAAGCGCTTGATCTCGCGGATACGGAAAGGCAAACCTTCAAGGAATATGAGGAAGCAATGTCGCAGCTGTCAGAAGATGACGCGATGCGTATGCAGCCACCTCCACGGAACGCCATCCTGACGGCATACGACCTAGAACCGGAAGCTTGGGTCCTGAGAGTCGTCGAAAGGATCCCAGCAACAGCGCTACAAGATGCTCTTCTAGTATTACCATTTGGGAAAGTCGTCTCGCTGATGGTGTATCTGGATATTTGGGCTCAAAAGGTTTGCACCTTCCTACCCCCTAACCCCTTCTCAATTGTTCTTATTTCAGTTGCAGGGCTGGAATATTACCCTTGTGTCTAGAATCATGTTTTTCCTTCTCAAGACACACCATCGCCAAATCGTCGCCAATCGGATCATGCGAACTACTCTGATTCCTCTTAGGAAACACCTTCGAGCAGCCTTGCAACAACAAAAGGACGTCATTGGTTATAATCTGGCTGCATTGCATTTCATCCGCCGGAAAAACGACTTAGAACGAGTCGCTCAGTTTTACGAAGAGGAAGGCATGGATGAAGAGAAGGTGAAAGCGAGGATAGCTGAGGGTAGAAAGCGCAAGAGAGTCAATCTCAAGGCATGAGTAGTCGAGAGGAATATAAGTGATCTATAATACAATGGGTGGGTGGGTACAAAACTAATTTTCGGTTGTGAAGACAAATCTAAAATGTTCCAGTCTCAGATTAGAAAGCTGCAATATTCGTCATCTCATTTGGCCTTTATTTTTCGTCGACCTGGGGACCCCATAACTTTTCGGACCTAGGGGAAGGAAGTCAGATACAGTGTCCATCTTCAGACAACCATGACGTACCAGACCCCCGGCGTCGTTGCAGGCCGAAACTTGACTTTCAGGATCCCAACATCAAAATCTGCAAGTTGGCCAAAAGCTGCGCGTGTGAGGTCGACGTGCTTGGATCCAGGAGCGCATCCGGCGCAAGTGTCCACAACGCGAACGAATACGCATTTCTTCGGTCCATTGCACACTTTTCTGGTCATCACTTTTATGTATAGCGAAGAAATTTTACGACTGACCTTCGAGGAAGCGGAAACACTTCGGGCGGTTTGTCCATCCCTCCAGCGTTAACGCACATGCAAATGATTCATCCTATCTCCGTTAATCGTGTTTTTTTTTTGACCGAAAACACATGGAATCTCACAGTAGGTGCCCACTTTCCGTTCGCCCAGCAACTTGGATTTTTCAGATCATGGCCAGTGTACCTGTGCTGCTGTGAGGCGATGAAGTAAGATTCTAGGACCAGTTCTCTGACCAGGTAATGACGACGGGTTCGGGATTGCCTATTCCCTTCATGCCTTTCAGAATATTTACTACTCCTGTGATGGCATTGCCGAGACCCGACTTTTTTGGCGCAGTCTTGCTGTTTCGCCTTGGGGCGGTGTTGTTGCCTGACCCGCGAAAGTCCGGAGATGCCTGCCTTCGATATTTGTATTCAAGGTTGGTGACATTGATGCTTCGCCATCCGTCCCGCGGATCGAAATTATAGTCATCTGCCAGGGCATGGGCTCTACTGTATTTGCTCTCAATTATCGCGTGGTTCGAAGATGGTTGGGCGGCTTGTATTGTCGGGAGAAGGGCGAAGGGAAGTATAAGGAGAAAAAAGACAAGGCAAGCTCGAGGCTCCTTCATATTTGTTGGAGACGCGTAAAACATGAAAGGCGGGTGCGCTGATGTGGAGGGTCGTTCAATCGTCCGAGGGGAAGACGCGAGGCTGGAGAGGCATCAGTGGAATGCCAATTATGGACATTGGACCAACGGGGCTTAAGCGGCTCAGCCGTCCCGGACTCCGATCTACATTTGACCTCATATGTATCTTTTTCTCTCTTTGTTGTGGGAGATATTTACCAAATCCCTTGTAGTATTTATCATGCAGAAAAGCAGCATGTTGGCCATGGTGGGCGTCGACTGTGTGGGAAGCTAGAACACTCAGGCTTGGGAAGATAAGATAAAATTCTGAATCCCGGCCCACAACGTTTAAGGGCCGCGTCAACATCGGCGGCAACGGCATTGTCAGCAACAGTGATCTCCTTCGTCATGCAAATAAATAGGCCTCCTTCGTTTGCTGCACCATCCGGTCCCCTTCTTTGCTCCAACTTCCATGCCAGCAGATCCTACCCATAATCCATCCGTCCGCCGCGCATTCAGGAAGCTTGCAACAGATGATGAGATCGACTCTCGAAGAGCGCGCGGAGAGGTGAAGTCTCTTCACTCTTGTGCAAAATCATCATCCAACACCTCAATTTACCTCCTTTTCACAAAAGATATCGTGCGCAGAGTGTCGTAGGTAGGTGCAATCACCTGAAAATATATAGGCTAGTATTCATAAGCAATTCCCAAAAGATTGAAGTTGAAGTGCGACAAGAAGCTGCCTTGCAGTTCATGCAGTACGTTTCCATTCGGAATGGTCCGTATCTCCAGTCTCTGAGATCGATGCAGTTCGACGAGGTTGTCCATCTATATGTCCCAACGGAAGTCTATCTACTGGTCAGGGGACCAGGTGCGTTCGTGGCTAGCCTTGTTTCGTAGAACTTGAATCTTACGAAACTTCCCTCCGCAGATTCGTTCTCGCCGACACGACGCAACTACACCAGAGGATAGCAGAGATGGGCCAACGTATTCGCCAACTAGAGGACGCGCTGGCCATTTTCCAGGCAGGCGTTTCGAACGAGACACATCCACTACTACGGGAGGAGCTCTTGTCGATCAAGTTTGGTCCCGAGAAGGGACAGGTCCCAGATAAAAAGCCCTCCGCTACAAGAGAATCGCCCGAGCCTCTGTTGAATGCTTTCGGCACACTCACCATCGGTGACAACGGAGAAGCAAAATATTTTGGCCCGTCTGCAGGAGCTGAGGTACGCCACTTCTTCTGCTTTTGCTTTCCCTTTATCTAATCATTTGTTTCAAAGACTCTGTTTATGGTAGGTAAACATATATACGCTCTTTATAAAGGATGTCCGTTTGTTGAGACCTTTCTGTAGGCGGGTGCCGACCTGGAGCGATCATATGAAGACTACAGCGAACCCGTAGCTCTGGATATTTTACGACAGTCCGCGTCCTTTCCTTTTGGCCCCGACGGCGATATCGAGAAGCACTTGGAATTCTTTCTCGATCACCTCCCCGAAGAACCCCGCGCGTGGTCACTGGCGGAAACGTATCTGGAGCAGGCAGCTTGGGCCTTCTCACCTATCATGCGTGATGAACTCATTGAAGACTTTATCACTCCGATTTACAAAGCAGTGAAAGAGCGCAAGAATACAGGGACATATACTTCTTCCCTTGTATCCGCTCATAAGCTCGCGGCATTATATCTTGTTTTCGCACTGGGGGCCCTAGTTGATCTGACTCTGACGCCTTGTGAGTGGTCGGCCTTCATTCTCCGAATCACATCCTTATCAGAAAATAGACAACTCAGATGCAGAGGTCTACTATCACCTTAGCCGCGGTTGCCTATCTGTCCGTTTCGTCTTCGATTCTCCCGAAATAGCGACCATCCAAGCAGTCCTGTTAATGGCGAATTACCATGGAATGGCAGGGAAAAGATACACCATGGATAGCTCCGTATGTTGCTCGCGAGTCAAATTAAAGCGGGTCCTCATTTGTCATCCAGTGGTCTCTCGCTTCTCTTGGGTCAAAATTAGCGCAGAGCGTAAGTAATTTGTCTCTCTTTTGCCACGACACTTATATTTTGGAATAGGTTGGTCTTCGTACGTGTTCCCTCCTGGCAGAGCCCGCTAATGTCTCATGCATTGGGATCAGATCGCGATAGTTCCCGATGGAATTTGGACCAGAAAGTCGTTCAACGGCGACGGGCGTTATTTTGGGAGATGTTTTCGGCAGAACACTTCTACGTGAGCTTCAGAGTATCTTCTCGATTAACCCCCAGTTCTTATTCCGCAGAGCCTTGCACTTGGACGGCCGCCTTCAATCCGCATGTCCTATGTCGACTGTGAGTTCCCGGACGATGAAGATACTACAGTAGATGCGGAGGGCAACACTACGGTCGGCTGTCAGTGGCTCTTCTTCTTCTTCACTTGTCCTCTTCATCTATTCTTTCAGACTATCGTTGGAAATATGAATTCACGAAGGAGATCTTTACGCTTGTTACTGAGTTGACCCTAGATGCCCAGGCTCCCAAGTATCAGACAGTCCTAGATCTTGATCGTAAATTGCGTGAAAAGCCATTGCCCGCTCACCTCAACATCTTCGTCAGTCCAGAGGACGAGGAGTGCACCCCTTCCGTCTACATGAAAAGGTGTCTCCTCAGCCAGTATCGTTCCGTCAGTCAGTACTTCGTCATGCTCCACCTTCATAGATGATTGACGTATGGGCAGCACTCCTGTTCCTTCACCGGAGTTTCTTTGCCCAAGCAATTCTCGACCACCCTTCCAACCCCCTGCAGAGCCCTTACGCGCCATCCTTTTTGGCCGCATATCGTTGCGCCTCTGGAGTGATCAAATCAAGTCTAAATCATTACGAACGTTTTCCACGATTATGCGCTCGGTGGTGGGGAGTTTGGACTCATTGTACGTACTTCTATCCCCGATAGAGGTTTTTTTAATTGCTTATCCTTGCCCAGTGTTCTCTGCAGCTGTGAGTTTCTGGAAGCATATCCCTCATTGCTTGACCTCTAACACCAGAATACCCAGATCATTGTTGGATCTATTGTCATTAAATCCCCTTCATCTAGCATGGCGTCGAGCGCCTTTATCGAGCTGGGTCTCGCCTGCGACATGTTTGAGAAAGGTGCTTCGCAATCACGAAGAGTACGAAGCGGTCATGTGCGTGACTCATGACCTCCTATCCCCGCTTCTTCTCACTTTAGAAACATAGGCAATCTTGAACAAAATGCGTGAAAAGGCTTTCCAAGTCTACTCACAATTCCGCTCTGGAAATATTCCTTCTAGTAGGCTGTTATCCGTGGGGAAGCCCGATTATGGGAACGATGAACTTGCTTTATTTGGTGGCCAGACGAAGGTCCTCGTAGTTAATCTTCTCAACACGTGGAACAAACACAAGCTTTGCGAACAACTTTCGTCGTCTTCATCAAGTACTACACCACCATCCGTCTCTAGCCCGTCTTCAGAGAGCGAGTCGCGTGGTACACCTTCCAGTGACGTGTGCAGACAGGTGCACCCGTCTTTGGTAGAATATCTCTCAATATTTCCGCCGTCATCAGCGTCGAACAGCCCACCGGAGGCCAAAGATACTGCTCTTTCTTTCGATTCGTCTGTACCACGAACTTCTCCACCAATAGCCCAAACATCCTTAACCCCAGTCGCGTCGACCTCTATGGGACAGCCGCACGTCAATGCCGAGCAGCAAAGTACGTGGCCAAATTGGACGATACCGTCATTGTATACGCCGTTGCCCCCAGAAGCGTTAAACCCACCCTCAAGAACGTCGCATGTAGCCAGCAGCTCCTATCTTCCGATGCTTGGTGGAATACCTGCGCAACCAGAGGTCAAGGCAAACCAGGCCACCGACCTTCTCGATCTTGGAATGGTTATGGCTGGTGGAGAGTCGGGCATGGACGAACAGTGGATGTCGTTTATGAGAGAGTCTGGATTTCTTCAAGTCAACGAAAGTGTGGGGATGCCACCGCCAGGATCGCCTTATCCCCCGGACATGAACTCCGGAGGACAGCACCGCTTCTGAACTGTTGATCTTGTGTTTTGATATACATTTTGCTCTGCGTGTAGGTATATGCTATGCAGGTACATAACTGAAAGTTTAAAAACCATTGGAGAGGCCCCTAACATGTGTCGGGCCGATATACCGAAGAGGACGACGATGAGTCAACATTGCGGTTCAGTTGCGAAAGTTCGCTTACAATGGTGTTCAAGAATATCCTCAAATGACTAGCCTTCTCTCCTTGCATCCACCACCACCATGCCATTCCCAAAGTCCCAGAAGCTGACTGGCACTGATCTTATCCATGGGGATGCTGAACTGACAGGCCCAGAGGTTGCTCCATCTATCTCGGTATCAACTAGTAAGTGAAGCACTATTCATCCTCACCCCTCTCCAACAGCGTTGTTCAGCATTTAGAGCCTTGGACCCCTTCAGAGAAAATGGCAGCCTCAACAACCTTGATATGCGCAACCCCCCTCGGCATGTTTATTCCAGATACACTCAGGGAGTGAGCACTCGTGCTGAGCGAATTTTGAGCCGAATTAACGTAGGTGTTCTTGGCCATCTTTCTCATTTCACATTTTTTCAAGCATTATAAACGCAGAATGGCTTTGCGATCACCTATGCCTCTGGTCTCGCAGCCTCGTATGCGGTCTGTGGCCGATTTTTCCCTCTCCAGATTGGTTATTAAATTAAAAGCAGGCACTCGTCTTCTTCCAACCTAAACGAATTGCCATCAGAGGCGGATATCATGGCTGTCATGCAACCATCGCAGTTTATAAGAAGAACCAAGGAATCGACATCGAATTGATCGACTTGGATGCGGGGTATCGACCTGGTGATCTTTGTTGGCTGGAAACACCCGTAAATCCTACAGGAGAATCCAGGTATGTACACTGTCTTCCGCTTTTCCCTTTCCTTTCTTACGAATATGTATTCAAGGGATATTCAGCACTACGCGGATAAGGTACCCCAATTTCTGTTTGACTTATGCTCCTGCCAACCATCAACCTTAACAACTTCGCCCCAACCCAGGTACATAAAGTAGGAGGAAAGATTGTAGTGGACTCCACATTTGGGCCCCCGCCTCTCCAATACCCCTTCGAATTTGGAGCTGATTGGTAAGTAATTTGCTGATCACCTGGTCAGTGTATTCACTTGAACAATTCAGCGTTCTCCATTCAGGTAAGTTTCTTACACCTTTTACGCAATCTCGCCTTAGCTCGTTCTCTGCGACAGGAACGAAATACTTTGGCGGACACTCCGACTTGCTGGCCGGCGTGTTGGTTGTTAAGACCTTGAACGAGTGGAATCAGGTGCGGTTGTCTCAAAGTCTGCCCGCTATTGAAGCTAACGAATGCTGCAGCTGCAGTCTGATAGGACGTTCCTGGGCAGTATGATGGGCTCACTCGAATCGTGGCTTCTCCTCCGGTCCTTGAGAACCCTTCATTTGAGAGTACCCCGCCAATCCGCCTCTGCCACTGTTCTTGCGCAGTGGCTAGACTCCGTCGCTAAAACGCCTGTCGGACAAAGCTTTGACGGCGTCCCTGGTGGCGTCGTGGCTCAAGTCTGGCATTCTGCCTTGCAAGGAGTAGACGAGCGAGGGTTTGACCCCAGTAAGCAAATGCAGGGAGGCTGGAACGCCACTTTTGCCATACATGTAAGGCCCTTCCGAAATGTCGCGATCTCGCCTTCCGATTCTGAACTGCGTTATCATAGCTCTCAAAACCGGAGCAAGCCCGTCAATTTCCTCACCTCTTGAAGTATTTTGTAGTCAGTTAATCCTCTATTTACTTCCGCTGTTGAGGCCCTAACCACATTCCTGAGCAGCCGGCTACTAGCTTGGGCGGTGTCGAATCACTTGTCGAGCATCGTATCCAGAGCGATCCGGGTGCCGATTCTCGTTTGATCAGGTTGAGTATTGGGGTCGAAGACGTCGAGGTAAATTCTCAGACCAAATATAGCTTATCTCATCCTCATCTGCACCGTAGGATTTGAAAGAAGACTTGAAACAAGCTTTACAGAACTTGGTCCTCGTATGTCGATTTTTTCCTTCAAGGATAGCATCACGGATTAATTCTCGTCGCAGATCACGGCAAAACTGTGAACACCTTACAGGAACGGAATGTAAATTACTAGAAATATCTACAAATGGAACATCTTGAGCTTGACTGGTGTCGGGAGTGACATGCTCTCGCCCAATCCCATCAGATTCCCCTATGTGTATTTGACAGCTGAAGAGTTTAGGGAGAATTCACGAAGGAGTGCGGGAGGCCAGAATATTCGCAAGGCTTTCCCTCCTTTACTCTCATTGCAACGTACGACCACGAAGCCAGCAACGCTCATGCCCTCTCTATCCTCTAAACGCTTATATCTTCGAGGTCGGCTTTCTGAAACTCAGTTACTGCATCACGCGGAACTCAATGCAATCCCAGGGCTATCGAAGGACATTACGGAGGAAGAGTTGTCAAAGGTATTCGTCCTGTTTTCCAGTTCCAGATAGTTCCAAATGAAAGCGATGGCGCGCCACCAGTACCTCTCGTGTTATGGAACGATCACTGAGGTCAAACTACTTCCGCGTAAGCGCTTTGTTTCAAGGCGTTTACGCACATTGTTGAATCTGAGTTCGCAGACTACGCTTTTGTCCAATTCGAATCGGAGAAGGTGCCCGCCTTCTATATTGTCCCGAGGGTGACATTCTGAGGCCTCATCAGGACGCTGCGCAAGTCCTCAAGACTTACCAGGATCAACCGCTTTTCGGCAAACGTTATTTTAGATCAACATAGATGATTCGGCTGCAGCTAACCCTTGTCAATTGATTAGATGTTGTCATCGAATTTGCACACCCCTTGCGCAAGGACATGGCTTCATTTTCGAGTAGCAATGGCTCGGAGAGCTGGTAAGCGACTATCTGCCAACCTTACGGTAGACATATGCGCTCACGATCGATTGTATCAGTCGCTCTCCTACCTATAGAGCAAGTGGTCGACATCCTGTCGTCGTGCTCGATATCCCAAACGATGTTCGTTGGCAGGTCAGTGGTATGCAACAAATGAGTAACTTCACCCCTTAATGATCGCACTTCCAACATGCAGGAGCTGAAAGACTTCGGTAGATTGTCGGGTAGGCTCGTGGCGTATTGTGATCTCGACAAAATCCAGCAAGGGCGAGGGTGGGATCCTGTTCGAATCCTTATAATACTCTCAATCTAACAATGGCAATCTAGATTTATTGAATACTTTACCCGGGAGGACGCCAGGCGTGCCGTCAGAGTTTTAGACGGTCAACGTCTTGGTGGCAAGAGTGTGCGAGTGGTCAGCCACGAGGTGAGGATCTACCCTGTGTCGATGTCCCTTTACCCTGAAGATTTCACGGAGAGGGGCATTTCACTCACTAAACTGACTCACCGCCGTTGCAGAAATCCATCTCGTGGCGAAGATGTCGCTCGAGGTCCCCTGAGAGGCAGCCAATCTTCCGCTACTCGCGAAGTTACAGACATGATTCGGACTACCTCGCGCATCGGCCAGGCTATATTTACCCCCGGCACGCCAACGAGCATGATTATGACTTTGGCGAGCGCCGGCCGTTCTCATCGACGCCGTTGTACCAGTCCAATTCTAGCTTCAGTCCCGACGAGAGGGATTTCGGCTCTCGGCTCTTCCTCGACAACAACGACGTGGGAGTGCCTGATCCAAGCACTGCGAGGACTACCACCTGGGCAGCAAGCTCACACCACGACTACTACCACCAAAGCTATGAACACACCACGTCTCGACACTACGCTGATGAGGTTTATTACAGCGATCATAGGGATTCCGCCTTCGAGGGAAGTGCAACCCTCCGCCGCGATTATCATCACTTCCAGCGCCCGATGGACCCATATCAGTGATTCGCAGGCAGGGGCGGACAGTCAGTCGTGTCATGGGTTCGCCAAGTCACAAAAAAAGCAGATAGCCTCAGAACTCGTGTACAAGGTGCAAGCGAACGTTAACCAGCTGCTTCTATAAACGCATCATCAACCTTCAACTCTTTCAACTCGGAAATGTGCCACCTTCCTGCAATCAAAACGGACACTGCATATATTACACCCAATTGTCATTTCGCATCTGCTTCAGCTTCAGCCTCATTTATCATATCAATCATCCTTCTACCTGATTGCTCCATTCTCATCGATTTCACCGCATATGCATCATAACGGACTGTTTGAAGGCGGAGGAGCAGACAAAATGCATCGTATATACGACATTAGATTTTCCGAAACCAAACACTGAGAATAAGTAACGCATCCATCTCATTTGCTTCTGTAAAATTCCAAGAAGTTGCTCTTCTCCTCCCAACCCATCCCTGTACGTTTCAATTTGCCTATCTGTGCAATGAGGCTGGCGCAAGTCTCAGAAAGCGCGTCTTCTCCCACATAGTCTGAGAGTAGTTCACTGGAAATAAACAACTGTGACCCCGGAGATTCCGAAGGGGCGAGGAGACGAATTGTTATTTGCGGGGCTGATAACGATGCAGCAAGGGTGAAGAGGTGTGAAAGTGGGCCCAGGGTCTTCGCGGGTACCGAATAAGTCAAGCTAGGGGCGACAGCTGTGGGAGGATCGTATCTACAGAGAATGAGAGGCAACGAGACCAGAGTGTAGAAGCTTAAACCTACCTGACACACATTACAAACACTTGATAACCCTTGACGGGCACGTTTTGACGAAAGACATCGGCGAAACGAAGAAGACCCCGCCCGTTACTTGTAGTACACTCGGGGAATACAACGATGGGTTTTGCAGATTTCTTTCTGATTTCCTCGAGACTGAATGCAGGCGATCCCGGCAAGTTATTGCCAAACGGAGGAGCATGTCCAGTAATCGATATCATTTTCAGCAAGGAAGCCTGCTGGAATCCGCGAATAGCAATGCGGGTAACAGGGGCTCGATTCGCAGTTTGTATGTTTGCAGAACCAGTGCCTGTGCGGCGTCCTGGAGTGTGGGTGATGGGCGTCGATGAACGAGAGCGCTCGGGGTGCTCTGGGACCGATTCAGGGACCGGAATCACGAAAATAGGGTTGAATCTGGTGGTCGTGGCGGTTTCAAACGCGAGAGGAAATGAAAGCAATGGCCAAACCTTATTGCGAGCCAAAGGACCTCTATCCATGAAGCCCAGTTGGACACGATGATGTCGCCAGCCTTTGGATCCCATGATTCCGCAAGTTTGGGGCCCTTCCTGTGAATTGTTTGGATGGAAGGTCGGAGGTGACGAAGGTTCAGTACACACCCACCCTCTTTTGCGGTTGAATTGTTCCGGTGAGATCCACACTAAACCCAGAATGAAAAGCACACTCCTTCCCAACAGAAACATCAGCAGATATTCAACGAAACGGTATAAAGGAGGTATAGGGAGCTGTGGCCATTGCCATGTTAGCTGTTAATGATACACATGAAAAGTGGGAGGTCTCACGAGAACTAGGCTGACTCCGCGGGCCACAACCAGATAGGCAACTGTTAGGACTAGGATTGAGGCGGTCCTGATAGTTCCCAAGACATAGCGAATGGGCAGGGTTAGTTTCCCGAGGAATTCAGACCCCACAGGTGGCACTGGTGTCAAAAAGGGCTGAACAAGTTTTCGGTGAATGAGTGACGCGTATTTAGATGCTCAAACCCACCTGAATGCCCGTTCCTGGGTCCTAGATTGGGATTTAGCGACGAATGGTAGGTTGGATGCGACACGCACCCTGTACGCGCTGAACTTCTCCATCGAGGTCAGATGCAGAGACCGATCATGAGACTGCCTCAATTGGACTGCGTCGTCGGCCCTGCCGCAGCCGGCATTCACGATGGAACTACGCTTCCTCTGAACCACCACCCACCATGTCTGCACAATCTCCTCCGGGCTTCTTTGCTATGATCAAGAAATATGCCAGATACACATTCAATCGATATCGCGCCCTCCACATCTTCGGCAAGGTCTGTTGCTGTCCTCATGTCGTCATAGATGCTCACACATCGACCCCGATAGTTATTCATCTGGCTCGTCATACTCATCTACGTCTGCATGGGTGCGCATGCTTGAAATTCGTCTCAAATATGCCTCATGTGAAATGCAGGTGCATTTATTGTCGTTGTGACACCTGCGCGCATTGCCCAATATCTCTATGACAAGGCTCGGATCCTTGCGTCGACACGGCTCGGATGGTTGGCCATAAGTGGCGCAATAGGTGCATTGAGACATTGTATGACCAAATTCCGTTCGCGAACCTTTCTTCACAGTTGTTATCTCATTCCCACCACTCATCGGACACACAACACTTGTCACGCTGTGTGGTTTTGCATATGGCCTGAAGGGATTCTTCATCGGGGCCCCAGCATCTTTGATCGGCTCTGCTGTCGTATTTGCTGTCCTCCGTTTTCTGTTCAGCGAGAGATTACGTGAATGGTCAAGCAAAAATGAAAAGTGGCAAGCTTTGGAATCAGTGGTGGTGGGTTGCCGTGTTCTACTCTTTCCTTGATGCTCATCGAAATTACGCAGACGGCCAAGGGCCTTCCTCTCATCATTTTGATTCGTATCTCGCCGTTTCCTCCATGGGTTTACTCCAACTCGTTGTTTGCTGTAAGACCGAAATGTGATGCAACGTTTAATTTTTGTCTCAACCCCGAATCCAGTCAATTGAAGCAGTGAAATTGTGGCAATTCGTGGTTGCCACGACGTTCGTATTCCCGAAGATTCTTCTGCACACATTCATTGGCTCTAAGATTGCTGAATTGTCGGATGGAGATCAACGCGGTCATATGGACACCCGTACGTCTCTAAACCAGTTGGTTGTGACCGCCCAGCAAAGTAAACTCCTTCGATAGGCACTAAAGTCTTGAATGGCGTTTTCGTCGGCGGTGGAATCTTGGTCGCTATTTTTACCAGCTGGTTTGTTGCAAATCCCTCAGGCGCCTTCATGGCTAAATTTGCGCCTCCAGGACTGTTTACAGCCTCGTCCAACGTCATATACGCCATCTGGAAGGTTTCTCTCCTGAAGTTGATGAGTTAGCTGCGGAGGCCATCGAAGATTATGATGAAGAAGCGCCACTGCTGTCCCCGACTCATAACTGACGATTTTGCCATCCTGTGGGCTAGTGCTCGTGGAGACGATGGGTATAGAGCTTGCGGGTATATATTATGTAGATAATCATATCCATCTCGTGTTGACCTCGAATAGGACAGTGTACAATAGAGAGATCCCCCACCCCCTCTCAATAGTAGTGTAAGAAAAGCAAACTAAAACTGGCACCAATAAGAAATACCAGGATGAATAAGCGTCCATCCTTCGCCCGTTTCTTCGCCTCCTTCAACTGTGAATTGCCTTTTTCCACAGTAGATGTGGCAGTAAGTGCATCCTCATAGAGTTGGTCCGTAAGAGTCGTCTGCTGCGTCAAGTGAGCGACGAGCTCCATTTGCAGGGCGCTAATATCCATAAGTCGGGATTCTGCCTGCTGGACCGACTCCAGGGTGTCTTGCACGCTTTTTAGGATATTGGCGTTTTCCTGCTCGAACTGCATAATCTGTGAGACAGATAGCTCAATGTCGTCATCCTCGTCATCCGATATCAGAGGTGGTGTAGGAATCTTGCGATAGGACGATTCTTGTGGGGATGTCGCGCCAATAGTAGCGGCAATCGTACTTTCCAGCCAGCCCCCTGGGCCCATGATCAGCGGCGAATTTGGCTGCGGTGTCGGGGGTGGCCGCTGGTGCGCCGTGTTCATCAAGAGAACTTCTTGTGCAGCCCCAGATCCAAGTGTTCTCGTCCGTTCTAGTTGGCGTTTGACGCGTTCTTCTTGGAGTTCTTTCTGAATTTGACTCGCCTCCATCAATCTGCGACTGAGGTACCAGGTTATGCTGGCGTGATGTGCAGCTATGACGTCGGAAGAAAGGGTGGCTTCGTCTTGCCGTAATCGTGCAGGAAGGAAGCGAGTCAAAGGGTTCGTCTTGCTCGCGACAAGCTCGGCGCGGCCTATAATTGCAATATATATAAGACAAACCATCGCACAAAACAGATAAAAGGGCGATTTACGCGCTTCTATTGCCTCCATTTCTTTCACTCGGTCAGAACATCGTTTAAGGATAACGCGAGCCTGCAGGTCTATTTGGTCTCGTTCCTCGTTCGATAGGTACTTCACGTTCGCCCACGAGGACGAGCCTTCGCTAAGGTCTATATTCCGCGATCCTTGTCGTGAAAGAGGAGAGCTGCGAGAGTCTATATTGAGATAGGCAGTCCGGATACTCGTTAGCATGCGTGTCAGGGTCTTTATGTGGTTCAACTGAAGAGGATGAAATCATTTAGGGGGAAGGAGGTTATTTCGAAATAGAAAAAGTGTACTTGCAATATGCTGGGCTTCCGCGATGTATGTCTTGTCCAGAGACACTTTGCCCTCCTCCGTCCGTGCCAGCTTCCCCACTTTCCTCCGTTTCGCCTCCGGGATGTTGACCTCTTGCTCTTGCACAGCTCTGCGAAACTCGTTCGTGATATCTTTGAATGGCATGATAATAAAAGGGGTCTGAATACACAGGTCTAGGGTTGATGACCAGCTAGTGGTGACGGTGGGGGGTGCGGAAAGGATTTGGGTTCACGGTAACGTTGTCCGTTTCAGGCGAACACGTGTGCAACGGAATACTATATATTCCGATTCGGCCCGTCACGAAGTTCTTTCTTCAACCACATCGTGCTGTTCAACTCTGTGAAAGTCCTTGCTCAGACGATCGCCCCTCCGGCCTTGGTGTGGAAAATAGAAGGGTCCTTGTTTGAGGTAGATGGTGTCATTCTTATCTATGTACCACCATTTGCCATAGTTTGTGACCAACAATCTGCTCATCTCAAGTCCAGGCTGATTCTATCAGCTTTAGTTCCATAGAGTAATGAAATCCATCATCCGGTGTACTTAACCCCCATTCATAGGATCAAACGACGATGAGGATGTGCTTTAATAGGTCCCCGGAAGAGAATGCGCTGCCTCAACCGCTTCCGGTATCGTTCATTCGCGCAACACCCCAGCGCATCTACAGCCACACAGTCAGGACGATCAAAGCATGAGGATTCGCCTATTGACTTACAGCAAAGATCATCTGAACCTCCATGAATGAGACGACAGATAGTCATCTTCGCCAGATTCATGATGTCCTCCTCTTTGACGAAGGAGCAATTGATGACGGCGATGTCTGTGATTGAACGACAGACTGCGGCAGAGTCGATGTCATCGATTTCCTCACACAAACGGCTCGGAACGAGATCTACCAGTGTTCTGCCGGACAATCTCCCACACCATCTCAGGTCTAGGGTTCTGAGAAAAGGGCATAGTCCGTGTGGCCCGTTCAATTGTTGCAGGGTGGTGTCTAGGATATCGCAGTCGTGGAGGTGAAGACGTTCTAGGAGAGGAAGCGCCCGAAAGATACGGTCATAAACGTTCGATTCCAGCGCCAAATCACGAATCTCCAAGAAGGAAAGCGGAGGCGAGGAACTGGTTAGGAATTGCACAACGCAAGATCCAATGTCTTCCTCCTGATTGTCGAGGGAGGAGTGAAGATGAAGGTGGGTTAGAGTAGGAAGTCGTAAGTGAGGCAGCAGACGAAAAATGTCTTTGGAACCCGTTAGACTGATCAATTGTAGAGTCGCGATTTCGACTGCATGCCCGTGAGCTACATCTATTTCGAAGACTTGATTGTGTCCATGGGGAACCTCGATTGCAAGTGTCTCGAGCGCAGTTAGTTCCCCCAATACGTCGATGACCGAGGACAGGGACTGTCTGGTTATTGGTATACAGTGACAAGGCAGTCGTAATGTGAGATGGGAGATGGACGCCGGTATGATGCCCCGTCCTGGGAGCAGGTTTCGATCTATACGAAGAGACCGCAGCTGAGGTCCACCGGCGAACGCAGTCCGCAGAGCTGTTAACTCGTGGTGATCACTATCGGCGTCGTCTGTGTTAACATTGAACTCTTGTGCAACTGCGATGTCGACGACGCTCAATTGGGGGGCGAGCTTATTCCAGGTTTGTAAGATTTGATTAACGGGGTGCAACATAATGGAGTTGATGGTCAACAGCTTCCAACGGCGTATTTCCTTCGTCAATAACTCCATAACGCTGTCCAGATACGAGGAGTCATTCCCAACTTCGAGATTGATTGTGAGCAGGGTATCCTCTGATTTCTCCAGCCAGAGACGAGTCCTCTTGCACGGATCTCGGGCGTCAAGGTTGACGTATATATGGGACCAGACTGTTGGGATGCTTGCTGCCTTCCTCCAGCTGGAACAAACATGAGAGACTGTCAACGGTGTTCGTGTCCACCCATCTTTCACGCATTCTTCGAATATGGATGCCAGGAGTTCAGGAGGCAGTCGCCGAGCTAGAGTGATCATCCCTTTGCACCGCCTTATGTCTGCGATGTGTTGTTGCCTCCGATGCTGTAGTTGACGGATTGACCGCATGAGGCTTTCGGTTTCTGTGTCCAGACGATGGATAGCGCGCTCGTGTTCAGAGATAGTCCGGTGGACCGCCGCTACGTCTACATCAGAGAAGGACACTTTCCGTGTTTCCAGTATTGCAACAAATTGCTGTTTCGAATTATTTCCCAGTTGCTGGGAGAGCCCCATACCAGTGCAAGCAAATTATACCTGTCAAGCGTCGAACGAATGTCGTCAGGTTACGATTGAAAGGCCTAAGAGACCTCTGCTTACTAGGATCCGGATATCAATGCGCACAGCTTGTAATTTCAACGGGAACTGTACGATACTGGTGAGAGACGTTCAAGTTCGTCATGGCGGATCATCGGCCCGGAGGCTTCTGTTTGAATTGGAGGCCGTTGGCCTCGTTGGCCTTTGCGGTCTGGCGATCAACGTTCAACGTTCAATGTTCAACTGTCACGCGAACCTTCTCCTTGTCAAGTCGAAGCCACAGTGAAAGGTAAATATGCTAATAACTCTTGTTTTCCTGCCGACGATGACTCAGAGTGGAAGCTATATTGACCCTTGCCCATGAATATCAGATAAGTTTACTTGGGTCAATGTGCAGACTGGCAATGTTCGAGATACTGCTGAGGCCCCTCTGTGTACCCACAAACCTTTATGGAATACGATGCTGATGATATTCTTTTGTCAGTTTGAGAGCCTGGGTTACCTTCTCACCATCATGGATCCACGACGAGTCCGAGACCCGCGTCTTGCTAGAGCTGACCCCCGGCTCCCACTTGCTTCGATGCCACCTTCCTCATCAAATCCACCACATAACGCTCCGAACAATCAATGGTCCGATCCAAATGGAACATCGTCATCACAGCCCCCTCAGGTGCAAGCAACTCCATCGAACCCTGTCGACCCGAAACCTCCACAATCATCGACACCAACGACCTCAACTTTACCCGTTGCCCCGTATAAACCAAGACCCTTATTTTGCGTCGTTTGTGCAAGCAACCAAGCGAGTAACTGCCTCATGATAGATTACTTGTTACAAGTCACTGATATTATTCGTCCATCTAGAACCGGTCAATGGAGGGTCACCATGTTCTCGCGTCAGTGGCATATCAAACGCGATGTGAAACACTTGTTGAGTCTGTTCTGCAGAAAAGCCGGATATCGTGTAATATCTTCTGGAACCGGTTCCGCCGTTAGGCTTCCAGGCCCTTCGATCGACAAGCCGAACATATATGCTTTTGGAACGCCTTACAATACAATATACGAGGAGCTAAGCACAAAGGATCAGCGTCTGTGAGTGTACTTTTTGAGGCCCTTGATTCCGATGAATCTAGACTGCAACTCAGGTACACAGCCAATGGTCTTCTCCAGATGCTTGACCGAAATCGACAAATTAAGCTAGCACCGGAAAGGTGGCAGGATACGAGAACGGTAGCCGATATCGTCATAACTTGCGAAGAGCGATGTTTCGACGCGGTCTGCGATGGTGAGTCCTCCACAAGAAAATACATCGCTTGTACTTAGTGAAGGACAGACCTTTTGGCGCGAGGAGGCGAATTCAACAGACCAGTGCATATTATCAATGTCGAGATTAAGGATAATCACGAGGAGGCCTTGATAGCTGGAAAAGCAATGCTCGACTTAGCTGCCGCAGTGAGATGTCCTTGAGTTGAAAGGTTGAGTAGAGTGATTGACCTCGTGAACACAGATTGAAGCTGCGAATGATATCGACGAGGGCATCGACAAGATTCTTGAAGCGCAACAGGAGAAACACCCACACAACTTGCTTCATGCCGTAGCCTATTATTAGACCCTGCAATCAGGATTGTTTGTCTTATCACGAAGCCCGCTCAGGTGTTCATGGATTGTCTTGGTCTATGGCGAGGCCTGCGACAGGTAGGACACTATTTCGCACAAGAATGAGGAGAGAACGAGCACGCAATGAGTGCGCCACCGATTGTATGTCGATTGAGAGCGTGAGAACTGAAGGCGCGATCGGCAAGATAATCTGGTATTTAGGAGGCGGGGCGGAGAAATAGCAAGTCTCAAGTCTTACATCTGACCTTCGTCCACAAATGCCTTCTCTTCGTCTCGGAAACATTGCCCCCGACTTTGAGGCTCAGACCACTGCTGGACCTATTAAATTCCACGATTGGATTGGCGACTCATGGGCAAGTGGCTTCTCTCTCCGCATTAGGGTCACATCTTATCTGCATCCCAGGCTATTCTCTTCTCTCATCCTGGAGATTTCACCCCAGTTTGCACCACTGAACTCGGAGAGGTCGCCCGTCGTGCCCCTGACTTTGAGAAGCGCAATGTTAAGGTCATCGGAATTTCCGCCAACGGTCTCGAGGAGCATGAACGATGGGTGAAGGACATTAATGCCTACGGGGCTAAAGTCGCACCCACAGACGTCCAATTCCCCATCGTATGTCCTGCGTCGATCATCGCATATGGACAAACCTGATATTCTTCTTCCAGATTGCCGACCCCGACCGGAAAATCTCCACTTTGTACGACATGCTGGACGAGCAGGACGCGACGAACCGGGACGCGAAAGGTCTCCCTTTCACGGTAAGACCTTATCACACCGTTTTTTCAAAATTTGTTCTCATGACATGAATATCCCAGATTCGCACTGTCTTCGTGATCGACCCGAAAAAGACCATCCGTCTTACTCTTGCCTATCCCGCGTCGACTGGACGCAACTTCGATGAAATTATTCGGTGAGTTGTTCAAGGCTTTGAATCCACTGCTGTTGTTGACCCTATTCATCCAGTGTCGTTGATTGTGAGCAAACTGAATGATGCATAAAGACATGTCTCTTAACTTCTTATTCAGCCCTTCAAATCGGTGACAAGAACCGTGTCACTACACCCGTCAACTGGAAGAAGGGTGACGATGTCATCGTTCACCCTGGCGTCACCAACGATGAGGCGAAGACTCTGTTCCCCAACTTCACTCAGCATCTTGTAAGTGCTAATCAATCAATCCGCTGATGATGAGCCTCATCGACTCTTTCACCATAGCCCTACTTGAGAACTACGCCGCTGAAGGCCGAATAAAGTATCTGTACAAGTATTAAACGCACTTGAGATGTAGGACTATTCACAGGCAATAAAATATCGAGTTATAACGCAAGTGGGAATAAGTCCAGTTTATAGTATATAGTTGTCTGGTTTAAAGATTTCTTTACTCAAGTCCCCGGGCCTGCATACCACGCGAGCGGGCTTACCAAACTCGCCTCCAGCGAGGCCTAGACGAGTCCCTGCTCAGCAGCACAGTCCTTGTGATCAGCTGCATTCTGTGGCAATTCACTCGTCTGACGTCAATACGCACCTGAGAGGAATAGCAGTCGGCTGAGAGAGAGCATCATTCATTGCATCTCTCGCAGCCCGCTCATTGTCTCTCCAGTCTATTAAATTTTTGCTTACCCTCCCACCGCTCCCTATTGTTATTGTATTTTCGTTACTCGTAGCACTAGCTGTACGAATTCCTGTATTTGCATGGAGCTTGGGTGGCCTACCGGTCTCCAAGCTTCCACCCGCTGCTTCCGCGTGAGTCCCTTCGCCCGGAGAACCATATCTTATCTAAGGGAGCAGCAGATGTCGTTGGACAACAGAGCCAAGCAGAGCACATGCAACTGGACGCGCGTCGACGATTGAATTAAACACCTATTCCTCTCAATCTCTCACAGCTTACAATGGCAAGCGCGAATGGTGGTGCTTACAGGTACTCGCAGCACTCAATCTCCACGCGTTTGACCTGATTATCGGCCATAGTTACTCCCTGACCGTCTTCTCACCGAGCGGGAAGCTCGTTCAGATCGAACACGCTCTTGCTGCGGTCGCTCAGGGTACTACTAGCCTCGGAATCAAAGGTGCGCGTGAACCAGCATGGCTGAATGCAAGGGTACTAAAGTATTCTTCAGCCACGAACGGAATCGTAATTGCGACAGAGAAGAAGACATCCTCCATCCTAATCGACGATTCTGTGATTGAGAAAGTTGCTGTCATTTGCCCTAACATCGGAATAGTTTACTCTGGAATGGGTCCAGATTTCCGAGTTCTCGTCACCAAAGCACGCAAAAGCGCTCAAGCCTATTGGAAGATTTACGGCGAATATCCACCAACGCGGGTACTTACCCAAGAGATCGCAACCGTTATGCAGCAGGCAACTCAATCAGGGTAAGGACCCTTTCGACTTCAAATGAATCTACAGCAGGTACCATGCTGATGCCCAACTCAGAGGCGTGAGGCCCTACGGGGTATCGTTATTAGTTGCTGGATGGGACAGTCATCGGGGACCTACCCTTTATCAAGTTGATCCTTCCGGTTCTTTCTGGGCATGGAAAGCCAGCGCTATCGGAAAGAACATGATCAACGCCAAAACTTTCCTGGAGAAACGGTGTGTTACATCACAGCGTGGCTTTAATAATGATCTGATTCCGTGACTCTTGCCATCTCGCTGTTTTCCAGATATAATGATGATATCAGCCTCGAGGACGCCATACATACAGCTCTTCTAACACTCAAGGAAGGCTTCGAAGGACAGATGACCGAAAAGACGATAGAGATCGGTGTGGTAACCGTTCCGACACCTGCAGAGCTCGAAGAGGGAAAAGTCGGCGGGGAGACAGGTCGGCCAAAGCCAACATTTAGGAAGTTGACTGAAGAAGAAGTTCGGGACTATTTGGCGCTGTAGTTGGGCGGCTGCCGTTTCTGGTCGTTGTGTACGTACTATATATGTTTTGCTCGCGTTACATGGAAAGTTTGGACACCGCATCATCTCCTACCACGTTTCTTTAAAGTTTACAGGTCTCGAGACGTTGGCCTACAATTCCGGATGGTCGGTCATTGCAAACAGCAAGATGAACGGCGAGAGGGTTTTGATTGATGACATTGCCAAATCTGTTTGCGTCGAGAACTGATCTTTTGTTGATCAATTCAAGTTTCGTGTTAGGGCTGTAGTGCTCATATTCCAGCCCCGATATCAAGTCCTCACTCAACTGCCTGAATGACGCATTTCTGGGCTTTCGCCATTCTGACATTGGGCTGTGTCGTGTTCTCGGAAAACCGGAAACATCGCCTTGCAACATTGGGGCATTCTATTGCCTTATTCCCTGTGCACCACATCATCCTTATCTAGCTGAACACCGCTTATTCCGGTGTACAACAACCATCACTTTCGGTCTCCTGATTTCCCAGTCGTGCGTCAGGATCCTTGAAGAAACTACATGAGCTCTGTCTTTAATATTTATTTTCCAGATCCATCATCAACTGATGTTCATTTATTATTGGCTTCAGCGGCCTTGAAGCTCGAGCCAGCGCTAAAGATGGAATCTTCGCCCTGAAATCTCGACTCGCCCTCTCCGCGTCTAAGTTGACGTTGTCACAGATTCAGATCTCCCGTCCGATGGGTTGTCCTTCCCCTTTGCGTTTTGCTTGGCTGTTAGCACGGACGCCAGAATTATAAAAAGCGACGGACAGTGTCTTGCGCTCCAGTCCTGGTACCTCGAACAATTGCAACATGTCCGAAGCCACCACCTCCGCCGCCACCTCCCCCACGCCCAAAGTTCCCAAGCGCGCTCAGATCGCATGCACATATTGTCGCCGTCGAAAACTCAAGGTGATAGTCCAGCCTTCATAACCACCCTAGACCGTCTGACGCAGCTGCTCAGTGCATCTCACCTGGGGACGAGTCACCATGTGATCGATGCAAGGCTAGCGGCAAAGATTGCCACTACGAGCCAGTCAATCCACCACCGGCTGGCGACGCTCTCCCGACCTTCAACATCAGCCCTAACCCGTATCCGGCTTCACCCAGTTACACCACCTCCCAAGGTGACACTCCTTGGAACCCGCCCATCCTAAATCCCGGCTACTCTCAAGGCCAGGTTTCTGGGTTTCCTCCTTCGACCGGTGGTTATCAAGGACCGTACCCTGGCCATTACCCTCCCCCCAACCCTACCCCCTCTCATGTTGGCCAACCGCCGATGTTCCCACCGCCGCAAAGCCTGTATCCACAAGGACGCTACCCTCCTCCGAACCCCCATGCCCAACACTGGACTGAGAATCCTGCCCAGTCCAATTCGGGCGCTAATAGCGCGCAAGGCTTCTATGGGCAGGTCCCGTACTCTTCTACCTCCCACGGCGATTATCCTGGCTCCGGAGGGGCTATGCCTATGGACTACCCTTACTACTCGCAGTCGAATTACCATGATAAGTGAGTCTTGATGGTTCTGTTCGTCTCTTTCCCAAGCTCATCTCGTTTGTTCAGGGATTACGGCCACTCAGGCGGTAGATAGTCTGACCCAGCCGCATGCTATCCTCTTTTTTGGCCACTACACATATCCTACTACCTCTTGCATAATCTCCACCCTGCTCTCGTGCCGGACCTTCATACTTAGTGCAATCTTGTTCATTTAATGCTGCATACTATTTATTTCAACAAAGCCGCGAAGGGAAGAGGGGAGGGTACCGATAGAGAGCCATTTGTTCGTCACGGCAAGTACCCGCAGCCAACGTAAGTTGTGCCGTCGGTGTCCCGGGCAAGTCAAACCCACCAACACTCGATGTGATATAAATTACCAAGTAATGAACCAGGCCGCGGATGCATTACATTGGACTGGAAACGTCAGGAAGATCTTCCATAAGATGCGTGATGAACTTTCGAAGTAATTTTCTGAAAGCAAGGCGCTGAAAAACCTAATACTTGTGAGAATGTATAAAAACAGAACCTCCAAGAGGACGCTCACCTGGATTTTAATATCATAAGTACACGCGGGTATGCCTTTAACTCCATTAGAGCCAACCGTTTCGACCCTTACAAGGTTCTGGAGTGGCAGTAAGACAATGCAACATTCCGCCCAAGCTACAGAGCACCAAGTGTCCTCTGAGATTCTCACTGCATAGCACTGCATCCACTGCTCCCATCTGCCCACACATCGTTTGACAGAAAGGCCATCCGAAAACAAGAATTTTCCGACCACTCTCAGTATGTATACAGCATTCTGCTAGGTATCGTCCTTCGAGGCAAGCAATATACAATATTATTGAGCAAGAGCACGAGAAGATTTCGTTGATGATTTCGTGAATTACAGTGGCCATTCAAGTTTCTCACCAAAGTTCCAATGAACGGCTTTGATCGATGTATACTCCTCTAAAGCATAACTCCCAAGTTCTCGGCCTGGAAGAACAGTCATGAGCGATGATGTTTTAAAAATGCCTCCAGGATCAAATCACAGTGCCGGGGCGAGGAGCAAATAGAAGAAACGACATACCGATGCCCGATTGCTTCTTTCCGCCGAAAGGAACGTTGTTATTCAATATATTGTATTGATTCACCCATACCTATAGGCAAATAAAAGTTTCGATGAATGAAAGAGCTCAATTGTAGATTCAAACCGTGGATGACGTTCATCTTGGAGCTGGGAAGATGACAAGATGTTGCCACTTACCGTGCCAGCCTCAAGGGCGGACGAAACGCGCATGCACTGATTTGCGTCGCCTGAAACGACGTCATTCAATATTCCGAGGGGTAACGGAGGTGAGATATCCCACTTGAATGCAATCCTGCACCTAGACCATAACTCGTGTTGTTGGCGAGTAAAATGGCCTCCTCCTCAGTCTTGAACACGCCAACCGACAACACTGGTCCGAAGATCTGATGGATTAAGTTGGTGTGAGCGTTACGTAAAGAAATAGAGGCTTACCTCTTCTTTCACCTGCGAAGCAAGAACGAGGTGTCAATAAAGTAGGGATTGGAGTTACCGATGTAAATGTTTTTTACGATTTTCATATCCGGTTGGATGTTTGTAAAGACTGAGGGAGCAGATCGGATACATGATAAGAAAGCAGCCGACAGGGTCAGAAGTTGTCCTCATCGCGGTAAAAAAAGACGCTGGGAAACTCACTGGTGGGATCAACGTAGTAACCCTTGCCCTCTCTCTTCACTCCACCGAGGATAGGCACGGCCCCTTCCTGTTTGCCAGATTCAATGTAACCCCATACACGATCATATTGTGTTTTAGAGACCTTAATGCCGATTGTTATCAAGCGGAGGCCAGTTGGAAGTGGAAAATATTTTTTTACTCACCACAGGACCGCCTCCCGTCTGGTCATCGAGGCCATCTCCAATGATCTGCGCCTTGACTTTTGCGACAAGGAGCTCCAAAAATTTGTCGTAAACGGACTCTTGTACATAAACGCGCGAACCTGCCGTGCAGTCTTGGCCAGAATTGTAGCAGATTCCAAGAGCGGCCCAGCTGGCAGCTGCACAATTGAAAGTCGATCAGCAAACACATGGTGAACGACAGGAAAGGGGAATAAAGTTAGCTGCAAACAGAAATTGTATTTTAAGGCTTTGGCTCCCCACCATCTTCACGAATCAAAAGCGTACTGTGGACACTCTGGGGGCAGTTCTCATTCTAGGAAGAGCGCTATTCATTAAGCCTGACAGCCGCCACTTGTAGCCTCGTTGGAGACAAACACGAGGGACACGACCATCAGCGCCGCCACCAGATTATGAGGCTTGATCCACGGGGGAAGGCCGAAGCAGGATATCCAGCTTCGCACATCATCCAAGAGGAACCAAAAATATTTGGAACACTGTTAGGTTCGCAAAACATCAGGAGGTCTCCTGTCAAGAAGGCGACCACGGTGCGTATGGCATGCCGTAACGAGGGGGAAACGCCACCTTCTCAATGGCCATTGTTCATTTCGCTGAGGTACGAAGTGTGCGGTGCAGAGAATTAGGAGCTCGTCACTGGTCCGGAAGCTTTCCCGCAGCCTCCCTTACCCAGTATGAGAGTAGCCAGTAACAGATACAGAGGAGAATGCATGTGCATGGGGTAGATTCTCACCTTGTTCCAGATCGGCTGACTCGAAGACAAGGTGAGGTGATTTGCCACCGAGTTCAAGAGACACCTGTCGCATCCGTGAACTGTTAGTTACTCGGGTTGCAACGGGCCAGAGCATTCTTCAAACGCGCCTTCTTCAAATTGCTCTTAGCAGCCGCTTCCATGATTTTCCGGCCAGTGACGGTTGAACCAGTAAACGCAACTTTATCCACATCCAAGTGAGCAGAGAGGGCAGCTCCGCCGACCTGGCCAAGCGAGGGTACTGTATTAATAACGCCAGAAGGGAAACTAGCGCCACAGGTTGATTGGGAAGCAGAAGCAGTGGACACAAGCACATACCCGGCTTCTTTGACAAGTTCGGACAGTTTCTTAACGGTATATGGGTACCAGCCACGATCAACATGGATAGGAAGAACGTACGAGAGCCGTTAAGGGCGTGAGTTCTGACGGTTTCATCACGATAGTGCAGCCTACCGCAAGAGCCGGTGCGACCTTCCAGGACCTAGAGAATCTCTCTGAGAAGAAGAGTTCATCAAGCAAAATTGAGAGCGTACCACATGTTGATGGGGTAGTTCCATGGAATGCTAGATAAAAGATATATGAGCAGGGGTTTCAAGGTGACGATTCAGATCTACATTTGACCACAGACTCCGACAGGATCATGGCGAGTAAACGCGAGCTTTGATTTGTTATCAACTTCGATGGTCTGGGAAGTTGTATGAATCAGCCTCAAACACTCAAACCAATAGAATATTTTCACCTGACCCATTATTTTGTCGGCCCATCCGGCGTAATAGCGTAGACACTGGATGCTGTCTCCGATATCAAAGTCCCTAGTTAGATGATCAGAGCTACACTCGGTATAGGCAGGGTTCTCTGATCACCTTGCGATCCGGATGGGCTTACCATTGTTGAGGGCCTCAAGTTCTGCAAGTTCTTGCGCGTCGCGCTCAATTAGATCGGCTAACTTGTTGATGAGCATTGACCGCTCAAAGCCGGTAATATTCTTTCCCCAGGTGGTTTGGAATGCCTTGCGCGCAGCAGCGACGGCGACATCTATGTCCTTCTCGGAACCTGGGAGAGTCCAGCGCTGTCAGGAATTTGTGGGGACTACGACCGACCTGCAACCACGGAACAAAGAACTTCCTCTGTTGCTGGGTTTATAGCACTGTCTGATGGTCAACCACTAATCTTATCTGGGCGAGAATACAGGGAAGACTGACTGAATGAGCTCTTTGGAGTCGACCGAGGGAACAAACTCGTTGTTGATGAACAGACCGGTGGGAACGGTGATAGTCTTATTGAGACGGGGAACATTTACAACAGCTGAGAGGGACATGGTGGTGGTGTGGAAGCAAGCCGCTGATAACGCTCTGTGACCGACGCTTCTTGATTTTGAACCATCACCATCCGGCCGTGGGAATTCGTCGCCCCCACCATGGCCGCGCTCTACACTACCGAACTCCTCTCATTAATCGGCATCGTCCTCCATCGGGCCCCACTCATTGCCTGATTCCTTATCTATTCATTAAACCAACACCTTTTCTTATTTATCGGAGAAGATCGCGACTTCGGCGTGGTTGTATCCCAATCGCTTTGTTGGAGGCCCGAAGACCTTGTTTACAACAACCTCAAAGCGCAACTGATGGCCCTACTTGACAGGCAGCCCGTGTACCGTCTTGCTCTGCTTCGCGCAGACCTTTCGGGGGCGCAACCTAGTCATGGAAGGCAACCCATGGAGGGAGGAGGCTAGTCTCCGATCATCAGCCGTGTTGCCTATGATCCGGCTACACCCCTTGGGGAGAAACACTAGATATTCGACCGCCTTCGCATGGTAGGGGGATGCTACAGGATGCGTGCCTTAGGGTTTGGGAAATGGGGGAGGAAAGCGGGTGGGGTTGTATCAGAGGGCGGAAGGCATAGTGGAAGGCAGAGTCACTCGTTTCAACATTTCACTTCCAAACCATCCAATCTCGTTAGGGGTACTTAGCACCTACATGTGCTGCCCCCGTCAATGGCGTTGGCCCGGCACACCAACCATGCAGGCGACTGACGGCTTGGAAGCTTCGGCGCCCAATGCTGGGAAGGACTAACACCATGAAGCCCTTGATTGTTTAGATTCGGCGAACCGCAAGGAAACTGGTCAGCTCTCACCAACTGTCTCAACAGCTGGAAGCTTCGGCGCCCAATGGGGCTTCAACCAAAGGCGGCGGGTCGAGGGATGGGATGATGAGGAGGGTCGTTTAGGTGTAGCCTACCTCCAAGGGACTGTGATCGAACACCCTATTTTTTGTGTATTTGGAGTACGTCTAAAATACACCCTACGTGGAAGACTTCAAAAATAACGCTCTGTGATGCCAATCCCATGACCGTGTCCTAATCGCCCCCACGTGACTCCATCTAGACGTCTATTTATAGAATACTTCCTTTTCGAGGACACGCCGGCCCAGCTCCTCATGGATCTATGAGGTCAAGCAGTCAGAAGCTTAGTGAAACGCATAATTGGCTGTATCGACACCAGGGGAACGATTCAGCAGCACTTCGAAAAAATTGACACGAAGGAACTTGGAAACACCGATCTTTTCTCCAACTGCTTTTCCTTCAAGTTGTCTGGACCACTGGCAGTTCATCCTACTAGCTCTTCCGATCTCACCCTGTTCATCAACCCACCAAGGGATGCCTTCTACACTAGCAAGGCTCCAAAGCTGTAACAGGTGAAAATACCGGGTGACTTCATCAACCAACGACTACCCGTCACCAGGATTGTGTGTTTGAACCGCCGGCTACTGTCCTACTAGTAGTCCATCTGGTGGCCTGCGACCTGCCAATTTACCATTATCATAAGGTCTATATGTGCTCAGGCTGTCCCATCGAGGTGGCACCCTTTCGTCGTTCCTATACAGCGTGGACTTAGCCAGGTAATTCCTCCTTCCGCTGCAATGCTCATATGTAAGCATATGTATCGCCCATCTATCTTAATACATAGATCGATCCGTTTTCGGGTGCACAAGCGAAAAACGTGGTCGAGGCATATGTTCAAGCGCCCCTGCTTCAATTTACTTGAGGAAAAGGCTCCGTTCCTAGATTGGATAGGTGCCTCAGCGCCTTAAATCAGCCTGAGAATGTTACTTGGGTTTCAAAGTTTTCGCTCGCTACCACGTTTGATACCGCCGATGAGCAATTCCTGGGGTATGAGGAATTGACTTGGCAATGAGCACTGATTCCGCCACGTGATGTCCATGACGCGTTGCCTATTTTTAGTAGCCGCGCTACCAACTCTGGGCCTGGTCTTCTCTACTGCATCCACGAAGATTCACGAATCCTGGTACAATGCAGACATCCACCTATGTCTTCACGTCATCAAAGTACAACTTCGCGACCTCCTCACAGAAGTGCAGAGGACAACGACCAACCTTGTCTAATTCCCAGCTGGCCCTCCATGCCTGCGGAGCCCTTACGATCTCCAGCACAGGTTTCCTTCCATTGTTGCCCCCTGCAGCCTCAGTACAACAGATAAAAAGTAGAGGAATTATTCTGCCATGCAGCGAGGATTCTATTGGGGTGGCAGACCTTGTAGTACGCTTTCAGCCGTACTATCCTAGCCAATCCTAACGCGACCTCCGTCAGTTACCCTTCGGCGACCAGTTGACTCGTGGAACAAGATCACGGCTGGAGAGGTCTATAAGGAAAGGACTCACACATTCCCGCAGCGCGAGAGCGGCGGCCAATCTGATTGATGTGAGTCTCCATCTGAAGTGATGAAGAATTCCTGAGAACTCGATTCAGCTCCAGTCGTCCTATCGATCCGTTCAACGCGACGATCAAAACCCCACACCAAGCATGATTAACGAAAATAGCCTAAACAGGCGATTTGGTGCGACTCATGCTCTAGATGCGTTTCCGGCTTGTGTTCCTGCGATTCCTGGTCTCTTCCCGGTCACATAACGAGAGCAGCTTACAACACGGTCAAACCCGGTGTAGGGGGAGAAAATCAAATGTTCGTTTCAAAGGGATTCAAATACGAGCTCTGCACGCCACAGTAGCTTCCGAGCTCGAACGAATATAGCCATAAGGACTTTCTGCGTCCGAGGGGATTCCCTAGTATTGAGCCAAAACCGCGCATATATTCCATAACCTTCCACATCCCCGGGCCTTGTACTTTAGGTGATCCGTTATAATGCAATCAGGGATCTTGAGTAACCCGTCTGCATTATTGAATCCGGGGTTTCAGGCGCTGTTTCCGACAAGCTTAACCTAGCAAGAAAACAGACAAATTCATTACTGAGAAATCAGGGTAATTATCTAGGACAAGGGAGGTAGCAACGGAATGAAACCGTGCACAGATACAAGGTTCGTAAGGCTCGTCCGAATACAAGTAGTGTATGCTTGTAAAACTCGAGACATGATTCTACGGCGTTAGAGCGTGAGGGAAGCAGATCGTGCGCGATAGGTTCAGATGCTTTTCGTGAATGATGTTCATGGAAAAGACGCGAATACAAAGGTGGAAGTTGCTGGTGACGTATCATCATCCCCCCGCTGTAAGTAAATTAGGCCAGTCGGACCTCAACGGGAAGCCACGCCATTAGACGCCGTTGTGAGGCTTCTCCGCGATTGAATCGTCACTGGACGTGAGAGGGGGAATGATCGGAGGAGTCCATCTCTTGTACAGCGGGCGTCGGATGAACTTCCAGACTTCACACCATAACAAGAAGACGATGGACATGCCAACCACGATTCCCCATTCCCAGCCTATGCCGCTTTGATAGAAGACACGAGTGTTGAATGTGGGGATGTAAATCGCTGGAAAAAAGAATGAAACCATTAGTGAGCAAATAGACGTTTAAAGAACGATATTAGACTCACGTAAAACTACGCTGACCATACCACCGATCGCCGACCAGAACAGGACGGGGTTAGCGAGGAGATCTTTCATGAAGAACCGACCAGGGGTAAGGGAGAACAGAGATCGATCGACTAGACGAGAGTAAAAAAAGTGGCTCAGCAATTCAGTCATCAGAAGGTAATACAACGCATAACGCACAAGACTTAAGCTCTAGCCCATATATAGAGATGGTGAAAATCAAGGTGGCAAAGGTGGTGGATCGTGCCCTGAAGACGGTGTTGCAGATTTCAGTTGCGCTGTGGTTGCATTCCTGACCAAGATCTCCGCCGTTCTTGCCATAGACAACGATAACGAACTGCATTTGAGCCAAGTCAGCGGGAATATACACCGATTGAGGCCTTGACACGTACACTCAACAAGGATGTTCCACCCATAACTATTCCGTAAGCCAGGCAGTCAAGGATAACAGGCCATGAGAAGACACCATCTTTAATGTTATGAGGTGGCCGTCTCATGAGATCTGACGATGCCTTTTCCAAACCGAGACCGAACGCAGGGGGTGAACTTGTGAGCTAGAGGTCTATCAGCACGAGCACGGGGAAGACAAGAGATGACGAAAGAAACTGACCATGTTAACCCAGAGAACACCGATCGGGCTGAGAGGGAAGACACTCCTGTTAAGTCCGTCCAGGAAACAAAGCCCGACGATCAGAAGGACGACTTCAGCGACATTGGTCGTCAACAGGTGCAAGATGAATCGCTGAATGTTCGTAAACAAGCGGCGACCTTCGCTGATTGCCACCACGATGGAGTTGAAGTTGCTGAGCAGGAAGCATGAGACGTCAATGTAAATGAACACAAGCAAGCACCTACTCGTCCGTTAGAACAAGATCTGAGGCGTCTTTGGCGACGTCAGATCCTGCCATGCCCATAGCAATTCCCACTGGCGCAAGTTTGAGAGCGGGTGAATCATTGACACCATCTCCAGACATGGACAGATGCTTTCCACGACGCTTGCCCGCATGGATCATTCGAACTAACCTAACACTCAGCACCATACAAATGTAGTTAGAATAAATCCCGTACCTTTAGTTTCCGGGGCGCAGCGGGCAATAACAAGGGGTAATTCCGGCAACGCATCAATCTCCGCATCTGTCAGCTTGTCGAACTCAGTCGCCTACGGAACAAAATGTCAGAACATGGGCCAGCACGAGATAAATGGCAGGCATACCGTCATGACAGCACTGGCGGGAGCATCAAGCGAAATGATTTCCACAGCCTCGGCGATAGCCCTTGCCGTCGTTACATGATCACCGGTCAGCCTTCAGGAAGATGGATTAGTAAGTTCAAGGAGCATGAGAATCCTCAAACTTACATGTGCACCACAATTCCTGCTTGCTTGCAAGCCCTGACAGCGCCTAACGTTTCTGGTCGCGGGGGGTCAAAGATACCGGCCAGTCCGCGGAAGATGAAATCCTTTTCAGCATCCTCCCGAGATAGATCTTTCGTAGCTTCCTCAGGGATGGTGCGTGACGCTAATCCGATGACACGAAGACCGTGAGATGCCAGTTCCTCGGCTTTGACCATGAAGGTGTTCCTGATTTCCTGCGTCAAAGGGGACGTCTTATCGGGCTCCTCTTCAGGTGATGGTACATAGGCGACGGATGCGTCGAGAATGCGTTCAACCTGGGAGGAATCTATTAGACGCGCTTCGTTGAGCAAAGCGATTGAGACGTACAGCACCCTTGATGAGGACCAATCGCTCCTTTTCGTTCTCGTTGTCTTTGAAAACTGTCGTCATACGCTTCAACTCGCTGGAGAAGGGGAATTCAACTTCAGCCTCAAATCTCTTGGGCTGTTTCTTAGAAGCGTCATCCTGGAAATGAACCCCGTCCTTCTCTCCACCCTCAATGATCTGACCAAGAGCTGGGCGTCCCCTTGGACGATCTTCAAGTTCAGCGGCTTGGGCCGTCAAGTTGGAGCGTCCGAGTTTTAATTTGGAGGCGAACACTTGGAGAGCCACCTCAGTTGGATCACCAGTGGACTTCCACTCGCCCTTCAAGTTCTTGTGGATACTGGGTCAAGAACGATGAGCAGTATATCAAACATATGAAGTCATGACATACGTTGCGACGTTGCAAAGTGAAGCGACACGAACTGCCCTTGCCAATCCTTCTTTGACAGACTCCGCTTCGAGGACAGAGCGATCGCTATCTCTGCGAACGATGCCGACGGGTTGCAAAGCGTCCTGGGTAGTTTCTGCAGTGAATTCTGCAGACTTGTTGGGATCTCCGGCAAGCCAGAATTTCCGAACAGACATTTTGCCTGTAGAAAGCAGCATGAGCCAACTCAAGAGAAGAGCCAATGAAAAAAAAAGTACCTAATGTCAGAGTACCTGTTTTATCACTGCAGATGTCGGTCACGCCGCCCAGACTTTCGAGGGCATCCAATTTGCGAACGATGACGTTCTCTTTGGCCATGCGTCTTGTCCCGACGGCCATAGTCAGCGTTAAGACAGCAATGAGTGATTCAGGAATGATGGCGATGGCTACTGCGATGGCGTAGAGGGCGACTTCGTCGGTGATTGCCCATCGCGCAACCGAGAACACGATGATGGCCAAGATGACTGCGCAACCAAGTAGAACGAAAGCCAGCCTCGCGAGCTTTATCTGTAAAGGAGTTCCTGACCGAAGCCCCCTAGAAGAGGTCAGATTGGTAGCTCGACAGCAAGACGCCTCCTACTCACAAGAACTCTAATACTGCGTTGACCCAGACAACGTACCACGGCCTCGTGTCATGAATACGTTCACCAGAAGCATCCGTCTTCCCACTAAGAACATTGGCGATACGACCGATCTGAGGAAAGCTCAGGCGCTGTAATCAACCAAGAGAAACCACCTCATACCTGGGTATTCATGGCGGTGGCAATCGTCACCCCAGTTCCGCGACCCTTTGTGACGACCGTAGAGGCATAGCATAGGTTGAGTCGGTCACCAATCGGAATATCCAAGTCTTCACTTTCAAAAGTTGCAGTATTCTTTGCCACTACGTGAGGAAGTGAGGAAGGTGTCGAGATGGGAGCAGTTGATGACATCATACCTGGCACCGATTCTCCTGTGAGCAAATGTTCCGAAATTTCAAGGTTGGACACCGTAATCAGGCGCAGCTAAGAGAGCAAAGGAGTGAGCAGATGGCCAAGGCGGACATTTAGACTTGGGATCAAAGCTTACATCGGCGGGAACTACGTCTCCAGCTTTGATAAGGACAAGGTCGCCTGTACTTTGATTTAACAGCATGATCGTTTCCAATGCGGAACGACGAACCAGGTACGACATTCTTGGCTGGGATAGCAATACTTTCTCCATTCCGAATGACAAAGGCTGTGGGTGACGAGAGTTGTCGCAACGAGTCCATGGTCTTCTCAGCGCGATATTCCTGGAAAAATCCAACCCTGACAGTTGGGTTAAACGGGTGACTGCGGTGTGAACAGAATCCGCGCGACTCACGTCGTGTTAAGAACAATGACTGCGGCGATGACACTTCCCTCAACAAAATCCTCAACACCAAAACTCAATGCCAGGGCTGCCAGCAAAACCATGGTCAGGGCGTTCGCTGCATGACGAGCAATAAGTAAACTGGTGCAATCACAAAATCTGAACACTCACCCAGTTGGCCAAAGAGCACCTTCCAAGCCGAGACGCCTCCCTTCCCTTGCAACAGATTCTCTCCGCACGACTCGAGGCGACGGGCAGCCTCATTTCTCGAAAGACCGTCATTGGGTGAGGCACCAAGATCCTCGAGGATTTGTTCGGGGGTAAGGGTGTGTGCGCTAGGCGCTACAGAGGTGAAGTTCGGGTTCCGAGGAGGGACAGTGACCGAGATGGTCGTGTCTGTTCGACTCCCAAGCTTGAGGTCCTTGCGTCGACCAAAGATACACATGAGGTTGTGGTGGGTTAGAAAGTGATCGGATGACCTGGGGCGCACTTATATACGAAGAGGTAAAGCCTCTATGCCAAGACTTGAGAAGCTATTATCTTATGCCGAGTATCCTAAGATGAAGTACCAAGTCTTTACAAGGCTCCAAGAATGTAAAACCAAGAAACCTAAGACACGGCAAGCCGACCAGGCGTGATCGAAAAAGTTCCCGGGTCCGAGGGAAAGGGACAGATAGACGCCGATAAAATGCGAAAGGAGTTCGCGGGAGTCATACTGCATCTGAGGTGGATGCAGAAGGTAGAAGAGCGTCGCGGTTTGTTGGAGGATGTTGACTGCGATGGGCGAAGTGCCCTAATGGACGAGCCAAGCCTTGATCGATGACATAACCGGAACTGAGGTCTTGGCCGGCTTGGCGCCCTGGGATAGCACCCCGTTATTTTGCACTGGCGGCGCTCCGACGCATCGGGGCACTGGCCAATGGGGTCGGACGTGACGTGACGTGGTGATGCGTGACTAACGTGACGAGCAGCCCGAGGTGCCCCGGCACGGCTGGAGCTGCCTGGTTATCCACCTTTCTCGCTGTCCATCATGTCCTTGTCTGTTCTCGCTCGTTCCTCCGCCCTGCGTCAGCAAGCTTTCACGCACGCGCGCTCTTTCCACGCTTCTGGCTCCGCCCGTTCTGCACATGACGATTACCATGTATGTATCCATGCCTATTCCCCCGGAATCCTCTAATCCGTCTTCAGCATCTCCCATTCGCTTTCCCTGGGGACAAGAAACTCTCCTTCGGTGTAAAAGTCGGAGCATACCTCGTCTTTGGCTTCTCCATTCCCTTCATCGCTGCTGCATACCAAATGTGAGCAAATTCGCAATTTTTATTCTTTCGTTCACTTACGCACCCCGCACTATAGGAAGAAGAGCAGTGGATCTGACTAGACGACACAATAGACGCACACGATTTAGATGCATACCCAAGACTATTACAATACATAGAGTACCGGTTTTGGAACGTCTCATGAAATACTACTGATGGTCTGACCCCCAGCCATCGACTCCGTCGCCAAAATCTCCAACGAGTCTTTCACCGCAGCCGCATCAATGTGGTCTTCAATGTCTCCATCATTTCCGCGAGCAAGTGCCTGCTCGAGAGCCTGTTCGAATGCCGTTCTCTTCCGAGCCTTCTTATGAGTGAGGTGTGTCCGGCAATCACATGTCCGGGTCATAAAATCGGAATCGCCTTCCAACGCGTCCAACGCGAGCATTGAGGCTTGTCTGGCAGCTGAAGTCGTTGTCATATCTTCGCCGCTGGCCAATATGACCTCGTGCACCAGGACTAAATAAATCTCAGTGTCGGTGCAGGTTGTTATCGCATGGAGCAGACCACCTACCATGGCAGCGATTAGTAGTTTCATCGTTGTCCTTTACTATCTCAAAGTGCTGACAACCCTGAGCCTGGAACAACTCGAACAAAATCTTTGTGGGATGGTGGGAGAGCGTATGCAGTGTGATGTGCTTGTCGTAGAAGGGCTTCAACACATGGTCGAAAAGTGATTCGGCCCCGACCGGGGAAAAATTATCTGAGATGTAGATGGCCCCAATAATGGATTCAACGACGTCGGAAAGTGCCTGGTAGGGTTGCAACATGCGGTCAAGCAATGTGGATCGAAGTGAATTGTTCATATGTACCTTTGGTGGCTCGAGGTCTAACCAGTACTGACCAGGAGATCGGCCTTCTTGCACTGCGAGTGCATACTCTTTTTCCTGTCGCTCCTTCAACTCGTTGGCGTAGGCTTGTATGCTGTATGCCAGCTGCGACGACTCGAAAAGGAGGTACTCTTGCAGCCCTGACCAAACACAGACCGCAGCTAAAGCCGAATTAGAAACCATTGCACCCTGGATCGTGGCCAACACGTTTAAGTAACGAGGACCCAGGTCCAATAGGTCCAACAAAAACGTGCCTTCAACATCGTCAAAGCTCCAGGGGACAACTGCTGATCACGATCGTAAATGTGCCGGATAACCACTGTAAGTTAATGAGATACGGCGACCAACAACGGTTATGATAACAAGCAAGGGTACTCACTGAAATCCAAAATCGCATCTCCGATAAATTCGAGACGCTCATACGAGGTGGACTCATATCCCTGGATGGAGGAGTGCGTCTACGGAGTACTGGTGAAAATACAGTTTAATTCATCGAAACAAGACACACCATTGCCTGCCCTAGAAGATGCGGTCTGTTAAATTTGTGTCCGATAATCTCCTCAATCGCAGCGATTGACCCTGGTCGAAGTTTAGCAGTAGCGTTGGGAGGAGGCGTTAACACCTTTCGGCCAAAGTCCGACCAGCGGTCGATGTTTGAAAGAGGAATCGTCAAAGCTTTGGTGACTTGCAGCGCTGCCTCACGTCCCCCAGAAATATATGCTGCCCCAATTATGGCCTCCGCCACATCTGCGATAGCCTAAAACCTCAATTCAACACTGGGCCAGCACATTGGAAATGGAGCATACCTTATCCCCAAGCCATTGCACTGTTTGATCCTCCGCACCGGCTTTCTTCTTCTTGCTTTTCGGCTTTTTCTTCGTGGCCGTTTCTTGGGGTTTTGGCTCTGACACTACCTTGTCTTCATCAAGGGCGCCAAACAGTGATGGCGCTGGTGATATCGGGCGACTACTTTCATTGCCTTCTGGATCTGGTGCACTAGGTTCCGCAGTGGAGTCCTCCATGTTGACGGACTGAACCACAGGTGTACTTGGATTGTCCGAAAGTGGCACATTGTCTATCACTAACGGTGTTCCGATTTCCATTTTGTCGCCTTCGTTGTATACGCTTCCGGAAACGTTCAAGAGAGGAGGGTCTTGCGCGGTCTCCGCATTGATCGCTGCAATCTCCGTGCCTTCGTCGCCTTCATTAGCTGGCGGTTGGTCCGTGGCTTTGCTCTCCTCGTTCTTCGGCACTTTGGGAGGAATGTATACACGGAAATTGGGAGGCTGCCAGGCTTTATAGGTGAAGACCTTTGACTGGATGTATCCTGGTAGACCGACACGAGTCGAATGGAAAAGCAATGACCTGTTGCTGATGATCTTCTGTCTAGCAACATGGAGAGATCCCTCATTGAGGGATGGGTTGGTAACGAATACGTAGACTGACGACAGGTATTTCAGGAAAGCATCGCCTGGAAAATATTATGAGCCGGGCATCTCTCTCAGGAAACAATTAAGTTACCAAGAAGTTCAAGGCGCTCGTAATCGTACTCCAGACCTGCTGAGGGCGTGCAGATGGCGTTGTGCAAAAGGTCTTCCCGAACTGTGTTATCAAAGAATTTTGCATTCAATTCCTTCACCAGAAGCAGATCATCTAGCCTCCTCATGATCGAAGGCAATAGCAATGCTGTCCGCAAAGTACTTCGAAGTTTGTCAATAGACATTCCACAGTATTGAGAAGGCATACCTGGCGGGTAATGTAAATTTACAACATAATTCAGGAATGAGGTCTGAAAGATGGCAGTCAGTACATCTCCGCTGAGGCACATATGCTCATACATTTTGCAGGAAATTTTGTGGAGTTAGATGGGGGCTTTGCAGTCGGATTGAGGTGATTGAGGACTGCGTTGACCTTGGAGACTTCGATAATTGCTTGATTATAGTTTTTCAACTCTTCAAGATTTTTCCTTTTTGCTTTGCAAAAGTCGAATAGACTTGAATATCTCACTTCGCGCTAGCGGAAGGTTCGTCAAGTTGGTGAGAATCAAGAGTTACACAACATACTGGACTATCCAAAGGTTTGCTCATTGGGGTGAGATCACGTCGAATTCTGACTACTCGGTACCGGCGAGTAAACTCTATCCACCGGTCCTGAACGATCGCGTCTTGCAGATCAGTTTCCAACTCCTCTGGCAAGTCATTCTTGATAGGAACAGCCCAGTGGCGTGCCGCGAGTTCTACGAGATTCCAAGGGATGGTATCGGATATGTTCGGGACGTAGAGACCACTATTCTCAGGGGGCCGCCAATTAGTAGGGAGTGGCAGAAAGAAGTACGCCATGTCCTCTAACGCGCATACTAATGCCTTATTCATAATGGCTCGGCAAATTCGAGAGGTATAGGAATGGACGTTCCTCATGCGCTCTTCGCTCAGATTCAACGGTGCTGCCTTCTGGAAACGCGCACGAATTGCCAGTCCTGAATAAAAGAGTCGAAAAGGGAGTAAATCCGGAAGAGGGTCTCGCGTGAGGATGGCAATGGGAGCAAAAACTTCCAACCCTTCAGTCGAATCGTTGATATAAACGACAGTTGGGTACAACGTCGTTGGCAATTTTCTGGCGATGCCCATCCAGAAGTTCGGCTGCTTGCGAGGATAAGACCTGGTTCCGGCTGATTTCACGTCGGGGAGGATATCCTTGCCAGGAGATCTGTTACGTTCGTATGTATGTTGGGCACGGAGAGTAGAAGGTATCGGAACGAGCCGACAATCCAACAACCCAAATTTATAGAGAGCTTCGCAAGCCTTAAAACAGGCTGACCGCCGGGCTTGAGCCTTGGAAGGGAAGAGATCGCCAGATATTCCATGAATGGGTGATCCAGGCAGGTGGATACTGCAAATGTGAGCTCGAGGGACACCGAATTCTTTCTGAATATCTTGGAAATCGAAAAGCTTTTGGCCATCTGGGATGCCATCAACTTTCCAGTGTACGCTCGCCGCGTAACGATAGATGACTGTGGTCGAATCTTGTAGATAAAGTCGGCCACATGTTGTGGGATCTTGGATGTAGGGATGCGAATTTTTTTCCTCTTCCTCGACTTCACTATCTGAATGATAGGGATTGGCGGTTTCTCTTAAACTTGTTGGAGGTATAGACCCTTGAGAAGAGCTACATAGAGCTTCCGTCCAACGAAGCATACTTGTATCGAGATTTGTGATACGTGATAGAATTCGCCGATGAACGTCATTTCCTCTTTCAATCATGTGGATCAAATGACTTTCTCGTCCTCGTGTACGGGCGCGGACATATGCATGCGAGACCTGACTTTCGAACAGGTCGTATCTAATGTAGGAGATTGGTGCCATGTCGCACAAAGAGTGATGCATTGCTTACCGGATGACGACTGAGGCCTTTGGGACGTCCAAATCTTCAATAGACTTCGTCCCTATCAAAAGGTTGCAAACACCAGTGGCAAAGTTCTGGAATATTTCATGCTATTGCGAGGTCAGAGTGATTCATAAACGTGTAAAAAAAAACCCTCACATAGTAATTGTGATCCACGCTGTAGCTGGATCCAACAACGGACTGCGGTCTCAGAAAGCCAAGTCGGTCGTCGAGGGTGCGCAAGAGGTCCGCCAAAACCAAAGCCACTGCTCGTCGTTGAACTGTGCCTGTACTTGAGCCGAAGCGTTCGAGTCAAGGTGGGACTGACCCGACATACCAAATATAATGCCACGAAAGCCTTCACCGTAAGACTTGAACGTCATAAGCACTTGAACCAACCGTAGAAACTTGTGAGAGACATTGAACCCTCTTGAGGAGGCATCCAGATTGGGCATGGTAAAAGCCCAATTTTTAACAATTTTCTGAATTCGCATCTTAATGCTCTCTTCCGTAAATTCGTCAAGTTCTTCCTCGTCAAGATCGCTGTACCAAGGTACTCTGGTTTCCATTTCCTTCAAAGCACGTCGCCAAACTAGGTCGGAAGCACAAGAGCCAACTTCATCGTGTGCATACCGCGAAGCGAGGTAATGTCGACGGAAAACCGACTCAGTGGGATCAACTTGATGTAGTTGTTTGAGAAGGCGGGTTTCTGAAGATCGCCGTAGTGTATCGTACATAATCACGATTTCATCTGGGCGATCCGGTAGGGCTGTGATTTCAGCTCTTCTCTCCTCCGTGACACCAAAAACCTTGGCATCCAAGGCCTGCTCGAGCTTCAGCATCTTTGAATCAAAATGCGAACGCCTCTCAGGAGGAGGTGACGCAAGTGCAAAAATGCGAGGCCTGGAGAGAGCATCAGTGACACGATAAAAATCGTTCATCACCTGAACCATGGGCACAGTAGCATGAGAGTCCTGGTTCTTGATATTTTGAGCATCGCTTATGATTAAGAAATGGAGTTGTGTTATTGCCAATGCGCCTCGTAAGAGAGAATCAAGCAAGAGCTGTTGCCAGATGTAGGATGAATTTTCGATCAAGAAGGTAGTAAAAAAAAAAAGCTTACGCGAGAAGGGACCATGACTAGGTCTCGCCTTGAAATTTCGACCCATGTTGACAACTCAAGAGACTGAGTCTCCTCTGTGTATTGTGCAAGAGTTATACCAGGTATCGCTTCTTCAAGAGCAGAAGAAAACGACTCCATTGCTGAGGCATCACTGTATAGAATCTTGAACATATATCAAACAAGGGAATTCATGTGACGAACTCAGCAATCAACAAAGCCGTTCTATGCCTAGAGAGGAAGCTTCTGGGTCGAATTTTCTCTTGATCAATGGACCATGCAATAATTTCAACCAAAAGATTTGTCGACGCTGCCGAAATGGTAAGCAACGTGTGAACCGGAAGGTAAACGAAAGCGAGCACATTTTGTGGGCGGCAGGACCGCAATAGCTGGGTTTTACCTCTTGTGAGCTAAGATAGGACGGCGGAAAGTAGGAACTGTTTACTGTTCTGCTGCTTCGCTTGTTCAAAAATGTGTTCCTTCAGATTGGCAAGCGATATGTGAAGTTCCTCCTCTTTCTCGCGCGAGTCCACTATTTCTGGCAGATGGTTTCGTAGAGAATCCGACGCAGCAGCTTTGAGAAATTTGGTAGGGCGTTCAGCAGGTGGGCCGGTGGCTTCTTGCTCGAAGTTGTCTCGGGTTCGTTTGGCCCCAGATTTTGCGGCGATGTCGAGACGAGATTCTTTCAGGTCATGGGTCTGCGAAACGGGGCCGTCTGGAGAAGGAGCAGGGGTTTGAGACTTCTGTTCTTCTTCTTTCCATGTTTTCTTGAGTTTCTTAAGCATCCAAAAAGATGGACGTTGATGACTCTTCGAAGTGTTGGCAACAAGAGACTTGCAGAGATACTGTGAGCAATTGTGGTTACATTACATAATCCACCAGGTACTTTCCACCAGTGGTGGGTTTCGCGTTGAAGCCATCATGTCACCACAACTGCCTTTTGTCCACAGCCGTTCACGCACACGAATCATAGCAACCTTGTTGGAATCTACTGCACTGAGCTATACACCACTTGATCGAAGCCCCTCTTCCTGACTCCCGATTTTCCATGCTCCAGTTAATTGTCAGGCGATTCGACACGACCAACTGACCACCGCTTCGAGAGTTTAATGAACTTCAACAATGCCCCTCTGATAGCATCCCTTGTAGAATCATCTGACACAACCTCCATGATTCCTACAAAACGACTTACTCGGAGGCGCGTAACCTCAGATCCATGTCTGCCCGAGCGGCTTCCTACAACCAGTACGTTCACCGGACTCGCCAGCTCTGTCTCAATTCTTATCACAGCTCAACCAAAGGTTTCATAGAGAGAGAGGCAGAATATTTGGCACCCCAAGAACTCGTGAAACAGCAATTAAAGGCATCGCTAGAGGAGACAGTTCTCGGCGCATCGCTTGCAGAAAGTCCAACTTCAGAGGAGCTTCGAAGACGAAGACGTAGCGATTCAACACCTCGTTCCGCTGCCTCTATAAGGTCATTTGTACAGTCGATGGTGAGCCCCAAGAGTGGTCGTGCACCGTCGTCAGGCTGGGCGCATCTTCAAGTATGTTCCTACGTCCAATTATAGCCAAGAGAATGCTAAATATCCGCGATAGTCATATGAGGTTATGAAAGCTATCGAAGAAAAGGACATTATTTTCCTCATGGAAGTAAGGGATAAAGCCTTCCCGGTCTGTCAGATCTTTTTTCATAAATCCCCATTCACTCAAGAGACTCCCAATAGCTCTTGCTTCAAAGTTCTGGAGGGGAGACACCCCTCGTGCATGCCATTCGAACAGGCAACAAGGATGTAGCGATTGTTCTGCTCGGTGCATTCTCCAGATGGGTGAATTACCTGGAAGATTCAGACGTCCAGAAATCTCAAACGCAAACACAGTTGAAAGCATTGCGTGAGCTCCTCTCCCAATGGAATAATCCCAGCATTAATTATACTCTCTGGCAGGCGTCGGTTTGAAACTTGCCATTAATGAGGGTCTGGCGAAATCTCAAAATGACCTCATTGCGTCTTTCATGCAAACTCTAATCATGAGTGAAGGTGATAAATGGGTACATGCGCAAGTCTCTACCGTTTCTCGAGCTTTAAATGCGGGAACAGAGGGAACGCCGGTCCACGTCGCGGCAGCGGCAGTGAGGAAGTTTGCAACTAAGGAACTGGGGAAGGCAGATTTGATTGCCTCGTTGGAAGACTAGTATGTCTTTCACCCCTTTCTCCTTCCAACGAGTGTTTGATGTCTTCCAATTCAGTGTCTCGAATGCGACAGCGTCCGTTTGCACTGTCTTTCTTCCTCCGCCACCTGTTCATTATTAACAGAGATCTCTTGATGATGGGTGCTTGGGCCAACGTGTTGCAGGCGGTCAAGGCTGACCCTTTACCAGTATAGCGCTCATACCGTTGTACACGCTGATTTACTGACGTGCCTTCTATAGTCGTATTATTTTGCCCGTGACGACCGCGTGTACAAGGCGTTTGTGGAAAGGATCGAGCGGCACAAGTTAGAAATTCAGCGATCCTGTGGTCGGCGGCTGAGATGGCAACTGAAGGTGCTAAAGGACGTGTTAGAGGGACGCAGTGTGACTTTTCGAGTAGGTGGATCGAACTTGGCTACTGTGGTACTTCTCACCCCACCTTTCAGAGAAAAGTTGAGCTGCTGATGTCCCAACTGGACGAAGGGGAAGGGTTGTAACATATCAGGACCTATTTCTCTCGTGTTCACGACGCATATGATACCTCAGAGGTAGTCGCTTGTTCAAGGTGCCTCGCCGGGAAAAGGTCGCACTCGGTGTAAAGGCGTATAATCAAGCGCACATCAGAAGTGCCTGCAGCTTTCCCGCTGTTCAGATCTGCAGAGACCAATGTCTCAGCCACAGGCTGATCTGCTGGGCGACGTTAGATGTCGTCTGTATCAGACGAACACTTGCGTGTATATTGGCGACAGTCCAAGTGTTTTATCATTTAAATGAAGAATGGCCGTAATCCTACAGAAGTATCTTGAGATCATTCCACCAGACGAAGCCCCCAACGACAGCAAGACTCGCCATCGCGGCAATCAAATCCAGTTGAAGGACTGTGTATATCCAAATAGTCGCCAATGGGGGACACTAGTTCAAAGAGGTCAATTACTTACAATCAAGTAATAGTTTGCTGCCCACCTGTTTCATGTTCACCAACCATGACGCATGGTTAAAGAGGTACAACATCCGACTTCCTACTACCACGGACAGGACAGAAAGACCAAGTTGCAACCTCCAATCACGCTTGTATCTGATGGCTAGAAAAACCGTCACATAGTTCCTAGCAACAAACTGGCCACATACTGTAGAATATGAAGACTGAGAGGACTAGAGCGACAAGTTTGAGAGTTGAACAAAGGCAAAGAAAGAAGAAATGCATACCGGGAACACCGGGAAGCATTCTATCAAGGATAACTTCGAGTGACGCAGTCTTGCCATACTGATGACGTATCAGACTGGTAACATAGCGATTGTCAGAAAGGAAAGCGAGTTTTAGAAACCAAATGCGCACATTTCCATGAGCAGGAGCAGTGAGGAAAAGGGGATGATCAAAAGGATTGCATTGAATATTTCGTCTGACAGGGAAAGTCCTTCAGGCAGCTCAGACGAAGAAACATGGGCCTGGAGCTCTGAAGACTCCAGTATTCTGGTCTGGTTTATGATTCTCCATTGCTCTTCTTCAGATATTTCGATGAGGGGTTTCTGGGGGGCACGCTTTTTGGGCGCTTTAGAAGGCGCTGTTAAGGGAATCGAACCAGAGGCTTTGCCAGCTGGCAAGGCGTTGCTGCCGCGCGCCATGAGTGAAGCAGAACTAATAGAAGCCGTACCGCAGAAGAGGATTGTTGCAAATGGCAGCAAACGGTATTTGCGGAGTCTCGTTGACGAAGACAGTGAGAGCAGTGAGAGCAGTGGTGGATGACGAAGGGTCTGGACTCTGGCTACTTCCGACATAGTTATTGGACCGAAGTGCCAAGACTGATCACACTCAAATTCATTTCTCATCATGTCGGATTGTGAAAGAAATTGTTTGCTCAGCGTTCTGGAAGCCCACGGGAAGTCTTTTCTTGACTCTTTCACTCCTCTAGAGGCGAACGCCATCACTGGTAAAAGGAAGTCCAGAGGAGACGACGGTGTCTCCAGAAAACGGTGGAAACGAGACGAGGAGGAAGAATGGCATGGAATCAACCACGACAGTGAATGTGAGGATTCTGATGGTGAGCCTGACAATAGAATGGCACTGCAGCAAACGCTCTGACAAAGTTGTAGATAGTTTCGAGCATACAGACGATGAATTTTCTTCCACGAGGAATCAAAGCAATGTCACTATTTTCTCTGACACCAAGCCCCGGAAATCTGTTGTAATCGACCATGTGGCCAAGGCTCAGATGAAAGCTTTCATGGTAAGATTGCTTTCAATTTCTGGTATAACCAATGTGCTAACATCTCTCCTCAGTCGTCGAAGATCTCGAAAATGAGCTCGTCGATCACAACCCCCACCACGAAAAGAAGTAGAGAGGAGGAGGAGAATGAAAAGTGCGATTTTTCTCAATTACTTTGTCCTCACACTTGCTAAATGTATCACACAGGACGAATGTGCAGAATGACGCTCTTTTGCACAAACTTGTCCACACGAAACTGCTTTCAGGCTCGATGAATACAGAACTTGATCTAAACCCGGCACAGAGACGCAAAGCTCTTGCAGGACGCGTTTTAGAGCTGTCCGGAGAGGCCAAGTTGGGAAAGGGCGAGAAGGCAGTTCGTGCGATAGAGAGGACGAAGGCTGCAAAGCGGGTCCGCGAAGGGTTGAACAACAAGCAACAGGAGAGACGAAAACAAGAGTTAGAAGAGGTAAGTCTCTCTCTCTCTCCCTTGGTTAAAAAGGAGATGCTCATGCAACGAAAGGCAAAAAATTTGGGCAACTATCACCCAACATTGAAGAAACTGTTTGAAGCGTCTTCATCTGGACCAACACGGAAACGAGAAAAGGGCATGAAGATGGGGGTTGGGACATTCAACAAAGGTTCCCTTCGACTTCGTAGAGAGGACGTGAATGCAGTGATGGGGGGTGGTTTTTCGCGCGAGGGAGGAAACAGCAAGAGGGACCGCCCCCACAAAAGAAAATGACAAGTATATCTTTATCCTGAAGGTCAAATTCGATCGATTCAACCAAGTTCGACGTATATAGGAGATGTGGGGTCCGTAATTGGTCATATTCCATATGAGGGTGAAGACATACATCGAGGAAAGACTCGGACGAGCCCACGTGCACTCTGCAGGCTACTAAGCGTTTAACTGCGGTCGAACCCGTTGTCGAGCTAGAAGACGGCGTTGCTGAACAACAGTTACTTACATTGGTATCTGATTCCCTTTGTCGTCGACCAAGATAGTCCTGGTTGATCTCGATGACCTCTGACTGCCCCAAGGCGAGCGGCTGCGGGATCAATCATTACGCTGAACACAGTCACAGTGGCATCCACTTACTTTTTGCCTGTCGGGGCATTCTTAACAGACATCCCTTCATGCGACCTACTACTCGTAATCCTTAAGCCAAAGATATCACGAAGAAAGTACAAGGCGTACCTCAATTGAGAGTTTGTTCTTTGGACGCCTCCTCCGCCGCCCTTGAAGTTACGACCGTTCCGATGTCGAGGCGGAGGTAGCAGATCTCTACGACTGGTCAATCGACCTTCAAAGGCAAGCCATTCGCTGCTTGCTCACCGATAGAGCACTTTTCCCAATTGGTCATAGACAATAATCGGTGTATTCTTCGTTCGTTGGTTCATGTGGTGCACGAGGCCTGTCTTGCTAATTCTGTACCGGAATGAGCGCGCAGTCAACAAGCGTTTCTCTCCAAACATTAGTTATCCCCACCTTGTGATTTCCATGCCTTCCTCGTCCAGAAATATGATGTTTTTGCCACTTGGAATAATGTAGTTGTATACTTCGGGCTCTGAGTCCCCGTCGGGTTCAACTACTGGCGCCTGAAGTCCATTCAGTACAAATGACCTGGGAGGGCTGACTACTTACCGCTGTCCTGTGCGTTGAATGATTTCTTCTTGATATGTTGTCATCTTCCTGATGATTGCTTCGCATCACAGCCTAATTATATTGTTCAATGAAATAATGCACTTCACTGGATCGTCCTTGGCTCACTAGATTTTGAGGCTCTGGGTCCCGCGCCGGTGTGGGTGGGCGACTGGGATATTCAATATATCGCAGGTCCTGCTGGCTTATGCTCGAGGCGATCGACGCCTTGGACGCCCTCTTCGGTTGCGGGTGTATAAGTGCAGTTTTTTGGGGCAGGGACCGATTTGAATCGTCCTTCCACGTAGCCCTATCGCTAGCCCCTCCAGTGCGATGTGCAGAAGTTGAATCTCTGTGAACGGAAGCAATTTCGCTCCATACTCTCGAAGGTGCTGCTGATGAAGTCGCATGTTGGACCACAGGATACCGACCGTGTGAGTAGCTGCTGACAACGGGGCCAGGATCCTCTAACGCGAAGCTCTGCATGCGCCCGTCATTGTCCTGCATGAGCCTAAAACTGTTCATTCTGTACGGTGGTGGAAAGGGTTGGCCTTCAGGCCCGATAAACTGGCTGGAGGCGCTCATGGGCACGCCTGGTGTATGCTGTACCGAAAGCAAATGAATTCATTAGTATACGATTGGTCGTCGAGTGCTCGATCGCAAACCTGCATCCGCACTGAAGCATTTCCTCTGTGTGAAGAAGCGGCAGCGCCGTTGAAGCCTTGCGAAGGGCCGCCGAGGTCTGGAAGGAGGGCATTTCGTCCTCGAAGTGAAGGTTTTCGCAACTTGCGTTGGCCTTTGACGCTCTGTTCAGTTTGTGCCAGAGATGAGGGTCCAGGGAGGGTCTTTTCCCCATGATTGTTACGATTTTTGAAGAAGGAGAAAGGAGACGGAGACATGAGGAGCTAGCCTGAGAGTGATTCTTCACGAGTCAAGCTTGGAGTAACCATCCTTATGTATGTTGGACACGAGGGGGGCTCGAGGCTCTACAGAATTAGGGCCGCCTTATCTCGGACCTGCCATCACGCTTTTGTGATTAGCTTGTGGTCACCACATTATGACATGATTTTATGTACATCTCTAACATGAACGTTGAAGACCACTACAGTTATTGCCTAACAGCCAAAGGGAAACATCTGGTCCATTATGGCTCAACCATGCCGCTTGTCTGATTTTCGCTCCATTGCAGCTGACGCACTTCAGTTAGAGCTTTCGTAACTTTGCCAATTGCATCAGCTGTGGCGGCGATAGATGCTGGATCTAAGGCGCTACCAGATGACAGTGAGGTTAACCGTGAAGACAGGGACTGAAGTGACCCTCGAAGAGCTCGAGCAGTGTCATCCAAAGAAGAATTGACGTCGTCGAGTCGTGGCTAGATAATTTTTTCCATATGGTGACAACAGGGAGTAAGGCATGACCACACGCACATTCTTGACCTCCTGCAAGGTAGTCGAAGGTGATTCGGACTGCAGAGCGAAGTTGCAACCTTTGATTGGAGCTGTGATCACAAAAGACTGACCTTATGATTTTGTTCAAGAGGGACAGTAAGGGTATGAGAATTCGTAGTAGGTATCGGCTGTCCTAGCGTCAGGGAAGACCACAATGCAGAAACTTGCACTTACAGGAAGGATAGACGCGAAACCTAAGGGTTGCTGGGTTTGTGAGTTGTTGGTCTGGGAGAGGGGAGCGACATTATCAGCAGCTACTGATTGGGATTCATATGGAACGAGTCTTTCGCGTCCAGCCCAGTCGACTTCAGTGATGTACGTGGTTCCACAGATAACGCATTCCTGGGCCAAAGAGGTGAGACGTGACCAGGGATAAGTCGCTACGACAACAGACCTTCCTGGGATCTTTCTCGCTTGCAGACCTCGGCGGTCGGACTAATGGAACGCCCAAACATGCATTGTTGGGGCATTCATCTCCGAGCATTGCCCATCCTCTTAAAAGCCGTTTCCCGATCTCTGAGGATGCTTGATCAGACTGCTCACGACGTCGACGGGATTCATCAGTTTCCGGAGGCAATTCATATACAGGAGAGCTAGGTGCTTGAGAAAACTCGGTAGGAGGAGTTGATGATCGTGAATTATCAGACTCTGAGGATGGGCCGGAGGAAGCAGTCAGAGTGGATGTGTTTGGTGGTTGTGCAGCTTGAGAGAGCAATAATCAGCATACATTGAGGCACAAGGATAGGGAGTACCTTGCGGTATCTCAGCATCGCACTTGACACACAAGGAGACGACTGGTAGTCGGCCATTTGGAGATCTGACAAGAGGGACTGTACACCCTAGTGTAGGGCATTTACGATCAGTCAATACCTATGATAGCGTCAATACCAGTCTAGATCAACAGTAAACAGCCATACCCATCCCTTGAGCATGTAGTCACCGAGGGACGCAGAGACGTCGACGACTGTCGCCATTTTGAGGATGGTAAGCTTCTGTTGAAGGACTAATCATGGACTGCTTATGTCCGATCACGTGCCTCATGTCAGGGCGTCTATTTTCGGAAAGGCCACGACAGGCCACGACAGACTCGGACAGAGGCAACTAGCCTTCCTCGACCACCATCCACTGGGGCGTCTGTACTGACAGTCTATAGAGACCCGCCCTGTGAGTCTCTCATGAAGTGGAGCAGCTACTGGCTAGAATGCCTCTTCATCGCGATTGTTCTCGCCATTAACGGTTTCCGGTGTCAATGGTTCGCAACTGATGCCTCGAGCGCACTTCCTGCTTCTGCTGAATGGACCCCTCGTCGCAAACTCGCTGCTCGGTATGTTCTCAACAAATATAACGCGGAAGAGGACCTAATAGAGCATCTCAGCGAGAAGACAAGAGAGCTCTGGTATCATGGCTTCGATAATTATATGCAGTTTGGTACGTTGGGTCAATAGTCCCGGAAATCCACCCGCCTAATACATACCCCATTACTCCAGCTTTTCCGCTAGACGAGGTTGGTGTGGTTTAAGTGGTGCATATATCCAATAGCTTACACAGTCTCAAAGTTGACACCGCTTTCATGTTCAGGACAAGGCCCTGACTGGGTAAACCCGTACGCAGCCTTCGCCCTTCTATGTGGTTTCACTAATGTTTATCATATGCAAGGGCAAACATAGCATCTAATGACGTCGCCGGCAACTTCTCCTTGACTCTCATCGACGTGCTGGATACTTTGGTGGTTCTGGACGATCGTCCAGGGTTTGAGAGGGCTGTCAGAAATGTTATCGACTGGGTATCCTTCGACGTGAACACAAAGCCTCAGGTCTTCGAAACAACCATTCGAGTTCTCGGTGGTCTCCTTTCGGGGCATATATTTGCCAATCAAACTGGCCAGCCTTTCCATTTACCTTGGTACCGGGGAGAGTTACTTGCGTTGGCACACGACCTCGGGAAGCGTCTGCTGCCTGCCTTCTCTACGCCCACGGGACTCCCATATGCTAGGGTATATACTATCTTGTTCCCTACTCCACACTCAATAATTATGACGACCGTTCCAAGGTTAACCTTCAGCGTGGAGTGATGAAAGGGGAAACACTAGAGACATGTATGTCAAGAGCTTTCTTTAACCATCCAGCGCATTAACGGGATGATTGCAAACAGGTACTGCTGGCGCAGGCTCTTTGATGCTGGAATTCGCTACGCTTAGTCGTTTGACTGGCGACGAGAGATTCGAGAAGGCAGCCCACCGAGTGCGTTGAATTAATATATCGCATTTCTTGTTTCTGATCATATTCACAGGCATTTTTTGGTCTCTGGAATCGCAAGTCAGAGATTGGACTTGTCGGTAATACCATAAATACACGGACGGGGGTGAGATCCACCACTCGGCAACGTCACATATCCTGACGGAGCGTATCAACCAGGTCTGGACTCAACCCGAGACGACTAGTATCGGTGCAGGAATCGACTCATTCTTTGAATATGCTCTCAAGTGGTATATCTTGAGTGGTCAGCCTTTTGCTTCGGGTTGGTCTTTCCTTATCAACCGTGACACTTTTTATTAGGTGACTTGGAATTCCTGGACGTTTGGGATGACGCCTACGCCGCGATTATGCGATACACAAGGTCAAAAGACGGCTATTGGGTGAGTCCAGGCTCGTTATATTAGCTAAACATGAGTGTGACACCGGTACCAAGTATCGAACGGTGAACATGCATACAGGAGATGTGGCATACCTAACCGTCGATTCTCTTTCTGCATTCTGGCCTGGGCTCCAAGTTTTGGCCGGAGATGTTCAGAACGCAATCAAACTGCACATGATCTGTCCGTTGCCCTCCGATTGCCATGTCCTCGAGGCTCACTGCCTCAAACAGATTTTAACCTATGGAAACAACATTCAGGCCTTCCTGAAGTATACGATATTAATTACAAGCAAGCTACTTCCCATCAGTATCCATTACGACCAGGTGGACGAGCATTCGTCGACTAGTCTTGAACTGTGTTGATCACGTTGCGTTGCAGAATTTATCGAATCTACATGGTATTTATACCGGGTAAATATCCACCTCTTACGCATTTTCTGTCCTGACGATGTTGCAGGCTACTCGAGATCCATTCTATCTCGACGTCGGCGAGCGAATTCTTTTTGATTTGACCACGCGTGCCAAAGTCGACTGCGGCCTAAGTGGCATCGCAGACCTCCGCTCGAACAAGCGTGATGACAGGATGGAATCATTTGCTCTCTCAGAGACACTCAAGGTATGCCCCGATATAATAGGATGGATCCCACAGTCAACTCATAGATTCATAGTATCTGTACCTCCTGTTCGACGAAGAGAACCCGCTTCACAGCGATGATTCAAACTACGTGTTCACAACAGAAGGGCACATCCTCACTCTTGGTCCAGAGTACATAAAAGCACCACCTTCTGCTCAAAGACGGATGCGGAAGGTCAACAGCCATCAATGTCCAGCATATATCCCTTTTATGCATTCTGTAGACCATCGCCGCAAGGATTTTGGGCTTGTGATGAGCGTCCAGGCGAGACCAGATGTGGAATACGGCCGCCACTTAGTTGGTCTGACCCCACAGACAGCCGACCAACGATATTGGTCTCCGGACGGTTGGTGTGAGCGACCGAAGGTGGAGCCATACGTACGTCTTTTCACTCTCCCGCCTTTTCTTCCTATCCTTACGCATTGTTGAAGACATACGAATTCATCCTTTCGCCGGGCGGCAAGACGATCCCTGAAGATCTGAGTCCCAATTTGCTTAAACTCGGTTTACTGCCAGACGGTTTTATACTCCACAACGTGACTGGTGTTCGCGCGCAAATCGTCCAACGCCTGGACGGTAAAGGCTACGACATTAGCAGATGTGAGTGGATCATGAATTTCTTGGCTCGGCGCCTTTCAACTGATGTTGTGATAGTGGGTCATTATTCTGTTCGACCAGGACACCTTGTTTACATCAATGACTCTAACATATTTGCCTCGCATGAAGACGGCCATCTCGATCAAGACGAGATCCATCGCCGTGATTCCCAAATCCAGATTCGAGTGTTCGGTGTCACCGTTGGCCAACCCACAGAGAAGCAAGCTCCTCTCTTGGGCAAAACGAGCGTCGATATTTCCGTCACCGCCTATACTGCACAATTTGGAGCGGATTTATCCTCAGGTGCTCATTTGGAACCTAATCAAAGCCCTCCTCGAATACGACGTCCAGAAGGTGTTGCAGTGCGACGGGATACAGACAATGCGTACGGCTGCGACCCGTATGAGCTTTCATACCGCGATAGCATGCTACTTGTTCGCAGAGGTGACTGCACCTTTCTCGAAAAACTCCTAATGGCGCGCGACGCGTCAGCGGCGGGGATAATAATTATCAGTGATGAAGAACAGGGCATTAACCCCACTGCCAATTCCGAGGAGGTGCTTGCGGCTGGCGATCTCAGCGACTCGGCGGCCATCTTACTTCCGAAGAAAACCGGGGAGACGTTCGAAGAAATGCTCATTCTAACCGAGCAGCTCAAGACGGTGCAAATGATGGTTTCTCTTCAACCAGGAGAGAAAGCGGGAGGCAATATACAATCAATCCAAGAGCAGGAGGAGCAACCTAAGGATCCGAATCGCATATTGTTCATTAATGGACACCCGCTAATAAACACCCGCCTATTGATCTAGAAAAAAATGCTGTCATCGCGTCTTGATTTCTAGTCATCGGTCTGGATGACGGAATAGACTGGTGCATCCAGTTTAGAGGAGCCCTTGAGGAAGAGGAGTTCAATGATGAAGATATATTCGAGTGTCTTGCCTCCCTGTTTCGCGACCAGCTCTCCCGCGGCATGGGCTGATCCACCTTTAGAGCTGTCAGTGGCAGTTAACTTTTCGTGAGGAACAAGGTTACCTGTAGCTAGTAGGTCATCGATAACGACGACATTCTGACCGGGCTTGATTGCATCGGCCTGCATTTCGAAAGAGTCCTAACAGCCCCCTGTCAATTAATGTAAGGCCATTATAGCCTAATCCACTCACCGTTCCATATTCCTTCTCGTAGCTTGCGCTGATGCATTGCCCTGGGAGCTTGCCAGCTTTCCGTACGGGGACGAAAGCAGCACCTAATCTCAGGGCCACGATTGGCCCAAGCAAGAACCCTCGAGCGTCAAGAGCAACGATAACGTCGATCTTCTTCGTTTGGGATATCCCGAGTGTATGGGAAGTTATATGCTGGGCCAGGTGGGTAATCAAGGTCTCGAAAACGAGGGGCTCGCGGAGGATGGGGAAGATATCGAGGAACACGATCCCCTGACGTAAACCAGAAAAGATCAATCGGATTGGTGGAAGCGATAAAATTGAAGAAACTGAACCTTCTTTGGAAAATCGGGATGCGAGGTCAATCGGCTCTTGATGAGGTCTACGTCGGCCATGTCGATCTCGCTAGGAGCAGGTCTAATGAAGAGCAGAGAGAGGATGACATTTTTACAGCTCCAAAATTTCTTATGACCTTATCCGTCTCTGCACCCGAATCCGTATATCATTCTCATTTCAGCTCAATTCGCAATTTGCAAGTCATTCCGCAGACATGCTTAACCATGGATGCATAATTGAATGTGGCGCATAATGTGAGCATGGCAGTACAATAGCAAGACGACTACGGCAATATCTATACGGATTCAAGAATCTCAGGCTCCTTGAACTCCTTTGCGACCCGTGTACCTGTCTCCTGAAAAAGAAACGCGGTGTGAGTGACAGAGGGACAAAGCATTAAATCAAACGTACATCTGTTGACTCTCCGTGGAGCTCAAGAAGTTTCGAGACATCAAACTTTGGGGCCTTGAGGATTTTCGCCTTGCGAACGTAGACGTTCTGGAGGGGGTAGATGCTACGGGAAGCCTTCTCAATCTCGCGACCAATGGCCTCAGGCACGAACTTCTGAACGAGCTCCTTCAGATCACACGTTGTGGCCTCGCGGGTCATAATCTCGAACATCTTTTTCCTGATTTCGCGAATCTGGCTTGATTGAGCGTAGGTGGTCTTGCGGACTTGTGATGGGCGGCGCTTGGTGAAACCAATGGCGAAGAGGCGGAGGAGGTAGCCGTCAGTTGTTTTGACATCAACATGGGCTTCAATGAGAGTTTGCCACTTGCGGACGAGGGAGCGAAGCTTGTCTGATGTGAAGTCCATCCCGTGGAAGTTGGTCAGACAGTTCTTGCCCTGGATTTCGTCGATGCGTAGCTTGATTTTGCGGAATGATTGCTCCTCATCCTTGTTAAGATCGGCAAGGGAAACCTCCACGATGCGGCCCTTCAGGGAGTCGTTCGCGTTTTCTGGTGCGTTCGTGAGTGTGGAGGAGGAACTGTACAAATGAAGACGCACTTAATCCCTGTGATCGGTTGGCGAGGGTTTTGCCAACATTTCGGACCTCGAAAATTGAAGGCGCCTTGATATCATACCAATCTATGTGTCCCCGTCAGACCACAACATGGATGCACTGGCGATAGTGCATACCTTTGCGGGAGAAGGGGTCGACAACCTTCTTCTTGATGCCCTTCTTGCCTTTCGATAGGCGTTTGTTCTGGGAGCAGTAATGAGGAGAGGGACACGGGATGCGATGAGCAATAACGCACCTTTCCTACAGCCATGCTTGATGAGTACCGACGGCCTTGAGAACGAGCGGGATAGCCAGATCAACTTTCGAGATTTGGCTATATTGTGCGTGTGGCTTGAAACTTTATTTTTCAGCTGTACAGTGCTTTCCCAGGCCCGTCACACAGTCACACAATGCTCTCCCGAAAACAGTTCGAGTCGGCCGCACAGGCATTTGCTCGTCGCCATCCGCACTGGGCATGGGTCCCCGGTCATCGTCCAGGCTATGGCTACCTCTCGCGCACGACATCTCATTTCCGCAAAGCCTCTCCAGAAGTAGAAGACCTGGCATCTGATGTCCTCGATGTGGAGAATGACCCTGCAACTGCTCACTCGGCCCGCCCAGCTCTGAACGTGCAGGAACACATCCTGTATTCCGCGTCCTTCAATGTTCCGGCCTTCTATTTCAATATCCATGAACCCAGTGCGTCTTAGTGGGATATCGCTCTGAATGCGAGTCTTATAAGTTACAGACGGGACGCCATTGCCTTTGGTTGATCTTGTACGAACAACTCTCTTCAAGATCAGTCCGCCAGAAGGATCAGTGACAACCGATTTCGCCCTGATTTTGCCATCTGCTCCGTTTCCTCTGCTATCTCAAGGCGACCACCCAACGCTCGATACACCTTGCTGGTACTTTCATCCTTGCGAGTCAGCAACCGCGGTCAACGAGTTCATGGCCGAAGTCGAACAGCCAGACTGGGATGAGGAAACGCGTCTCGTACGATGGCTGGAATTGTGGATTATGATCGTAGGAGGTATTATCAATCTGTAACCTCTGTCATGACATATCGTAGCCGAACCCGGGGTACAATGAATATTTTTTCCTTGAGGATTCTTTGCAGACTTTGAAGAACGTTGGAACGACTTGCTGGGTGAAGGATGAGCAACGGAGCGGGCGGCGCACCCGGAATAAACATATGACAATGAGCTGACCGGATCATGGGAGTTGCTGAACAAGCTAAATAAGAGGTGGCCGACGTTGTCTTCTCCTACCCCCAGCAGCTACCCCACGTACGACGAAGACCGCCCGAACATTGCGCAGAGGTGGTGCGATTCAATTGATAATCTTTCGACTTGTACGGAAATTTGCTGTCGTATCATATCGACACAACATCAGATTGGGTCGCACAATTCCGAAGGGTCTAACCTCGCAAGATAAAAACCATGCTCCTCTCGCGTTTTGCATCCTCGTCCTCCCGTGTCTTTACTCCTTCCCTCGCCCGCGCAATGGTAAGCCCTTTGCACCTTTCCCGATCCTCCGTTAATGCCTCTTGTAGTCCAACGAAGTCGTCATCGTCTCTGCCTCCCGCACACCCGTCGCATCCTTGAACGGATCCCTCAAATCCTTCACCGCTCCTCAACTCGGCGCCATTGCTCTCAAGGACGCGATTGCGAAAGCCAAGGTCGATCCTTCCATCGTTGAGGAAGTCTACTTTGGAAATGTCGTCCAGGCCGGTGTTGGTCAATCCCCTGCTCGTCAGGTTGCCCTGGCTGCCGGCCTCCAGACGAGTTCAGACGCGACAACGATCAACAAAGTATGCGCGAGTGGCCTCAAGTCCATCATGCTCGCTGCTCAGAGCATTAAGCTCGGTGAGCGCTCCGTGGTTGCCGCTGGTGGAACGGAGAGCATGAGCAATGCCCCGTAAGTCACCTGTACCCCTATATTTGTACTCGATTTCATCCTTTCGCCAGCTTCCTGATACCTCGTCACAACCCAGCCTTCGGCAAATTCACAGCCATTGATTCCCTCGAGAATGATGGTCTCTGGGATGTCTACAATAATTTTGCGATGGGCAACTGTGGAGAGGCTGCTGCAGTCAAACACAACATCAGCCGTGAAGCTGTTGACTCTCATGCTCTGGAATCGTACGCCCGCGCTACCCGCGCTTGGAAGGAAGGCGCCTTCGACGCTGAGGTTGTGCCAATCACAATCAAGGGCAAGAAGGGCGACATCATCGTCAAGGAGGATGAGGAATATAAAAAGGTCCTCCCCGAAAAAGTCCCCTCACTCCGGTCTGCCTTCAAACAGGGTGGCATTATTACTGCCGCAAACTCGTCCCCTCTGAGTGATGGCGCTTCAGCCTTGATCCTTATGTCTGCAGCCAAGGCCGAAGAGCTCGGTTTGAAGCCTCTCGCAAAGATTCTCTGTGCGTGCATTCCCAACATTTTCTACCGATCGGTCTGACTTTTTCCCTTCTGCTTAGCGTGGGCTGATGCTGGTGTTGATCCCATTGACTTCCCCGAAGCACCGACAAAAGCGCTTCCCATCGCATTGCGGAAGGCTAACCTGACTGTAAACGACATCGCCCAATTCGAATTGAATGAAGCCTTCTCGGTCGTTGTCCGCATTGCTGAGAAAGTTTGCAACATTGATCCAGCCAAAATCAATGTCAACGGGTGAGTAACCTTCTTTTTCTTTTTCTTTTCAAGATCTCATAGGATCTTCAGTGGTGCTGTTGCTCTTGGACACGCCATCGGCAATTCTGGGTCCCGTATCATCGTCTCCCTTGTTCACTCGCTCAAGTCCGGTGAATACGGCGCCGCTGGTATCTGCAATGGAGTGCGTGCTTTTTTGGTTTATCTAGTGGCTATGCCTTATCTACTCTTCCGTAGGGAGGTGCCGCGTCGGCTCTCGTTCTCCAGAAATTGTAACTCTAGACACACGTGTATGCCCGCCATAGATCTAAATACAAGTATAATTGCGCCGGAAAAACGGCTGCGGAACCACAACATGAGAATTTCTTGCAAAAGCAAGAGAACGGAGCTTTGCAAAGCATCCCGATTCTAGTCCCAACCTACCACTCACTCGACGTTTGCGCGCTGTTGAGCCTGACCGCATTCGAGGTCGACTTCCTCGCAGGGTCAAGATGTACCATGGTTGTTCGGATTGTCTGCCTTACAACCCGGTGCGATATTCTATCTTTAGCACCTTATCCGACACCATGAGGTCCTGTGAGTGTCACTCACCCCATCCAGTAGATATAACTTCTGACATGAAATTGGCTTACAGGGCACCCACCTTCCCATATCTCCTACACTTTTGAATTATGAACAACGTCCAGGACGAAAAGACCCAGAACATTGAACAAATTGTTCATTCCGGCGTAGTCAGTTTCGACGGAAAAATTCTGTCGACCTCAGCGACGGAGATGAAGCACTCCGCTTTATCGGTGCGGAAAGGACGGCACAATTCTCCGAAGAATACAACGAAAAGCTAAGGAAGAAACTTGTGTGTGCTTACCATTCCTTACACGCAGTCCGACCTATTGATTTATGACTATCTTTCCAGGATGTACTCATTCCACCGCTGTGTGCGGCTGTCTATTTCACCCAATTCTTGTATGTATTGGCTTGAGCTTCGTAATGCTGGTGGCCAAGTCGGCATGTTGCAGAGATAAGACCTCACTCAACTATGCAAGGCGAGGGTGAAAAAACTGCTATTTGTCTACGACTAAATGTCCGGGTACTAGCATTATGGGATTTCCGATAACTGGACAGGTATAGTCGCGAGATGTCATGCGCTTGCCATATGTCTAAACTCTTTCGCAGAGATACAATTTAGTATCGTTGGCTTTCTATCTCGGTCAGAATGGTTAACCCGCTGCTCCGACAGTTTTTCATTTGGCCTTGGTTCGATATAGGTTTCCTCGTCTGGGAATTCCCAACTGTGTATATCTCGCAAAAGACCCGCGTCGCGAAATATCTTGGTAGAACAACTCTCATTTGACTGCTCAAGTGTATGACGGTCGTACCCGTTGGTGTAGGTGCAAACATTGTTGCATGGGGCGTTATCCTCATGCTGCATGCTGTTGGAACATCCTTCGGGGCGTTCTTCGCTCTTCGCTTCCTTCTAGGTTTGTCCTTCGAATAGCCATCACCGCTGCCTGTTTCTGAGTCTGCAGTTTTAGGAATGTGTGAAAGCTGTGTGGCGCCGAGCCTGATTCTCATTATTTCCATGTTTTACAAGAAGAACGAACAGGCCAGACGCATTTCGTGGTTCTATGTCATGGTGCAATCACTTCTTTTTGTGTCCGGCAACCAGCCTTCCACTGAAATCCGTACCATGTAGAACGGCATCACGCAGATCTTCGGGGGATTTGTTGCTTATGTCGGTCCCGTATTTCATCCGAGTGCCGCATGAAGAATAAAAAATAATATCCGCAGGGCATTTCCTTCGACAGCGGTCGACTACTCCCCCCTTACAAGATCATGTTCATTCTTCTGGGAGGGCTCGCTATCGTGGTTGGAATTTGTGTTTTGATATGGCTACCAGATTCACCAGTCTGCGCTAACTTCTTCTCAAAAGAAGAAAGAATTGCAGCTTTAGAACGAGTACGAGATGATGCCGGAGGAACGGAAAACAAGCACCTCAAGAAGTATCAAGTCGTCGAGGCAATAACAGACATTAGAACTTGGTTGATTGTGCTGACTACCCTTCTCAGTGAGTGGAAATGTAACCTCAACAGGATTAACGCAGATCTGGAGACAGCCAGCATCCCAAACGGTGGCTTAAGCAATTGTAAGTTGCCGCTAGGGCATCGTGTCGTTGAAGCTGTTGACAACAACTTCAGTCAGCAATCTCATTATCAAAAGTTTTGGATACACGTATTTCCCTTGTATTCGGGTCGTTGACTCGACAATTGACCTCGATTGACTAGCTCAAAGCAAACACTCATCTTATCTACTCCTGGAGGCGCGGTTGCTGCCATCACCACACTTCTATGTGGCTGGTACTCGGATAAGAAGGTTTATAGAACATATTACACTATCTAGAGAAGCTATTTTAAAAACGCTGGCGTCCTTAGGGCGAACGCATGATTCCGATCGTGTTTTCTTTGATCCCGACAATTGCTGGCTCCGGTATGTTGTCCTTGTCTCCGCTCGTATCTCAGGACTGACGACTTGGATGACTATGATAGGGATGTTGATTGGTCTTAACGGTTCTGGAAAAAAAGGAGCGCTCTTGTTTGGTATTTTTTTCTTCTCGCTATGACAAGTTGAGACCTGGAATTTCCGTAGCCAGCTACGTCATCGGAACATTTGGAAGCGCCTTGGCTTCAGTTTATGCCTACAATGCGAGCAACACCAATGGACACACCAAAAAGAGCACCATTAATGCCATGACACTTGTTTCCTTCAGCATCGGAAACATTATTGGAACCGAGACGTTTCTACCCAAAGATGCTCCCAATTATATTCCAGGCAAGATTGCCATTATGGTACTTTTGACTGTCCAACTTTTCGTATCCTTCCTCCTCCGTTGGATCAATATGCGATTAAACGCCAGCAAAAAGGCGAAGGTCGCAGAAGAGAAAAAACGCAGGGGGTGGTCTGACGCAGATGTTAAGAGGGAGAAGGAAAAGTGCGCTTTTGCTGACCTCACCGACAAAGAGTTCGTGGTACTCTGCTGTGCTCCATGGAACCATTGCTGAAGCGCTGATGGGTGATTACAGAAATATGTATTTTCTCTACACGGCATAAATCAAGCTTGTACCTACCTGGTCAGAAGCTAGAACAACCCGAGGCAGAGCGCTGGATGAAGGACTGAAGGAACTTGAGCGGGCGAAAGTTCAGAAGTGAAGCGGTTCAGGCAGGCTAGTTTGAGTTGGAGAGATTCAGGAGTGTCGAGAACTGCGCCATCGCATATACGTAGTACCGATTTTCAAGCTGTTCACCCCTTGCACTCTGTATTCTCCCAAACTTACGAGCCTGTTGTTGATGGTTGTGATGGCCGCCACATCTTCCGCATGCGGCACGCAGACTGCGCGCCCGACCTCTTGACAAGGACTCATCACGGCATTTTCATAATGACTGGAAAGCCCGCTTCATCATCAAGATTCTGAGCTTGACTGCATGGCGTTTATGGCGTCTAAGGAAAAGGTGAACCGTACACAAAGCCCCTCATTATCCAAACGACTCTCCACCCTTCCGACGCGGAACGCCAAGCAATTTGTGTCGAGTTACGTGGAGAATCAACACTCATTCCTCAAACTGCATACCTCTCAAGGCCGCGCTGAGGTAGAGTCTTGGGCGAAATCCGATCTTCAAAGCGATCTTCACGCTAGACCTCCTGATCGAAGGCAAGAGCCCTTGGAAGTCTTGGGATTCGGTACTCCGATTCTCAAACCTCGAAAACGTGCTACACCCTGTGATCCTGGAGATGTCGACGGAAAATACGGTCAAAAACAGAGAGAAACTACAAAACTAACCGCCAACAAGGAGAGGAATAATGAACTTCCTGCCAAGAATATCACGCCAGAGCATGAGAAGGTTAAAGTCAGCAAGCAAGCACCATGGTCCCGCCCTTCTCCTCCTGCCCGGAGGACTGAAAAATCAAAGACCACGGGAAAGGAGCAAAAAAGGACGCTCCAAGAAGAAACTGATTCGGATGGGGAACGAAGGGAGTGTAGGTTGATTTCTTTTTCTCGTCGATGCAGGTGACAGAAGATTACACAGGTCTGGAAGAACGCAAGAAACGCAGACGAATTAAAAAGGATATCATGGCGCCCACTCATAACGAAGATGCCGACATTAAAAAGGGGATGGAGAAAGACCGTAAAAAGAATGTCAAGGCGAAAGCCGTCAAGCCGCAAGCCGCGTTCGCTTTAATGCATGGGTTCACAACTACAAGCGTCGGAAAAAATAGACTGACGGTGGGTCCTCACCGCATATCTCCTCATCTGAAATATTGAAATAGTGCAGTTGGAACCTCGTAGTGTTGGTGTCTTCAAGAGGGGTAAAGCTTCTGAATCACTGGCAGTGACTTGTCCTCCAAAATCCAGAAAAAATGGTAAGAATGGTAAAAAATTCCCGAACATTATGTTGACCGTTTGATTTTTAAGCAAGAGATATATGTTTTTCGGAGGCCCAGTTCCTGCAGAAGAAAAAAAAGAGAGCGAAAATATCACCCGAAAACGGCTCAACTGCCAGCTCCTCACTCACTGTCCACACCGTGGGTTCAGACTCTCACTCAGAACAAGAATTTACAAGCGCAAAACGCAAGCGAATAGAGGCCACTCAACGTTCGGGAACTTCTGGTCAGACTTCAGATAAAATCTCCGTTGTTAAGAGAAGATCGCCTTCTCCATATAATCCTAACGATTCCGTTGTCTGGGACACTGAAAAGAATAGCGCTTTACAGCTGGTTTCTGACTCCGTTTCTGACAGAAAACAAGGTACCATTCTGGTAAACCTTCCTCTCCGACTTAACGAGGCAAAAGAGAATGCGGAAAATAATCATATGTCAAGAACCATTCGGCGACCTTCTACTTCCGGTTCAAAGGCGCCAACTTCCTCGTACTCAGACAGAAACTCTTGCTTGTCTCTGGGGCCGTCGCAATCTGCTTCTCAAGCGGGAGCAAGGGCGTTGGCAGCGACGGAAATGGGGCTGACCTTAGCAACAACGTCTGTGTATTTCAAGCCTGTGGATGATAAACCAAAGAATCAAAATCCCTCATGGACGACTGTGGAAGAGGCCCAGCACCCCTTTATCGAGGAGGACCAAGTCCCAACTGGTGTCTCAGATCCTTTGCCGGACTGCAATCCTGTAGCACTGAACATAGGCATACAGCATGGACCCTTCCTTGATTCTGGATACATAACCACCATGGCTGGCGAAAGGCTTTTACCCGGCGACGTCGATCCGCTTTCAGACGAGGTATTGCCAGCGCCACTGGATTATACTCTGTCCGAATCTAATTATTCTCTGAGCTCTTGCTTCTGGCTGCCTGATCACCACGATGCAGGAATCGCTTCCAGCAAGGTTGACGATTCCACGGGAATGGACTCTGGATTTACTGCCTCGGCGGACTTTAACAACTATTGGACTGGGGAACCTGGTGGTGAATCTGAAGGCAACGTGGATCGGTCGGATGTCTCTGACAACATGGCGGTTATGGACCCCGCTTTTCTCATCCATGGCACCGCCAATTCTGAACAGGTCCTCGGGCTGCTTTCAGTTCGGGACTATTTGACCGACGACGATGAGGCCGAGGTTTCTCTCGGGGGCTTCCCTTGTTCTCAGGATGTTCCTCTACCTACCTTTGATCAGGACGAAAGAAACTCGGCTTGTAGCAGTCAGGCGCTGACAGACGTGGCCATACATCCTCCAGGCTTTCTCAGAGATACAGAGCCAGAATTAGGTCTCGGCTCTGACGCCGATTCGGGAGACCAAATGGACAATTTCTTTCAGGGGCGCACACTCCTTCATGGATTTGATTCCTGGCGTGAGGGACCTTGTGTGCCTGGGGTATATGGCGCAGAGGCAGAAGTAGCAGGTCTTCTGAAGCAGGGTCATTGGCTACCACAGAGGCTTTGACTTGGCTTCCACCAAGTACAACAAAGCGTGGCGCTCACGACAAAGGGGTATGATGGGTGATAAACGTTAAACAGTGACTAGCCGTGGATTATTAGTGGATTGTAGACAAATTGTAGAGAGCCAATAGCAATCGATCAAAATCTGCTTAGTTCGGAACGCCGTGACAGGTAAAGAAGTGATTTACACCCATGTTATGCGCGGATGTCAACGCGTGCTCTCGTATCATTACTAGTAAGCGTTCGGTCCCGCAAACGCGGCGTGACGACGCGTCGAGTCACGCGTCTGTCACCGCTGATGGCTGATGGCCCTGTGCTTGTCGAAGCGCGTTGCTTGTCCCTATTTGGCCGGTCTCCATATTAAATTGCCGAGACCAATCTGGTGGTCCATTTTTCCCTCTCTTCCAACCACTACCTTGTCCCACATTCAGAACACCCTATTCTCGTGACGCTCTGCCCCGCTTTTCGACGCGGTCATGAGTACCAAAGAAAACAACATGTCCCATAATCATACGGTAAAGATGTGTTCCCCCTCTTTGGCGCGTCGCGTCACTTAAAACGCGTTTCTTGTTAGGGATTTATTGTGAAGCCAGAACCCAAGGAAGCCACTATTCCCGCATATTCGGCTCACACAAGCTTCTCCACTACGGTCAAATCTGAGCCAAATGACGCGGCACGCGTCGTGAGTTGCCAATATCGTTCGGGTGACACGCAGTACCTGAACGCTCCTTTGTTTAGTTCCTCGACCGTGGCCTTCCGGTGCCTTCATATGCTCAAAATAACTTGAGTTCAACTCGAAACTCTCAGCCTACTACCTCTTCAGAGGTCGCCAAACAGGAAGATGGCACCCCCCAGCCTGCAGCTGTCACTGACAAACCGAAGTTTTTCACTATTTACAAGAACGCACAAGACATCTCCCATACTCCGGAAGGCGCGCTCAAAGAGGGGTTGGGAATGGTGAAGACATTGAAGGAGAACCTCAAAAAGCTGGAGCTCGGTAGCAAGCTGCGACAAGAAGTCTGGGATCGTGAGATAGCCAAGTTTGTTGTTCTAAGTCTTCAAATCAGTTCTTGTGTTGACGCATGTGGTCTCGCAGCCTGGAGACTCAAGGGTCGCCGAAGACCTTGATAGCTGTTTGCGGGGGTAAGTCAAGGTTCCTGCCTGAAGCAACTCCGTCGTAACTCTTTCCTCCAGCAACCGGTGCTGGAAAATCTTCTATACTAAACGCCGTACTAGATGGTATGTGGTCTGCTCGCTTTCGGAGGCAGATGTGCTCATTACTTTGCAGACAACGTTGTGCCTACTAGCGGCATGCGAGGTGAATACAATAGGTTGAACGTCGATACGTAACTGATTCGCTCCTTTTCAGCTTGTACTGCCGTCGTCACTGAGATTGCTTACCACAAGAAGTCGACAATCGACGCTGATATCTCCTTTCTCTCAGAAGCTGAATGGAGGCAGGAACTCGGGGTTTTGATACACGACCTTGTCGATGAGGATGGCAACATAAAGCGGAGCACAGATCTTAAGAGTGACGCTGGCATTGCTTGGCAAAAGGTCAATGATTTTCACTTCCCAGGTTTCTTGTGCCTAATAACTCATCAGGTACACGCTGTCTATCCAGCTATCGAACAGGAAAAACTTGTCAAGATGAGTGTTCCGCAAATCCTCAATTATGATCCCCGTATGTTCTCTTCCAGCCCTCCTTGAACCATTCTCAAGGTGTCTTCTCAGAAATCTTGCGTATTCTTGGTACAATGAAGAACATTTGCGCCAAAGATTCGAAATCTTTTGCGAAAGAGATAGGCAAATATATCGACTCTAAGGACCAGAAACGTGGTAAGAAGGATAAGGACAAAGACAAGCCTAAGGAGCCGAGCCTCATGGATAAAGTCCGCAATGCTGCTGGGATGATGATGCGATACACCGCTTCGACCTCCAACACTTCTCAAGATGAGGTCAATGATGCTGCACTGTGGCCCCTTATCCGACAAGTCAACGTACGCTGTAAGGCTGAAGCGCTCTCGACCGGCGCTGTGTTAGTGGATCTTCCTGGTATGTCTTGAAGAATGTTTTTATGTTGACCGGTCTCATTTTGACTTGTCTGATAGGTGTTGCTGATGCGAATGCTGCACGAAACAACATCGCCAAGGACTACATGAAAAAGTGCAATTGCATATGGATCCTCGCGCCAATCACTCGCGCCGTGGACGATAAAACCGCGAGAGGTATGTTGCGTCTTTGCCCCAAATGTGTCGAAGTGAACACCCGATGCGCTAGATCTTTTGGGTGATGCGTTCAAAATGCAGCTGATGAGTGAGTGGCTGCGGTGTATACTTGTAGCACCCTACTGACATAGTGTTTCAGTGGGTATGTCTCCTCGACACTGATTACTTATTCACGACTGACCGAAGGAATGTACTACGACAGACGGAAAGTGAGTCTCGGCGCTAGTAAAAAGAAGAGGATGCTGTCTAACTTGATGTCACTGAAGCTATGACGACCATGCAATTACTTTTATCGGTATGTTACCATGCCTCTTTACTTGCGGTTGTCCTCATGTCCTTCTAAGCTAGCAAGTGTGACGACATCTCCTGCTCTGAAGTCATCCGTGCCTTGCGCCTCGAGGATGATCCTGAACTCGAGAATATTGAAGATCGTTTGTCGTCTCTGAAGTCTGAGACATCCGAATGGAAGAAGAAGAAATCTGACGCTGAGAAAGAGATCAAGGGTAGGACTGTCTCCTGGTTTATGAACTCCACCGATTCTAACTCCGCGCAGGGCTTCAAGAAGAGCTGGAGGGGATCCGGGCCCAATGCAAGGAGCACGAAGCACACATTGAAGCGTTGAAGAACGGCGAAACCTTTGTTTCTACTCTACAGAAGCCGTCTTCGAATGGCAAAAAGAGAAAGAACTCGCGAGGAGGCAAGAAAGGCTCTCCAAAGCGAAGGCGAAGTATGGCCAGTGACGACGAGGACGACGACTTCATCGACGATGATTCAGAAAGCAGTGCCAACGAGAGCGATAGCGACAAGGATTCTGATGACGAGAAAGATTCTGATGACGAACAAGAGAATAGCGAGCAAGAAGACGTCGAGATGGCAGAAGTCACAGAAGAGGATCTGAAGGAGAAGATCAAGCAGTCAAGGGAAGTCATCAAAGCTGTGCGGGCGGTACTCAATGAAGTTCGCACCCGCAAGAAAGAGGCGAGCGACACCATATCTTCTCTTGACAAGAAGCTTGCGAAGGTGCAGAAGGAGAAGAATGCCTTTTGTTCCTTGAAACGCTCAGAGGTGGGTCTAATTATTTCTATAGGCAAACGCTCTCTTTATAGACTCTGTCTCTAGTTTTCTCGCGATGTATTGAAAGAGGATTTCCGCGCAGGATTGAAGGACTTGGACGGTGTGCACTTACATATGTCCTGTGTCCATGAATCTCAACGGTTTGCGTCCTAGATGCCGCAGCTGAGGAACGCGATCCACAGAATTTCAATCCAAATGTCAACCTGCGTGGTATGTGCTTGCATTTAAATTGTCGTCATTTCTTTTTTAGCTTTGATTTCACAGATTACGACGCTATTGATCTCCCCGTATTCACTTGCTCAAGTCGCGACTATGTCAGATTAAAAGGTGAGAAATTTATCCAGCCCCTGATGCCTTGGTCTTTTATTCCCGATCCTCCTTAGGTCAGGTCAAGGGCGACGGCGAGCCTTCTTGCTTCTCGAATATCCACGACACTGGCATTCCGGACCTCCAGAAGTGGTGCCACCAGCTGACGATCGCCTCCCGAGAAAGGGCTGCCAGGTCTTTTCTGACCTACCTCAAGGCATTTTCTCAGTCGATCCAAACATATGTGCAAGGTATCGGTGACGTTACGGCAATCGACCGCGAAGCTTTGCGAGAAAAATGGGAGTCCCGAGCGTTCGACCAGACTGATGACTTTGCTGCGCGCGATTTGGATGATCCTTTAGATGCCATCCTTGGCGGACTTGGAGCCGGCCTGGGTGCCGGTCTCTACACAATGAACAAGCCTGCTCCGAAGGTCGATACACATGGCCAACCTACTGGAATTACCCCACGACTTTGCACGGTTCGTTCATTTTTCATTATCCATGTATAGAGGTCTAAGCAAATGCGATTTTCTTTCAGGAATTCGCGAAAATGGTAGATAATTGCGTCCATGATCTCCAACAGAACTTCAAGGATGGCCTTGAAGACAAGTGCCGAGCCGGTGCAACAAATGTGAGGCCTTTCCCTACACCCAACACCTCCCAGTGACAAGACCTGACCTCGACAATCTCAGGCCGCGGAAGCTGCAATACCAACAGTGGACGAGTTTGCGTCCTCGATGCACTGGGCGACATATCGTGCGAGTGCGTAGGCCACTCAGACGAGATTCAATCTTCGATTTCCTCACCTGTTGCTTTCCCCAGCCTTACGCCGTCACGGATCCTGGCGCCGCGATCTCAACGTTGAACTGATCAACCCTTTCACAAAGAACATTGCTCATTCGTGGAGCAAGGTCTTTGAATCGGACCTCTTCGGGCCGTTCCAAGCTGCCACCATTGCCACCATCGACACTATCGTGAAGGAGGTCGAAGACTCGGCTGCACCTGGCCTCAAGGATCGCGCAAAGCTTCAAGGCGAAGCATGCGTGGAGGAAGCACGCGTAGCGCTGACCAACGCAGTCGAGCTTGTGAAACAAACTATGAACACCGAGCAGAAAGAGGTCTCTAGATGTCTTGCGCCTCATATCCAGTCGCAGCTTGTCGAAGGGTACGACAGAGCCATGGAAGAGCGAGGGACAGGGAGTGTTGCCCGCCAAAAGGTGAGTGATTTATGCTCCGCTGATCCTCTTGCCTGAATACTGATCTCTACATGCAGGCATATTTCCGCGGCTTCATTAACCAATGCAAGGACGACATCTTCGACGATGGTGCCGACGTTGTTATGGAGCGTTTAACCAAAGCTTCTGATGCCATTGGGGAGACGCTGGACGAGGCGATGGGCAAACTCGCACAGAAGGTCTGTCTTTTATCTGAACATATGCGCGCAAGTAGACTGAGGGATCTATTCTAGATCGAGGTCAGTCTGGCAGTCCTCTGGGAAGGTGCACGCGACAACCCCGCGCAGTTGAGAGCACGCAATGAAATCATTGACATCGTGCAGACCATCATGGAACAGATTAAATACTGGATGGATGCGGTCAAATTGAAGCAACAGGCCGGGAGGAACTTGACATCCGCCATGGATGAGGATTGAAGCAAGCAAATCGAGCAAACGTGTCTTTATACCCTACCTCATCTTGCATAATTCCTGGTCTACTTACATTCCTATTATTCTTGTACAATTCTCACTTATCCGTGTATTATACCCCCTTGCTATTGATCCAAGTTTTTCTTCTCACTCCGAGACTAACGGATGCCTTCGTTTGACACTCTAGCTCGTAAAATTTGAGCTATCGACATAAAAATACTACAATGTCGTTTTGGAGAATGAGGAAGACAATGGAAAGGTAGGTTGTACTGAAGGAAAATGGGGAAGCAGTATCGGACTATGTTACAGATGTTGCCTACGCTCCACAACAACAGAAAGGGATTTTGAAAGCAGGCTGTACATACAGGAAAACACATCAAAGAATCGAGGGTAAAATCAGTGAGGGGATGAGTGTATGCGAGCGGGTAGAAATGTGGTTAGGTCGTTGTTGTGTCGTATGGCGGCCGTGCCGCAGTTGAATGTTATGTGCTCTCTCCTGCGCGAGAGCGCATGCACATGAGATTGATGTACACCTCGAGGGAGGTGTTTAGACTCTGTAAACTGGTCGACCCTGCCGGTCGACCTCACCGCCTGTCCGCGCGTCGATGTATCGCGGACGGCGAGAGTAGCCCATGAACCCCCAGGTGGATCGGTCTGACTTGTACCGAATGCCATTGCTGGGCGCAAGGCCAAAGAAGCGACGGAGACGCGCTCCGAAGGAGTGGTGGTGATAATGACCTCCATAGCTAGGTTGCTGTAGAAGGGGGCTTGTCAATACCTCTTTCGTCGATGACGATGCGAGGGTGGGTCAGCGCACCATAACCACTGGGGCGGCGACGGCTGAAGAAACGACGGGCGGCATCCTGTAGGGGTAGTAGTCGTCATAGTATCTGCTGCTCCGTCGGCGGCGGCTGCCATAGGAAGGTACGTACATAACACCACCAGCAGGTTGTGCGTAGCTGGCCGCCATTGGGACCCCATAGCCCGGTTGTGCGTATCCGGCGCTGGCGGGATAGACAACGGGCTGGGCAGTGGCGTAGCCCGCTTGAGAGGGATAGTATGCGGACATGGTGCTGGCGGCTTGAGCGTTCGTGAAAGGTCTTCTGTGGTTTATAAGACGAGGAGGTTCGAAAGAGAAATGAAAAGCCGCCGAACCGTTTCTGGTTGGTTTTCGGATCAACCATCACCTGATTACTTTGCCATCTAATCTATCCACACCATCCATTGGGTTCATTCTCGTCGTATTAGTGCAGGTTCGCTCTGGTACAGTACTTTCACATCGTCCCCGCCACTACTGTTAAAATGGCCGGCGGATGTCATCTAGGCTTCCAACTTCACGCCGGACGCCACACAAGCGGCCGAAACCTGGATCACTCCATGTCCTGGAAGTCCCCTTCGTCCAGATCATGAGGCTAGAGATAGGGATAGGATCAACTCGTTAGCGGTAGAATCACTTCGACTTCCAACGGCACATGTACCTCTTTGGGTTCCTCGTCTTCTCCGTACTGCATCGTGTAGTCGATATGGCTTATCACCGTCTCCAACGAATCAGGGTTGGTCAGATCAAGCGGGAGGAAAGACACAAGGGGATGATCCTCTATCTTTGTGAGAAACAGTTGATTAAGTCGAATGCCATGAAGCCCGCTCAACGGGCGCTTACTAGTTGAACTACGGCTTGATTCAGGGCGTGGAATCGGGGATTCGAGACATTTCCTTCTTCGCCTCTTCGGGTGGCAAGTAGTAAAGGGTCAGGGTCCAAATACCTTCGCGCCGTGTAAGTGAAACACGTCAAGGAATCCGTCGGAAATATGTAGTAGTCATATGGCGCTTACCTCGCAATGTCTTTCCGGTGTCGTATGCCATTCCTCGCTCCTCCTGACTCGTCATCCGTGCTTTTTGTTACCAAATCCATCTTGGACATGACATTTATCCATGGGATTTCGAGGTTGACCATTGCCGACATCGCGGACAGCACACCGCTATTTCATGACTGAGCGCGAATAGTCGCAGGCGAGAACGATAGCGCCAAACCTGAAGAACTTGTAGCGGTCCTCCATGAATTGGGATTCAATGAGATACGCGGCACAGACGCGTATTCCCATCCTGACAAGGTTTTGGACAAGAGTCGGCAGGAAGGGATGATGAGTGTAAAGCTCGATTTGACCTGAACGATACGGTCATTGATGGCAATCATGGCTCCTATAAGTCACCAGGGCATACCAGGACAGTCAAAAATGAGATAGTCATCATCATAGCCGCCAAGTTCCTCTTCCAGCCAGTCCATATTCTCGAGCAGATATCTAGCCACACCGTAAGACCGAAAGCACTGTTACGCCACGAACGGCTCCAAGTTTGACAGTTAGCCAACACTCACTCACTCAAAGCAGTACACCAAACCACCATTCGGACCGTACTCGAGTTCGCTCATTACGTCCTCTAAACTGACCAGATCCTTGATGTCAATGACCGGCTCGACCTCGAAGCTTGTAGGCGATGCGGCGGGGTCCAGATTGACGAGGTGTGCAGTCCGTTTCGAAAGCCGCAGGTGATTGAGAAATGCGCCAGTAAACGTCGATTTTCCAGCCCCTGCTGGACCTGTAACAAGGACAGCATAACGCATGGTGGAGGTCGAGGAGAAGTGATCTTTTAAAGTCCGCCGGAGATCAAGCGCGCATCATCGTGACTTGCTTCGACGTAATTATCTCTGATTTGTCCCAAACGATCATGTCTCGCCCACCTATCCAGGCAGACCAGAGCGCCTCGGGCATTTCAGTCGACCCAATCACCCTCGAGCGCGTCATTCCAGAGTCGCGCCGTCCAGATGGAACGTACGTCCCACAAGTTTCCTTTCACCTCGCATCAGCCACCCGCCGACTCATTCCTTCGTCTAGCGTCCGAAAGCAGATAAAGATCCGACCAGGATTCACTCCTCAGGAGGACGTCCGACGCTTCCGTGGCACCAAGCAGGCGCAAATGGATCACAACGCGCTGCCCAAAGGACATATCGTAGGCTGGGCGCCTCCACCCACTAGTACGGCAGCCTCTAACGCAAATGCCGGAAAGCCCATGTCCAAGAGCGCCAAGAAGAACGCGAAGCGGAAAGAGAAGAGGGAGAAGGAGAAGGCCGAGGTTCCAGATAACTGGGAAGATGACGATGAAGACGCGGCACCTTCACCTGCTCCCGCGAAAGAGGACAGTGGCTCAGCGACCAAAGCATCATCTACCCCTACCTCTGACAAGACCAAGGACGCGTCGACGATTGATTCAACAGAGGGTTTGTCAAAGAAGCTGGAGAAACTAGATGTCAAGTAGTTCATGCAGTCCCAACATGGTCCACCGACAGACTACAGCGCTACTGATCATGCGAATATTAGAGATGGACTACGAGCCCGATGGATGGTGTACATTTTGTAATACAGGCTTAATATATGTATGAAAGGTTGATCTACCTTTATGTCTACGAAATCCCGCCCTAGATATGCAAGAAACCCTGGGGTAATATGATGTGATTTATGTAACCCATTCGGTCCTTTCCAAACCCTCCGTAGGTATTGTCACTTCAGGTCGCGACGGCGGAGGAAGATTCTTTGGAGGCTTGGACTTAGGCTGTACCTCCATCATGACAATAATAATCACCACAAGCGTCGAGAGCGTCACTATCATGATTTAAGGCCCGTTGAATTTTTTAATAAGGTGAATGGATACTCACAAACAACCTTCCGCATGGTATCCCACTTTATTTCTTCGACGTCTGTCCGTAGATCACTGACATTTACGACAGCCTTATTCATAAGTTCCTGCAGACAAAATGGAGTTATCATTTTCTGAAGTAGCGTAAAATATGTTTGTGCTGACCTCTATGCTAACATCCTGCTGCCTCCGATCCGCCTTGGCCTCATTCTTCCTACTGTCCAGCTCCATCTGGATCCTGAATAAAATTAGAACGCAAGTTAGATGGACTTTGTGAGAGACAAGAAACACATACTCATGCTTGAGGTTCCCAATATCTTCCTTCATCTTCACGTCTACCCGATCGACCTCTCGACGGAGTGCCGCAGTGGCAGCACGAATGGCAGCCGAGTCATTCTTCGTGTTCATCGTCATCTCCGCTCGCAATTCCGATAGCGCAGCACGGAAGAGATACGCTTGCTATTTCGTATACTCAACGCCAGTCGCCATAACACGGAGGTATAGCACCTACATTATCCAGATCTTTGACTGTTAGACCCTCTCTCCGCACTCGGCCGATGCGATCCACAAGCAGTGCTCTCGTTGCACGCATCAGACTCCGCGCGGTTTCCTCTGGAAATGTCTTCTCTAATGCAGCGAAGAAAGCGTGGGTATGAAAAGGAGGGCTCGAATACGTCGGGGTCCTGAACGAGGGCTCCGCCTTGTATGAGGTCGGAACTTCGGAAGCAACGGTGGGTATATTCGACGACTCGCCTCCCGTTGGAAGCGGTGGAGGCGGCATTGATGAGGAAGAAGGAGAGCTGGAGGAGGAAGAACTTGCGATCGAGCTCGAACTCGGGCCTGACAGATCCCGAGGATGGGACATGGAGGCAGACGACGAGCCAGCGTCGAACGGGTCCCCGATCGTTGGTCCCGAGTGGGATTCCCGGCGTGTTGAAATCACGAGCGATGTTGTAGACGCTGGTAGGTGTGCTTCTGTGCTAATGACGCGACACAGACGCGGAATGACGCGCAGGAACATGCCAGACTTGTTGGAGAGATGGAAAGCTATGAATACCACGCGCCAAGAGCAAATCAATGATCCTCGATGTTGTGCTCTGTTACGGCCGGAGGTTGCCTCCTTCCTTTTAACGCCAGGGAACTCGAACATATATTCTCGTTAATAGTACAGGCTATTTTCTGAGGAAGAATTTCCACAAAAGTCTTCTACTTTCCAATTTGCAGTCCAACTTGAGAAGCAGGCCTCGCTTCGCAGCGTGCGACCCAGGCCTAGGATACAGAGCCTGCATGAGTACTGCAAAACATGACGAAGAAATCAATGCTCAGGACACAAACCTTCACATTTGGCCACTCATCAAGACTTTCAATGCCCGAGAAGGAATGGATCCTTACCCTTTATTACGCAGGTCAATGGTGAAAGCTTGATGGCAAGACGGACGAACACACCAAGGGAAGGCTTTGATATCAGCGAGATTGTATTTACCTCGGCCAGAGCCTGCAAGGTAATCACGGTCCTTGAGGCGAATTTCAAGAACGCTAAACAGCCTTTTAGTCTCCTCAGTATAGCCTATTCATTAATCAGAACCACTACATTATCGAGCGCAAGAGGACACGCACGCTTCTTGGCGTATGGGATGTCTTCTGGTGCAAACTTGTTGAAGTGATTGGCTGGACGGCAGAGTAATTAGATCAGGAAGCTGGCTATATGATGCGAGAAAATAGACGTACCTTGACCTTGCATAGGGCCCACGCCACCATGCTATTCGTCGTGGTTACATTAGAAACAAGTTTTAGGATGTGTGGTTCTTACGGCAAAGAAAATCCACTGAAGCATTTCGCTATAATTGTCTGGCTCTTTCGCTGGATCAAACCAAAAAACGTGGTCCTTGTCATAGTGCTGCGCTAGGTAGAGGTTGATGGCAGCCGTCTCGAAGACGGCGAAGTTGTTGCGTGAACGATCGATAATAGTGGGAATGCGGCCATTGGGGTTCAGCTTGATGAACCAGAGTTCCTAGGCGGAAATGAGACAGAGACCTGGGACAGGTTGGGCGCATATATACACCTTCTGTGTATTCTGGCCAATGTCGATTTTCTCGAAACTGATTCACCTGTCAGAACACTACTAGTACCAGTGAAAGGATACCGTGATCAACCCACTCATAGTCAACCGAGGGGTTGATGGCTTTCAATTCCTCGAGGTAGGTTGAGACCTGCACCCCGTTGGGAGTAGGAAAAGTGTACAACAAGATGGGCTTGGTGGAGGAAGACATTGTGGAGAGACACTTGGGGAAGATGTGATGGGAGGGGAGATAGGAGCTGGTGTATTTATAGGAGGGAGAATTCCGATGACGCCATCCAATACTTCCCACTCTGAGTCTGTGCAACATGGGACGAATAGCTTTCGGTGGGCTGATTCAGCAGAAGGAAGGATGCGTAAGATTGGCCTCACTAATTATATCATTACAGATACTGGTTCCGTACACGGGCCGTAAATATCATCGGGCATTGGCTTCGCTGACCGAGACCGCGGTGTCTGGAGGGGGTTTGGGCGTGAACTCGAATTGAGATCCTATCATATTGCCTCGGAAACGTTTTCGCATATCCAGCTGATGTATGTGGCATTGATATGGTGGTAAAAAACTGAAGGAACGAGGTACGCACCATGCCCCGCTTGCACTCATAGGTTGCCTTACGAAGAGATTGACATTCTTCCGGCAGTTCGTGTAGGTGATATTTCAGACAGTCGGAAGGGCGATTCCCATCCTTCATAACGCAGTCCGAGTGCTTCAGACAGTCCTTGAGAGCAGCGATGAGGTTTTGACACGACGAGGACATGGTAGTTGGAAAGAGTCTGATGTCGCCGCCGCCAGCACATTCACGTGCTGACCTCAGTGAGCCTGACTGAGCACTCTCAACAGGGAACACCCTTCTCGTTTTCAATCGCACGTCGCCTGCTTGTCACTATGCCGCCTCCACTATGGCAGGGTCTGGTGCGGAAGACACCCTCAATCGCCCCTCTTGCGAATAGAGGCCTCCTCTCAATTACGGGCTCCCAGTCAACCGACTTTTTGAACGGCCTCCTTGGATCATCGGTGCAAGAACCCGTCAGAAACCAATTCTCGACAGTGTTGCACGCTCAGGCATGTACTCCAGCCCCAATATCGAACAGGCCAGGAAGATAACTCGTGTAGGGCAGAGTCATGTATGACGTCTTCCTCTACGCGACCACCAATGGCTATCTCCTGGAATACGATATGGCGCCTTCTGAAGCTGTTTCTCTGTCTTCCTACTTGAAGCGGCACGTTTTGCGGTCAAAAGTGAAAATACGCTCGGCGACAGAAGAATACGATGTTTGGGCTGCTTGGGGTTCGACAAAAGACCATGAATGGGAAACAAAACGGCATTGGCACTGGGAACGCAGTGGTGCTGTGGAACCTGTGTGGAATGGATCCCCATCTTGGCCGTGGGGCACAGGGGAAGGCATCATCCTTGATAGGAGAGCAGTCGGTATGGGTCGAAGGTTGCTTGTGAGAAAGGGAGAACATCGTGAGTTTGTACGTCCCTCTTATTCGCAATCCATTTACGAGCTTCTTTTCCAGCTCAGGATTCATCCACTCACGACATCGTTCCAACTGAGGAATATGTTTTGCATCGTATCATCCGTGGTGTTCCTGAAGGAGCTGCTGACATCGTGCCCATGCAAGCTTTCCCAATGGAATCTAATCTCGATATTATGGGCGCTCGTAAGTGCCTTTTGAATAGACAGTCTATCCTTAGCCTGAGTTCCCCTCAAGTGGACTTCAGAAAAGGTTGCTACGTTGGGCAAGAACTCACGGTACGAACGTACCATACTGGCGTCATACGCAAGAGAATCCTCCCTGTTGTGATTCAGAAACTTGAGCAGGGGTCAGTTTCCAGGTTCACGGTTTCGACACTCCCATTGACTGACAAAAAAAAACAGTGTGCAAATTTCTCATACACCCCCTCTCCCGCTGAATCTTGACATCAAACCCGTGATCGAGAAACCCGGCCCTCGGCCGAGAGGCTCAGGGAAAATTCTCAGCAACCAAAAGGGCGTTGGACTTGCTCTCTTACGCCTGGAGCATGTGGCTGGCGTTCAAAAGGGCGACCTTAGGTTTGATATCGTGGACGGAGAAAATGCAACAAACCTCACTGCAGTCCCCTGGTGGCCTGAATGGTGGCCTCGTGAACCAGATACAACGAGTAGTACATGATTTTTCGCCAGAACCCTGTCCATATCTATAGCCTTAGGAATCCCAACTCAACCTCGTTTGGACGGCGTCACGGCACCTTTCATCTTCAACATAGGATTCGTTGGACAAAAAGACGGTTTGTCATGATATCCCAGTTTTTCATGTCGATCTGAACTATTGCGCAAGACATCTTCCGTTCTTTCGAGGATCCTTATGTACAAATGTGGCTAGTTGTCACACAATATTGTTCTCCGACCTTTTAGGAGAACACCATCAAGGACATTCATGCCTCTCCGCCGAAGTCCTTGAAATACTGGCGGTACGCGACGAGCAACAACAGACGTGTCAGAGCTGCGTCGATTTTGTCACTGTCGTCGGTGCTCTTAGGCATCTAGCCAACAGCGCCATCACGGACCTACGCCCCAGACACATCGAATTGTCGGGATGCCTCGAATGGCGAAGTCCATCGAGATGCCTCAGCAGGCGAGACCGTTGAGATGCCCCGACAGGCAGAGTCCGTCGGGAGGAGCAAACAGTCCGGCAGTTCGTTGAGCTGGTGTACATGCACTGTCGAGCAGAGCCCATGGCGAGAACCCGCCCTGATGGCTAAGGCCATTCTACACCTCGCAGCCGTCGATATGACTGCGTAGATGAGCCGAAGGAGGCCGCTCCTACGTTCTGGTGGGACGACCGTGCTGGACTGGCATCGGCATCTTTACCTGGCACTGCTGCCTTGATGCCTACGACGTCCTGCTCTCTGCCCCTAGGCGATCGCACCGCGAGCCGACGCGCACGGACCATGGACCAACCACGATTACAACCTGCATTACGACAAAATTTTCAAGACAATTGAGGCCATTGCGCCCTTGTCCTATTGTTGCTCTCGTGAGTCTGCACCTGCCGAAAACGGCCCTAATTGTAAGGCATTTCTCAAACAAAGAATTGCCTGCCATTCCGTGTTATACAGTGCGCCACGGTTCACCAGAACGACCAGTAAAATGCGAGCCACGATATACTCATTTCTAGGCACAATAAGCTACTTGTGTGTCTTAAAATTTCAATATAACCGCCAAGTCCTGAGACTGTGAGTCTTCTTGGGCTGCTATGACTATCCTGGATGACGATGAGTTTGTGTCAGGAGATGGGAGAACCCATCACTGAGGGAAGCCGATTCATTTTTTTCGGCTGACCCGTAATTTCAGTTCAAACAAGGGTATCTTCAGTCAGGAGGAATGCCATAGTTAAGTCCCCTGAATCAGGGATTTTTCAGCTGAATCAGCTGCCTGAATACCCTTTATTGGGGGGCAAATGAGTCCGTTCATGCAGGTTATTGTTCTGCTTCTGCGACGCAGCTCTTTCGAGGGAATTATTAAGACAGCTATTTGGTCTGTCAAAATTCAGGGGGGATCCAGTTGGTTTCAATTTTCGAACAAATGATATTAGTATCTACTTGACTTGTATCTACTACATGAAAGATCAAATACATGGTAGGGGGGGGTGACCTCTCGCTCTCACTCTCACTGCCACCCTCCTCACCTTCATGGCATACAGGGTCATGTGTGGCCGTTGAAACCACCGACGCCCCAAGCACCTGCCTGCCTTCCTCAACGTCGTGAATGGAGTCAGCTTGCGTCTCAACGGCATAATGCTTCCGTCATCAAGCATGTTGGTGAGTACCTGCTCGTCACAGCGCATGTAATCGGTGTGTATAAGTACGAATGACCAGATGAAGGGCTGAGGTAACGTACCACCGTAGCTCGATTCCTACCGTGGGCAGTTTGGAAGAATACGAGTCGACATCGAGCATCGCAGCGAAATGCTGGTTGTGCTCGCTCCCGGAGATGCCAGTGCTTCAGGACAGATCCTAGTAAGCAGGGAGGGGGGTGCCGGAAGTCAGAGTCGTGCTGGTTTGGAGGTCGCCGACGTACGCCGCGATTGTGGAGGCGTCAGTGAAGAAGCATGAGGCAAAAGAAGGCTTGTACCCACAGAGCTGCCGAAGTTTGGACATTGGAGAGTGCCGCTCCCTCCCTGTATTCGCAGCTGGTGCACCCCGACATCCAGCAGAGACGCGGCGTGGGATTAGTGTCAGCGTCGATATTGGTGACATTCGTAGAGGAAGCAGTAGGGGCATGCACGAGTGAAAGCACACCACGGATGTAAACTCAAAGGCAGGCACACCTTCAGCTTTCTGCGTGATTCTCATAAGTAGACGCAAAACCGTCCACCGCCCCTCCACAGCCGCCGGTGGTTCTCTACAGTCCAACGAGGATGGGGTGGTGGGTTTGAGATGCGAGGCGGGAATAAGACTCCTAATCGTCGTGTTAACGCGTTGACTGGGACATCGGACAGAGATAAAACACATATACTCGGGAAAATAGGCACTTACACGCCAACTTGAACTGATATCCAACGACCATCGGCTGCGATAAGACGATCAAAGCCGAGATCCGCGAGATCGGAGCAGACACCACACTCGTATGAGTGGTTTTCGACGTATAGAGGGCCACCTGAAGGTGTAGAGGGAAGATCGGGTCGGGGGTGGTTGGGGGTAGTAGCGACGTAGAGGTGCAACGTTGACGTTGAAGGTCAAGGCGAACGCGTCGGCGACGATGGATGTATGCTGTCACGTGGGCGTTCAATATTTGGCATCGCCGTGTCTGTTCCAATAGGCGACCAAACAAAATGAGGATTTCGTCCTCGTTTTGTTTGGATGCCTATTGGAACAAGCAAGCTGTTGCCAAACAATGACTCGGACTTCACCAAGTCTTGCCTCCAACTTGCCTCGGGACCTTGGTCCTCGATATTTCAATGTTCTAAGAATCTAATTTCCATCATCTTCACTCTTTGCGCTTGTCATTCCGTGCAGGTAAGCCCATGGGCTGCTCTGGGGCACGGGTATGGGTTGGGATTTCCATACTTCGTGTAAGTCACCCACTCGCCTCCATCCTATCCTATCAACATGCTAGCACGTCCAATCGCTCGCTGGCATGCTCGTGCTTGATTCAACGCTAACGCGTCCATTGAACGATAGACGCACTAGATAGGCGTCATTGGTCAAGCGGTTCATAAGCGAATGAGCAGTCGTCGCCGCTTTCACATTCACGTTCCATTCGTCATGGCTGCATCGACAACTTCTTCCCTACCACTGGAAATTATGGAGCCGACGACATCAGGGTCAGCATCGGTGCCGACGCCGAGTCAACTACTAGTGTCCCCGTCTTCGTCGTCATCCCCTGTGCGGTCGATGTTGGGTTCCTCAATAGCACCTTCAACACCCTCGGAAGTGCCTTTATCATCGTCGATAACGCCCCCGAAATCGTCTTCAACGCCGACGCCAATGGCGACACACACACCGTCGCACACGCCAACGCCAAGCGCAGCCCCTATGTCCATTAAAGATGGCATCTCAGTCATCTCGCCCTCTTCAGCGTCGTACGATCCTGGTTTTGACTACGGCTCAGACCTGGACTTTGTCCTTGACGAGGAGGAAGCAGGGTTCGGCTCTGGGCAGGGTATGGCAGGTGGGAGGGAGGGCATGGAAAGGAGGGATCAGAGGATCGAGCGATGGTTGGTGCAGCAGTGCCGGTTCTTTGGTGCGGAGGAAAGTTTGGAGATGGGGACGGGGTTAGGGGATAAGGGGAAAGGGAAGAGGAGGGAGGATAATGCAAGTAGGAGTAGGGGAGGAGAATGGGTAGGGAGGAGGAGGAGGAGGACCTACAGGGCGAGGGGAGAGGGTTGAGGCACAGAGTCTTGACGCGCACAATGACGACGAGCAATACTACCGCCATGACGACGACGAGTGGCGGTGCGTTGTTTGAGACGGAGAGCGAGCGCGCAGGTGCGGGTGTGGGTGGGAGTAGTCCTGTGCTGGGCAACGTGAAAGGAAGAGTAGGGGATCAGGAGGCTGTACGCGCGGACTCGCCCCTCCTCGGGGCTGGGTTCGCTATCGCCTTTAAATACATTCTGCTCTATGCCCAATCATCCAATATAATAATAAAAAATACCAACAGAAATTGAGAGCCAACAGAAACTACTGCGCCTGCAGTGTGCATGTTATAATTACCTTCGTCATCCAACTGTGCTCATTCATCTTCGATGTCATCCTCTTTTTCATGACGGAAATGTATGTATAAATTCTGGATATTGTATCGTTTTCTATACTTACAGACTCTAAGAAAGTGTTAGAATACAAAAGGCACTGAGTGGTGTGTTGAACTTGCCGGAAATGTCGAATTCCCTGCCTTCTAGGGCAGGACCTTCCAAATTCCTGTCTCCGGTGGCACCTCATTCTGGTACTTTTTGACTCATTTTTCTCTAAATATAGTTAAGTCCTCGGGATGAGGGGTCTCTTTAGGTCAGAAGCTGCTGATTCAGCCGAATCAGGGGAAACTGCTTCCCACAGTGCCATCCTGACCCCCATGTGGTTTTAGTCGTATGTCCTACCTGTAACACCTTTCATTGAAAGGCTCTGCAGGTCGGGGAAAGTCCGCTGGCAGTGGTTAGGAGTAACGCAATGGTGATGGATGAGGTGTTTGGGGTTACTTGGAGTAGTTGTAGCTTGTACCTCTACATACCTACGAACCCTCATTGGGACCTCCCTGGGAATTCTATCTTCCTTCCTTCCTTCCTTCCTGTCATTCCGTGAGAACCTCTTCAAGCATCTCCTCCCTGTCTTGCATCTGCATCTAGTGCGACCCTCATCACAACTATGTCAGGTCTCGACAAAGCAAAGTCGCTATTTCCCCTCCACAATCCAGAACCTGCAACCAAACACAGTTGGGAGTTTTATGCTGCGAAACGCTTGACATCGAACAAATATCGTGGGTTCAGCGCAGAGGAAGACGGCGATGAGTGAGATGAAGAAGATTGCAGCGTGAATGTGCTTGAAAACATACCAACTGTTTTCAAGAAACTTGAGGCTGATTTCGGCCTTGCAAACTAAGTGTTGCAACGTACGTTCAGGATGATCTAGTACTGTGATGCCTATTTTGACAACCTGCCTAATGTACGAAAAAAACTCTCTCTTTCAAATTGGTTGTCGTTTTGATGCATTGATTCGCTTCATCTAGCCAAAATGCAAGATATGCAGCGCCATACTGGACAAAAATGCATATTTACTGTTTTTTCTCATAAGTCCGTCTCCAATCTGTCAGATTCAGGTGGAATCCATCAATACGGTCCCAATCTGCAAGAAACATGCTGATTAGACCCATTTCGGTTGCCACCCAAGAAAAAAACCAAAACCCCTCCTGATCTGCAACACATCACCCCAATTCTGACCAATTCTGACTGAAGCCTTAATTTTTTAGGTCCCAAGGTCCCAAATGGTTGGATTTGGGACAAATCTGACCACACACAAGAAATCTGCAGAACGATGTGGTCGGATTCAGGACAAGGCCTGATTCCACCTGTATCGGAACAATGGGTCATTAAAAAAAAGGAGAGTCGATCTGGCCAAATCAAGCAGAGACAGTACAAAGATGGCGGATCTGGGAGGATAGCATTGGTTTCGGGATGAAATGGGCAGATTTGGTCAGATTTGGTCAGGCCCCAGCCTAGATTAGGCCTTCTCACAAAAAAAAACTTCAATCATGTATTTTTGTCCAGAACAGACTGTCATAGTAAGACCTTGTCTTGTATTTATTTGCCGACAAAGCCTGTCTATATTGACGTCCATTTCTTCTATCATCTTGGACTTTATTACTCCTCGATTGATTGGGCATACCCAGGGCATACCCCCAGTTCCAAGATCCATATGCGCCCAGTGGTTCAGCAGACTCAGACTACTTCACCAAATTTGAATTCAATGTCAACAATATTCAATACACATACTCTTTTGGCGCCCCATCGCGTATGGATGCCTCCATGGAGCTTGTGGGACCGAAGCAGAAGGAAAAATGAACAGATTGATCTAAATGATATGATATGATATTACACCGCGTGGACCCACTCGGGATCTGTGGGGCATGGAGGAATGTACAAAGGAAGTTACTCAAAAAAAGGTGAATACAAGCCTTTTCTCCTCAGGATCTAAATCAATGTCACTGTCATCCAGATGAATGTTAATGACATCATGGACATATGTATATGATGCATTCTAGGGCCCACTGGATGACCTTCCAGACGAAGAAGCAAAGCTCGAACGCTGACATAAATTGGTGAATACAGTCTGACTGTTGCTTGGCATGGTTGGTGTTGACTATGTGATCGTGTGCATGGAGGATGAAACAGATAAATCCAAGGCTTGGAAGTTGCAATTTATCCATGATGATTGGTTTGTGATAGAGGTTTGCAAGGCTTATGGGTTTTGTGTGAAGCACAATGCTAAAAATGAGGCCGAGAGCCAAAGGTTAAGGCTTTCTGCATGGCACGAGTCATCACAGGATTCAGATGAAGAAGAATAAGACAAGACATCTGTTACACTACTGTGGGAACCGGATTTATGGGCGACCATAAAGGCATTTTTGGCTGCACAAACATTATAGCTAAATTTTGGAGTATCCATAAATAGACGTTAAAATGTACCTTTTTGTCCAAACAGAAAATGAGTGGAAAGGGAAAGGATTCTGAGCGCTTTTGTGCTGACATAATCATTACAACTATGGGACAACATTGTGCCTGCCTTAAAAGGAGCAAAAAGCATACATTTATGGTAGACTTTTGATTGGTCATAATTTGGTCATAATGTTTGTGCAGCCAAAAACACCTTTATTGTCACCCATAACGGGTAATCATAATGGTTGTGCAGCCAAAAATGCCTTTATAGGCGACAATAAAGTGCATAGACTTTATGACCAATCAAAAAGTCTACCATAAATGTACACTTTTTTGCTTCTTTTAACTCAGGCACAATGTCGTCCCATAATTGTAATGATTATGTCAGCACAAAAGCGCTCAGAATCCTTTCCCTTTCCACTCATTTTCTGTTTGGACAAAAAGGTACATTTTAACGTCTATTTATGGATACTCCAAAATTTAGCTATAATGTTTGTGCAGCCAAAAATGCCTTTATGGTCGCCCATAAATCTGGTTCCCACAGTAGTGTCACATGTTACATCTTCATTGTAACCACTCGACATATATTACAGCGCTTTCCGACTGTAATGAGACTCCGACATTTTTTTTCCCGTGCGTGATGTATGTCATTCCCATTTTGGGAATAGCATCAGCAAAACCAACAGAAGTATAGATCACAATACATAGTAGAATATAGTTCAAAAATTGCCTGATGATCACAAAGTTAACAACCCGGAATACATTGCATTTTAAGAACACTCCAGATCTGTAAAGTTATACTAAGTTTGCGTGAAGGGACAAACTTGGTGTACCTTTTATTTCAATAAATTGCTACACAAAGGCGAAGGGCAAGAGCCCAAACTGAGCTTCACTGGGCGAAAAATAGCACATTTAATTCGCCATGCATGGGGCTCAAACACAGGCCTGAAGGACTGCTTGTCCCACTCACAGACTCACAAGCACGAGGGACAGCGCTCAAGACCCTTACGCCATCTCACCAATGTTAGCTGAGCACTAATTTGAGAGATATCACCCCGGCCACTCCTGTAGGCATTTCAATAGCAGCGCTCAACACGACTAACTGAGGTTTTCCAGGGCTGGGGAAGGGGAAAGAAGGATTATCCACCATAAGACTGACCTGAGGACATGTACTAAATTCCTGGTGAAGTTTCCATTGCAATATAAAATTGGCCAAAGTTCAGATGCACAATAGATTGATGACCCAACTTATGGCGCAGAATCCATGGCATGTCTGAACTTTGCACCATTTATGGATACACACTGAAAGATTTGTGCAAAATGTATTGTAAACACAAACTTGGGGCTTAAAAAACATTTCAGCTGGAAACTTTGCTGCCTTTCTGATGGGATCACTATATTTCTCGGTCTAATCTATTGTCTCCGCAAACATTCTTTTACATTGAATTACAACGAAAAGGGGAAATAAGTTCGTGTGAATCTGAATTGTCCCCAATGCAATGTATACTTTTGTCAGGTTTGCTGATGAGGCATACTGCACCACCATGTTCTTGTTCTTTGTCTTTTACTCACTTGCATACTGCGCATGTATCCATGGTGGATCTCAGTGACAAAATATACACCAGTGAGTGCTCTATTTTCGACTTGGAACTATTCAAACCACTACCGAAATCTGTGTTTGATGAGCTGAGTCGGTTGCCTCAAACAGAGATATCTTTCCAATATCTCAATTCTGCGCCTCTCCAGAGTGGGCTTGATAATTCTTCCAAGAATAACACCTTTCCATGTACAGTGGAGTGCTGAAATTGAGTTTCAATACCATGCTCAACAGACAGCCAGGGGACAAGCTCATCGAGGTGGAAATCTACCTCTACTTGACATCATAGAGTGCATGAACAGTGTTCAAAACAGTGGGGCTGAAAATTTAAGAGAATACTGTGGATGCCTAGAACAACAACACCCTTTGGATATCTTGCCCCCGCGGTAGATGCTTGATCAAGTTATCCAGCAAAGTGCATCATATGCAGCGCCATTGTAACATGTTGTTACGGGAGCCTCCTAATCACACCAGAACTGCTTAGGAACTCATCGTATTGCAGCGAGAAACTATACAGAACGTGGTACAAAGGTAAGAAGCTGGGGTCACAGTCACAGGTGACCCCAGGGGGGTAACGATCCGGAAACCTACCTGTTACATATCCCCCTTTCAGATTGTATCCACAATCTCAAAAAGAAAAAGGAAGATGGAAAAGTATGTGTAAGAATGAAAGGTATTTAGAGAAAAATAAGAAAATGTGGGCATTAGAAGTGAAAAGATAAAACAAGAAAAAAGCAAAGGAAAAACAGCAAACACCTGTGGACTTGAGACTCCATCGTCTTGCTCCTTCATCTTCCTTCACGCTTCACATCACCGTCATCTTCCAGTCATACTCCAGTCCTCACCTCCTCTTGTCTCCTGGTCCTCCTATCCTCTGGTCTTTGCATGTCATTGGTATTCCATGCTCGCCCAGGTACCCTACCTGTATGCCCCTTCAAAATTACATTCCAGGTTGTACCATGACTCCCTCCCCCCTCAAAAAAAATGCAAGGATGACCGGATGGGGAAAAGGTCATTGTGGCGCAGCAATCTTGAACAGTTCATAGCACCTCGGTGATTGATGTGACAGCCACACGGTATGGTTCTGAGAGGCTGACAGTCTCTGATGGTGTTCTTGATGAGGCACTTGAGTGCCACTGACGACGTCGACAGCGAGATGGGCTGTAGAAGCGTGTCGAACCACATTGAGGACAAGAAAGTGGTGTTGATGGTGTTGGTGGTTGAATATGAGGAATAGGATGGGTGGGGTTAGAGTTCTGGGGACAGTCTGAAGGAATGGGCTGTTCTTGAGGAGGTGAATCCCTCTTGAGCTCAGGAATACCAGCTTGAATGGCCTGATCCTGGTAGACAGGTGGTGGAGGGTGATGAGCTGGCACAATGGTGGGTGGTTGTGGGGAGGAAGAGACTGAAGGGAAGGGTTCCTGTGCTTCTAGTGGGCTGGTAGAAACTGGAGAAGGAACTTCCTCTGAGAGTGGGGTGTTGCCAGATGAAGATAAAGGGTGCCAAAAATGGTGGGCAGCTAGAAAGGTGTCCATAGAAATCTGCTGGGAGATAGACTTCTGGGCTTCCTGGATATTGCTAAGGAGGTCTTCAGGTTCCATAGAGCCATCCTCACAGCTCCAAGTTGCAAAGATGATGTGCTGTTGCAGCACAAGATCAGCCCATGAGCTGGCAGCATCAGCCTAAGCAGTAAAGTTGTCCTTGCTCCAGGCAAGGGCAAAAGTAAGCTTTTCAGCTTTCCCAATAGCTCTTCCAAATGAATGGAGTAAGTAAAATCTTGCATCAGATTTCAATATCCCTCAAGTGAGAGGAATCTGCGGAGAGTAGCTCTCTGGGGCTCCAGTGAGCTTCATCAGCATAGTTTCAGCTGGAATAAGCAAGAATAAGCAAAAAAGTGTAACATGTTGTTACGGGAGCCTCCTAATCACACCAGAACTGCTTAGGAACTCGTTGTATTGCAGCGAGAAACTATACAGAACATGGTATGAAGGTAAGAAGCTGGGGTCACAGTCACAGGTGACCCCAGGGGGGTAACAATCCGGAAACCTACCCATTACAGCCATACTGTACAAAAATGCATATTTACATTTTTTTCTCATAAGTCCATCTCCAATCTGTCAGATTCAGGTGGAATCTGTCCAATATGGTCCCAATCTGCAAGAAACACACCGATTAGACCCATTTCAGTTGCCACCCAAAAAAAACACCAAAACCCCTCCTGATCTGCAACACATCACCCCGATTCTGACCGATTCTGACCGAAGCCTTAATTTTCTTTTAGGTCGCAAGGTCCCAAATGGTCAGATTCGGGACGAATCTGACCACACACAAGAAATCTGCAGAACAATGTGGTCGGATTCAGGATGAGGCCTGATTCCACCCATATCGGAACAACAGGTCATTAAAAAAAAGGAGAGTCAATCTGGCCGAATCGAGCAGAGACGGTACAAAGACGGCGGATCCGGGAGGATAGCATCAGTTTTGGGACGAAACAGGCAGATTTGGTCAGATTTGGTCAGGTTCCGGCCTAAATTAGGCCTTCTCATAAAAAAAAACTTCAATCATGTATTTTTGTCCAGAACGGACTGTCATAGCATCAACAATGTTTGGTAGTATGTCCCAGCCACAGTTGCAGAGGCTGAAGGCATATTCCTTGGGGCTCTACATATGATTTATCATAGCTAAGAGCACTAACCGGAGATACCAGAGTGAGAGAGCCACGGGAGGCGAAGCACACCCTGTACCTCGAGGTTGAACGCGAGGCTGTTCCGAAAAAGGAAATGACGTATCTCACGCACGGGAAAAAAACGTCGGAGTCTCATTATAGTCAGAAAGCGCTGTAATAATCCACGCATCTAAATAATGCTCCGCAGTTAACATTGATGGTGGGTGTTGACCAGTATAGAAATCGGATTGACCAAAATGGTTGATGCCAGATGAAATCTGTTGAAATCGAGTTGGAGCACAGGTGGCCTCATTTTGGACCCATTTCTCCCTCCATTCTTCTCCGCAACTACCACCATGCCCTCGAACGAAAAGACCTCCCAAAACACCAACTCGGCACTAGAAAAAGCCAAGTCTCTGTTTTTTCTAATCCCGATCCTGCCACCGAACGTGTGTGGGAGCTCTACACCGCCAATCGTCAAGGCGTGAGTAAGTATCCCGGGTACATAGAGTCCAAACACGGAGGAGGAGACAAAGATATATACTGGGGGGAAGGCGCTGAGATACTGTATTATATCCTCAAGGCGTTCAAGAAGCTCGAAAAAAAGATGGACCTCGAGGACAAGTTTCTGCGGAAAAACTTCAAGATGCTCTCCTATGAGCTGGAATTGGGCAACTCGCAGGTAAATGGGCAGTTTCCTTCCATGATGTTGTATCTAAACCATTTCCCGATCAGCCTTGTACCGTCAGCACTTTGATTCGCATCTACTCACCAACAAAGCCGGCTTATGCCGATGTTCACTTTGAGTCGTCTTCATGTGACTGGCGATACCAGCTCGGGTTCAAGCTCAAGATCCATGCGCGCTAGGGTTGTGGGAATAACTAGGGGGTTTTATACGAAGTGTAAGTTACTATGTAATTTACATAGTAAATTACCTATTTTATACATCAGCCTAGGTCACACCGGTATAAAATGTAAAAAATGTCCTCCTCATAACCATGATCCTATGCATGATCCTCCCCAAGTGCGGTGGTATGCGGTCTCCCCAGTCCCCAGTAGAAAAAAATGGCTGGGTTTAAAGTGACAGTTGAACTCGCCGCGTCCATCGTCCCAGTTCCAGCACTGCCCGCGTATCGAGAACGACGACGATGATGGGAAAGCTGCACCCGACTGGGATGAATCTGAAGATGAGGAAGATGTCATATTGAGAGACAAGGACGAAGACCCGAACGCACCGTTACGCCCACCACCCTCTTCCGACTCGTTACTTTTTGATTCGTCCGACGATGAGATCGAGATGGAGTCAGAGGAGCTGGAGGAGATCCTCACCGATGCACCAGCTTTCAGGAGGATAAAGAAGGACAGATTCGTGCCTGTGGTTGAGGAGGTGGTTGAGGATGGAGGCGAATTCAAGCTCGGCCCGTGGGTACAGGGCGTTGGGAAGTAGTCACGTGCAACCGGTTAAAAATAGGTAATTTACTATGTAATCTAAATACTAAAACGGTATCCCTTTCCTGGTGGACAACTTCAAAAGTTGACGGAGTCAACTTTTGCTTATCCTTCAACGCTATTATCTCGCTAGATTAGATAAGAAAGCGAACAAAGTGTTGGTTATCCAGGTCACGTGGATAACCAACAGTCTCTTCAGAAAGCGCTGTCCGTTCCGGGCCGTGTCCGTCGATCATCGCTTACACGTCCATCTCGATTCTCAAACGACGGTGCTCGCGAAGAACCTCGACCCATCCACTCGACCAGCGTCCACCTCGAACCACCATGCTCGCAGACAACGTCAAGATGGTCAGCCTCTCGACTGCCAGCCACTGCACACTGTGGGCTGACCAATCCATTGCATAGCGGGCTGCGATGAGATGTATAAATTAGCAGGCAGAGGCCCCAGGTACGTCACCTTCAGCCCGCTCGACTGGCATTCAACATTGACCGACATGTCAGATTGGCAGCAGCACTTAATCAGTCTCGACGACGCCATTGTAGCAGCATTTGAACGCAGAGAACGACAACGGCAGCAAGAGCGCGAGTGAGCTCAAAGCAGAGAGGCACGGCACGAAGACCCGCCTGCTGCTCGCTGACTACCGAACTCTCAGAGCTGCAGTGAAGCTGGCGGTCACACGAGGGAAGACAGCCCAGCTGGCAGCGAGTGAGCACCAGGGTAAGGATTCTATTCCCTTCCTCAGCAGCGTGTTTACTGACGCAGGATTGCGTTGAAGGACCTCCTACCCCACCTGCCACACTCAAACAGATGCAAGCCACATGGAGGAGCCTTGCTCAAAAGGCGCGCAGAGCGAGAGAGCGAGCTGCCCAGGGTCAGCTTCAAGGTATGTCATTCGTATTCCATTACATCGTTCTCTCATCGATACCAATCAGATTCCAACCTGCCCACATCGAATGCTGGGGCACCTCCTCCATCAAATCGAACCCTTGCACAGCGTGCGCGTCGAGAGCGCGAAAGAGCTGCACGAGAGGGCATTCACCAAGGTGGGCTCACATGGTTCTCCCACCTCATTGGTAATAAAACCATGCTCACTCCTTTCGTCTAGACCAGCAAGTGCAGGAGCCAAAGGCACCTCAGCCATCAAACCGAACTCTTGCACAACGTGCGCGGCGGGAGCGGGAACGAGCTGCTCAACACGGAAACGAACAAGGTATGCCAACCGTTACCTTTCTCTTCAATATTGTGCTCTTCCATTTCATTGAGCTGCAATTTACGCATGTTTGACCTTGATGCCTCTCTAATTTTGACGTGTCGCTTGGGCTGTTCAACTGGATCAGCAGCGTGAAGTAGCTCCCTTCTTGGCTCATCGGTAGCGGGCCACAGTTCTCGAGATTTCCGGCGTTCCGCCACTGCATATGCACGGGCATTGATGTGCCTATGGGTGGTCGTGTAGAGGGAAAGAATGAATGAGGACACATCCGAATCACCGCCTGCTGACGGGTGGGGATGGATTCCGCAATTATGCGGCTCTAACCATGGCTCGCACGATTCAGAAACAGAGGAGCGAGGAAGTGAGTTCTCTAGGAAAGAACAGAGTAGGTGGCCGCGACGTAGACCAACATTTGGTCTGTAAAGACCCGAAAACGGAGGATGGTAGGGCTAAGCCCGGGAATGTATCTCGAGACGATGGCGGGATCGAGAGATGGGGCAACGACGGCCCTGAACAATGGTTGAAATGGGACGAGTGACAGGAGAGGAAGGCGACAAGAGACGAGCATGAGAGACGAGGGCCCCGAGTGAGCAAAAAGAGACGAGACCTGAATGTTATTGCACAAAAACATGAAATACGGGGCTTTCATACTATAAAGAAAAACAAGTCTAAGAAGAAATCTCTCGCCGAACGGGCTGGGGGAGTAAATAAATAAGTAAGCCCTCCAGGAAAAGCAAATAAGAACAAAAATATTCGAAACAGGAGACAAGGAGACAGGGAGTTTGAAACCCCGGCCCCGTGCAACGCACGGGTATCCCTCTAGTATATGTTATTTACCAGCGAAAAATCTGGCGTTTGTAAGTTACATATTTACATGCACCGAGGGGAGTTTTTCCCGCAACACTAATACGCGCCCTGCGACAGAGTCTGACTATCGCCCTGCTGGACCTAAAAAGTTTGAGAGGGGTAAAATCGAACATGCCCATTCGTACAACGGATGGCGACCCATCGCGTACGCGTATTTTGAAGAGGTCAGCAATTACAGAAACTCGACAACAGTGGAGCATTCAGGATTCAAGATGACGGGCAACGATGTTGTGGATCTTCATGAGGCTCTCTGGGGCCCAGTCAAGGGACTTAGTGACGGTGCCAACGAAGAGGAGAAGGTCAAGCAGCACACCCATCTGGTCGATACGGTTCGTGTACTCCTGGCAGCTGTTGGAGTTGACTATGAGGTTGCTTGCACCGAAGGCGAAGAGGACTTCTTGTGCAGTACCTGGCAGTTGGAAGGTGTCGTAGACAAGTGGGTTGGTAGGGGGATTAGGAAGGTTTGCGGATTCCAGCTGAAGGACGACGCAGAGAACGAGGCGCGAGGACACCAGGTATGAGGAAGGTCGATGACTACGAGGACGAAGACTCCGACGGCATAGATGATGATGATGATGATGATGACGATAATGAATCCAACTAGCGGCAAACCGGTCGTTTGCCGGGTGCATCGGGTGATCAGCCTGCAGGCATACTCATCAGGAGGAACATTGATTGAAAGACTTGTCGGCCTGGTAGTGAGGAAAGCATCGGGTGTGGACTGAATGCCAGTCCATCTGGCCTCTAGTTCTGAAATATGTATTTCAAATTGACGTTCGAACTTGTTGCTTCTGTCAGCCTTTCTGTCAGCCTTCCTGCCATCTACTTTTGACAGAGCAAATCTCTCTTCTGGCTTCAGGATCCACAACCTAGCACAAGAAACATCTGGGAGGGGTCTCTTGCAAAGCGTCAAGCCGCGAGTTTCCCGGATTCAAGGAGCGCAAAAGGAGGTTCGGATAATCGACGTGCTGAAGAGGTCGATGACAAAGTTGGCTCGGATGCGAGCTTTTGAGATCCAAGTCATTAAAGCCCAGGTCAATGCTGACATGCAGGCGTCGCCTCAAGCCACGTACTGCTACGACACTGGTGCGCATCTACTCCCCCGCGACGCCAACTCACATCGATGTACACTTCACCTACCACTGCCGCTCTAGAATGTACGAAATTGAGTGGTATTACAAGCTGGGTTTCAAGATCTACAAGCTGGGGACTACTCCCCAGCTGCCGTTCGAGAATTTGAAAAGGGAAGCTTCCAGGGCGCGTATTCTTCCAATGGCTGGCGACCGATCGCGTACGCCTTTTTCGACGATACCGGCGAATACGGCAGTCGCTGGAAGAGGGTCGAGCAAAGCGCATTCAAACTCGGGTATGAAGAGGTGGTGGATATATACGAGGCCCTATATGGTCCATTGGAAGACCTTCCTGATGACGCCAGCGAAGAAACGAAAATCGAGCAACGACGCAAGCTGGTGAACGTGGTCCGGCTCCTCCTTGGTGCTGTGGGGATCGATTACGCAATAGCATGTGTCGACGAAGAAAGCGACGACGCGGGCAACATGTGGATGTTGGAGGGGTTGTCGGATAGATGGTTCGCTCGAGAGACACGAAAGGCTTGTGGCTTCTAGTTGAAGGACGACCTGGAGAAAGAGACAGCAGGACGCGAAGAGGAGATGCGCGGCCGCGATTTCGAGGATGACGAAGACGAAGACGATTCAGATGAGCGAGAAATGTACGGCAGCGACATGGATGAAGACTATTTTTGACAGCTCATTCATTTTTCAACTGGGGATGGTTCAACTGGGGATGGGTTGGAGCTTGTGGGCTACGTGGTTGGACAACGCTGATATGATTTTTAGGGAACGAAATACCTTCAACTAGAACAGAACTGTATACGTATTCTCCGTCATGACTGACTGATACATAAATTCCGCCTATTTTTTGACTGTCCTCGACAACAGAGGGGGCGTATGTCAGGCGTGGCTTGGTTTGGACGTAAGTTAAGGCTCCTTGATAGGTGAGCTCCTTCCAGGCCGGACAGACAATGGGATACATGGCCTTATAAGCAGCCTCTTTCACACACCACCTGGGATCAAAATATTGTTCAGCGAGTGACTACATGTAGGCTAGCCTTACCGAACTGCCAGAAAGCGGACATGCTCTTCGGACGACCTGCAAGAAAGTAGCGATCTCCATTGAGCGTATTCTGCAGCACTGAGGATCTTCTGGGCAAATCTTCCAGGGTTCCTGCGAGATAAGAGAGCGGATATTCGAGGAACGTGGACGAGATCGACACCAATGCCGAGAATCGTCATGGGTGTCGTGCATCGAGTGACGGAAATCATTCTGTTTGTCCCGGGGGTTGGCGCCAAATCAAAGAAACGCGACTCGCGAATTACGATCAACAAATTATCTCAGAATAACCTCTTTCAACCAACTAGAGAAGGCACCATTTAGAACTTCGAACAATCGCCCTCACGAGGAGCAAGATGGCGGCCAGTCTCATCTACGTCACAGCCTTAACAAATCGCTTCAATCAAGCTGCGGGTGTCTCTCCTTCTTCGACCCTAATCGCGTTCGGCTCCTCCGGATCGGTCGCGTTATGGGAACTTGAGGTGAGTTATCATTACTTGAGAATACTCCAAATATCTTTACACAAAAATAGGATTCCGAGGACACTGGGGTATCGGAGACCCTGCCAGGAAAACAAGGATTGATAACCTGTGTCAAGTTTCTTGCAGACGATATATTGCTCTCTGCGAACGATATGGGAAGCCTTAGTGTCTGGAGACGAGAAGAATCCCAGGCAGGCAAGGGCTCCTTAATCTTTATTCAAGAGACTGACGCGACTCCTCTTTCAGTGGACGATCGCTTCGACCGTGCAAGCGCACACTAATGCGATATCAACACTTTGTGCCTTCGCAGACGTTATTGTTACTGGGGCCTCAGACTCGCTGGTGAAGATATGGAAATTGAGTGATGTCTCTGGAAATGGTACGAGGCTTACGCCTGGTTTACTTCGTTCTTATTGAATCTTCATCTACAGTGGAAATCACTGAATCGCAAACGATCAATCTGAAGGGCAAGTTGCCCCTGGTATCGGCTCTAAGCAGTCTTCCTCAAACCAATGGTAGATCTCTGGTTGCATACTATTCGTTTTCTCATCTTGATTCCCTTCCTAGCGTTACTCTTAGCAATCGCCGGAACAGACGCCAAAGTTCAGGTTTGGGTCCGTTCAGATGACGCTGTGAGTTGATTCACTTGATTTGCTCAGGGACACCAACAATTCTGTTAGTTCGTACACTCTGCTACCTTAGCTGGCCACGAAGACTGGGTCCGTGGTCTTGCCTTCAAGGCTCCACAGGCCCAGGAATTCCCTTTGGTCCTGGCTTCTGGATCCCAGGATGCCACCATCAGACTGTGGAACATTGAGCCTTGGAAGAAAACGACAGATACGAAAACAGGAACTTCTACCGACCTCATTGATGAATTACTAGATAGTTTCGAGGCGTCTCTGGGGGATCTTGGGGAGAATGAGGAGGGAGGAAAGCAAATATCACTCAAGCATCACGTCTTGACTATAAAGACAGGTGCAGAAAGGTAGCATTTCCTTGTCAAAATTAGGCGAGGCTTCTCATTGACCCCTCACTTAGCCCTCAGCAATTCTCCGTCACCTTTGATGCCCTGCTTATCGGACATGAAGCCGGAGTTACCTCACTTACCTGGAGTCCAGCTGGATCTTCCACTCCGACTTTGCTGTCAACATCCACTGATTCATCTGTAATCCTTTGGTCTCCCTCAACGATTCTCAACACCTCGGGTGACAGTTCCTCCTCAATTTGGATCAATCGGCAACGCTTTGGAGACGTTGGTGGCCAAAGACTTGGCGGGTTTGTTGGCGGGTTATGGGCAAAGGGCGGCAATGACGCTTTAGCTTGGGGGTGGGCTGGAGGCTGGAGGCGATGGAGATGTGATTATCCTGGTGTTGCAAGCGAGTCTTGGAATGAGAGGGGAGCCATTACAGGGCACAAAGGTCCTGTCAAAGGTCTTGATTGGAGCCCTGATGGCAAATACCTCATTTCAGCAGGGTATGTATCCTGTTTGCATTGTCTTTATCTCCTGTTGAAACTTTTATTCTAGTTTAGACCAGACCACACGAATACATGGGCCTGTGCATATGCCCGGAACAGATAAGATATCTTGGCATGAGATCGCCCGGCCGCAAGTCCACGGTTATGACTTACTGGATGTTGTCTTCATATCACCCTTGAGATTCGCCAGTATTGCCGATGAGAAGGTTGTTCGCGTGTTTGAGGCTCCTCGGAATTTTGTCGAGTTGGCAGTGAAGCTTGATGTTGCACAGTTTACTGAACAAGAGGTGAGGGCATACTTGACGAAATCAAATGTTGCATGTGCCAACATCCTTTTTTTTCAGCATGAGAGACCGTTAGGCGCTAATGTGCCCCCTCTCGGACTATCCAATAAAGCCACAAGCGAAGGTGCATGCCATCCATTTACACCTGGTTGGTGCTGATGTTCACCCCATAGGTGCTCAAGAACTTGTTGGAGGATCTGATTACTCAAGGCGGCCGTTCGACAGCGAACTGGCTTCTGTGACGCTATGGCCCGAAACAGAGAAGATATTTGGACATGGCTACGAGGTGTGTAACCGATTCTGCTACTTTTAAACTCGGCTAAACCTTCCGCAGTCCATCACCCTTGGTATCTCGAATTCAAGAAAGCTAATAGCAACAGCATGTAAGGCTACCAGTGCTGAACATGCTGTTGTTCGGGTGTATGACATTACGAACTTCACTCTGGTGGGGCAGCCTCTGCAAGGGCATGTATTGACGGTTACACGGATTGCATTCAGCCCGGATGATAAGCACATCCTGACTGTTTCGAGAGATCGCTCCTGGCGTCTATTCAAGCAGCAGGCAGAAGGTTCGTCCAATCTGTCATTCATAGAATTAGTCACTTCAACTTTCCGCAGGGTATTTACCTGCTGCTGCTGATAAGTCTCATGGACGAATCATTTGGGATTGTGGGTGGTCAGCTGAAGGAGACGTTTTCGCCACTGCCTCGCGAGACAAAACGGTAGGGGTTACCTCATTTAGTCATGACTTCGTTGTAATAATTTATCCCTGGACCAGGTTAAAATTTGGAGATGTGTGGACCGAAAATGGAAGGCCGCCAATACCATCAAAACGCCACAACCTGCGACGGCTGTTGCATTCTCGCCGGAGAACGCACAGAACAGGTAATTATTGCCTTTTATATTTAAGCTCTGATCAAGTAACTTTTTCTCAGGCGGCATCTGGCCATCGGACTCGAAAGCGGTGAAATTGTAATATGTTCAAGCCTAACAGAGACTCCAGGAGAGTGGCGCCTAGATGATACTATAGACTCAAAGTTGGTATTCATTGTCGACTATATGTTTCGCGTCCTAACTTTGGCATGACAAGATTGACTCATGTGGATCATATCCACCGCATGGCCTGGAGACCATCTGCAACCGAGCATCACGAATTAGCAACTTGCAGCGAAGATGGGACACTACGAATCCTAAGAGTGCGGTTGGCTTCAGATTAGAAAGCTCCAACTATTTATGTGACTAGAGATACGAACGCGAGGCAAGTTATACAGTGTGTAATGGGAAGAAAAGACTACACCGGACGAAGACAGTACGGAAACATTTGAGAATAGGGGCGATGTGGGTGCTATGTACGGGTATAGGACACCAATTAGCAGTGCAGTTCAGCAAGAAATAGCAGGCAACATAAGAACAGGGAGTGCACAGTAGGGATACAAGAACGTGTTAGGTCAGGCAGGCAGGTCATTACTTAAACAATGTCACGGAGACTCATGGGAACTTCAGGCTATAGAAAAGGGTGAGGAAGAAGATCGTCGTTAGGGTGTGGAAACTCACGCATTTGATTCTGTAAATTACGAAGGGTATTAGTAAAAGAATCCAATCAAGGGGAATAGGCAACTGACTTGTAAAAACATTCTATAGATCGCAACATTTCGACATCTCCACCAGTGGCAGTAACAAAGTTAACAACTACACCGGCGCGTGCGTAGTTGGAAGCGATTGCAGGAGAAACGCTGATACAATTGTCAGCACGGAAATTTGCTATCTAGTGGAGAATTCTTACCGGTGAGAATATTCTTCAACAGCTTTTGGTAAATCTATCATGAAAACTCGTTACTTCACATGTACGCCAGTGGGCGAGGAGAAATATACCGTAGTTGATGACGAGAGGGACGTGGGGAATTTCATTATTCTTCAGCTGAACGTCGTAAATAACCAGAACCTTGGTATTGGGCTGACGCAAGGCAACGGAAGAAGTGGTCCTGAACTTGTTCAGTGCTGCCACCCGGGTCACGGCATTCATGTCGCCATGCTACACGCAATTTAGTCAATACAAGTTCCTGAGTGCATCATTAAGACAGGACTCACTAGCGGGAGGGCTTCTAGTCCGCGGCTCGCAAGCTTGTACACAACAGAATCCAGCGCAGTCATTCCACCAACATGGACAACAGCCTGACTGACTTCGACATCATCAAAGATATCGGCCAAAGCATCGAGCTTCCACTCGCGTGCTTGCGTAGTTTCTGCACTAGAAGCACTCCTCCCAGAGCCGATAATCCCCAATCCGCCCCCAGCCGACGAAGCCAAGGGGTCGGACCTTCCACCCGCGGTAAAGGCGAGGTAGAGGTAGAACTGGCGCAGACCACGAGAACCTTGACTGACTTCAGGATTCGCGACGTTTCCGTCGCGTCGGACAAGAACACGAACGGGTTCGCGAAGTTGGATCGCTGATGCGAGATTGAGAACATCTTGAGGAACTGTGTTGGAGAATAGCGCTGTTTGACGTTCGATAAGCTGAGACGCAATAGCAGCAGTTGGAGGGGTAGAATCGCCTGCAGGGCCGGGCGAAGGTACTGCGGCCGAGAACCTGCGTCCTGAATTGCTTTGGAAAGGGGTGATGACTGGGTTACCAGGCTCGAACGGCGAGGTGAATGTGGTCGAGACGGCAGCAGGCGCAGCCGGGCTCGAGATAGTGGGCGTACCGGTGGGGAGGGGGCGAGAACGCGGAGGAGGCAGTAATTTTACAATGCTGAAGACGAATTCGTGAAGGTTTCGAGCGATCAACTGGTCGACTTCATCAAGTACAAGGAAGCGAACCTCCGAGCCAATCAAGCCGCCAGGGGTGGTGAAAAGAGCGTGAAGTTTCTGGGGTGTTCCGCAGATGATATGAGGCATGTTCTGTTGAAGAAGACGCAGTTCTTGGGCGAGATCGGTGCTGGCGGTACTCGCTCCGACACCCAGGGCAGACCTAACACCGATGGGGCCGCCGAGATCTCGAATCATGCGCTGAGCTTGAGTCGCCTGGTCGACGGTCGTAGACACCATGATCACGAGTGGGCCGCGGTTCGGACGAGTGCCCATGTTCGTCACAGCCACCTGAATCGCGGGAATGACATACGCTGCGATACGCTCTTGGGTGGGAGGGGCTTGGGCGATGATATCAGCTCCTCGGAGCAGGAAGGGCAATGCTCGTTGCTGGATCTTGTTCGGAGGACCGACGCTATTATCGGATCAGGACAGAAGCAGAAATCAAGAGCACAAGGTATGCATACCCAAACTTCGTAAGAGACCTCAACAGTTCTGGGGCCAAAGATAACTGATCCCACTTAGATATGACCGGTCCATCACGAGGAGATCCGGACCAGTTGTCGCCCTGCGCGTCAAGCATCTGGACGTGGTAGAACGCACAATGAGTCATTCTCCTCGAAGGCATTAATGATAGATGGGAACTTACGCCTGAGGAGTCGCGTCTAAGCAGCCCAGAAACAGAACGACGTTTGTCGCGTTGCATGGCGTCTTGACGGGCCATGTTGTCAACCGGGCGAGCCATCTCCAAATTTCCTGCAGACCAAGTACGCATGGGGGCATTCGGCTGGCGAGAGGCAGGACGCATGTCTGGACGGTTGGGTAAACCATGGCCGAGCATTGCTGAGCTGCCGATACCTGCCGAGGACAAAATCTGGTTCGGGGCAAGGTCAATCGGTTGCGCGTTCAAACTGATGACAGAGCTGCTGCGGCCTTCAGCGAGGACGTTCTGATGCATCTGCTGCGTCTGCAACGCCAACAATTGTCCAACAGACGAGGTCAACGTGTTGAGCCTCTGCGAAATGGACGAAATGTCATCGGTGTTGGCGGCTTGGTTGGGAGCGATGTTCATGGAAGGTCGATGACTGATCAGGTTCGATTGGCTCGCGTTGGTGGCGAAGGGATCTTTGAACTCGGGTTGGCTGTTCACGCTGAGGGCCCGGTCGACCAACACGTTTACTTTGCGGTTTATATCGGACAAATCACGTTGGATTTCGCGTGTTGCATGCTCGTATCGACCAAGGCGGCCAAGGATGTCGTGGATGAGCGGAGAGGCCTGAAGACGTGCTTCAAAGTCTTTTGATTGGAGATCCACGGAGAGTGGAGCCTGGCTGATCGAATCCTGAGACGAGACGGGGGACGGCGAGGTCAATGCCGCCGCCGACCCAGTCGCTCCAGCGTTGTTCATGTTATAGACCACTGAAGGCAGGCGCTCGCGTCCCTGCTGGGGTTGATGGAACGAATGGAAAGACGAACCAGGTGTCTGGTGGCCGCTGCCGACAATCTCCTCCTCCTCGGGGGACGCAGTGTCCTCGCCCTCGGAAAGGGTGCCCAAAGTACCTAGCATACTCCCTTCTCTGACGACTCTAGCTTCAATGGCCGGATACGGTTTGCCTGCCTCCGTTTGGCGGATGGCCGGCGACTGGCGCTGTGGGATGTCCCGGGGCCCCGGAGAGGGTTGATGTCGTGTTTCCTGGGCCCTGCCCTGCGGCGGGCTGGGCGAGGACCTCACGGAGCGATAGTCCGAGGGAGAGATAGAGAGAGAGGAGACGGAACTGCGATCCTGCTCGCGAAAGACCTTGTGCCCAAGCGCGAAACCATTAGGACCTTCATCGTCGCTTCCACGCAGGCCGCCGGGGAAGAAGGGCATGGACGCTGGGTTGAGCGCAGCGCTCCTCGCCATTGTCGAAGACTACGAGGAGGGGAACAATGAGGACAGCTTGAAGAGCGGGTCTGCACCGGTATGATTGGTTAGTAAGCGGAATGGCGAGCAAGGTGGCGATTCTGACCGTTGCGTGCGTTCCGTGAGTAGGTAACTAGGCAAGTTCCATGCAGACAGCAGTCGGTTCTCTGCAGCTTGATGAAGATTGCAAAAGGCGAACTTGAATGTGAAGACGATGGCCAGGGGTCCGACCAAGGTCTGAAAGCATTACCTGATTTGATGTGGCACCCAACGGCCTACTGATCACACGCTCGAACTATAAACCACATGCCATTTCAAAAGATACAGTAAAACGTAGAACTAATAGAACAATGAGTGAAGTATCGTTAATGAAGGATGATAAGGATTGTGTGTGTAGTTGATGCAGAAGTAAGGTAGAGAGACGATGATGATCAGGTTGTCTACATAATGCACTTGGCGAACGAGAATCCCCAGCCAAAGTTGATACGGTGTCGATCAACAGACGGCTCGGTGTGATCAAGGCAGCGCTCGGTGTCGCTCTTCATTAACGGTCTGGAAATAAGCAATATCAGTCACGACTGCACAGCGCTCGGAAGGAAATAGCTTCTCACTTTGGGGCTGAAGGCGAAACATATTGCCTTTCGCAGATGCTCTTGAGCCGTTCTAGTAGATCAGGTGAGCGAGAAGATGGCGCCGCTCGAGAGAAGAAACGCACTATCAACTATATCTACGACCTCTGGCATTTCAGCAGGGGACAGAGCGACCTGAGGGGTATTAGAGCGAAAATCGAGTCAAAAATAAGGAGAGTGCTCACAGCTAAAGTGCACCCCAATAGCATCCTTCCGTGGTAGGAAAGAGCCTTGATTGCAGACTTGGGTTCCTTGAACTCGATGCTAGCGTACTGGCGATCGTTCTTCGAACTGGCCGCAGTCGGAAGAACAAGACCAGAGGGAACAGCCTGGCCGCGGCTGCAGCGGATGATGATGTCCTTAATAATACCAAAATGCTGGAAGTGTTTCTCGAGGTCGGAGGGGGTGATGTGAGATTGGAGCTGTGTGACGAGATGAACGAAGGTCTATATGGCAGGGACTTCTAGTCAGAGACACACATTACCGACAAAAACATGTTTAACGATGACGGGTTGGCGGCGCGTGGTCCCATGTTTAGCTATGTGAAGTTTGACCTTGCGAGTCTTGTCAAATTTCTTCTTGTTCTGCTCAACCTGCTCGAGCTTGGCGTCGCGTTCGCGTTCTTTTCCATGGCGGCGCTTGGGCCTGTCTGCCGGCGGAGGCTGCCGCAGGTTTACGGTGAACAAGAGACGCGTCGGAATGCTGTGAAAGTACGTACAACAGATGGGCCTCCAGGGATGATCTGTGCGGTAGACCCGGGGCAGACAATGCGCATGATGAGGCCACGGGGAAAGGTGATAATAGGGAAATGGTGGCGGGGAACTGGCCAACTTTATAGGAGCTGGGAACAAGGTCAAAGCGGCGGGGAACTGGCGCGCTTAGACGCTTGTGGTGGCGCCTACTAATGCCTGTGGCCTGTGGCCCGCGCTGGGACAATCATCGCGCGGGGAGAGCGCACTCGTCTTCCGTATTTGGCCATGGTAACCACCCGCGCAGCCACGTGCCCTCCTCTGCCACTGACATGCTCGCCAACCGCACCACCCTCTACCGCACCCTCCTCCGCGAGCTCAGGCTCTCCGTGCGCAGCGTTTCCCCATCTTGCTCTTCTCTTCTCACCTTATTGTTCAGATAGAGCCTCCTCGCCGCGTCAACAGGTCCATTGTATCCCACTTCCGGTCCATTGCCGAGCAATTAGGCAGCCACGACACCCCCCGTGCCCGTCAAGACTTTGAGAACGCAATCCTCTTCCTCAAGTCGCAGCGAGAGCACAAGGTGCGGGAGGAATACCCAGGCATGTCGCACATACTCATCTCTACCCAAAAGCGCCTTCTGGAACGATACAATCCCCTCTTCGACCTCACTGCCCAAGAGAGAATCGAGGCGACGGCCCGCCGAGTTGGCCTGAATATGCCCAAGACACCAGAGGCGTAGAGTGGTGGATGCGGCTTCACTCTTCGTGAGTTGCAGTTATAGCTGCGTCCAAAGCCCTGTACTTAGATTACACTGCACGAAACGTCATCCAATAAACAGAGCCCAACAGACGCAAAAGGATAAAGTCATCTTTCTTCACCCATGTTCCTCTCGCGTCTGCGCCAGATCTATGCTCGTTATATGCACGCAACAGTCGAGTTCACCACCCAGGTCCTGAAATGTGATCCCTCTAGCATATCCTTCCCACCTACCTCTGACCAGCCAGAAATTACTTCTCAAGAAACTCTTGACGCGTTAAAGACCGCCGTGCACAACCTTGTCGACCTCAACCAGACCGTAGTTTTCCCAACAGAAACCGTCTATGGTCTCGGTGCGCTGGCACTGGTCAGCAATGCAGCCTCCAAGATATTTTCTACCAAGGGCCGGCCGCCCGACAACCCATTAATTGTCCATGTATCCTCAATCGCTATGCTCAACTCCCTCCTTCCACCCGGCTACACCATCCCGAAAACCTACCAGATCTTGATGAAGCACTTCTGGCCAGGGGCCCTGACCCTCCTCTTCCCTCGCAACGCGGACGTCGTACCCACGATCATCACAGCCAGCCAACCCACCGTGGCCATCCGCATGCCCTCCCATCCTGTCGCCCGAGCACTCATCGCCATCGCCAATGCGCCTCTCGCAGCCCCTAGTGCCAACACCTCTGGAAAACCCAGCCCAACGCGCGCAGAGCACGTTCATCGCGACTTGAACGGCAAAGTGGGTCTCATTCTCGATGGAGGAGCATGTGGCGTCGGTCTGGAGAGCACGGTCGTCGATGGGCTGCATGATGATGGGAACGTACGGGTGCTACGTCCAGGTGGTATCACCGTGGAGGACATCGAGAGGGCGCTCAGGAAGGAGATCCACGACGTCGCCAAGGTCGCCAAGGTCCTTGTACACAAGCGCGACTATGCCGACGAAAAAATCGAAGCCGCCCCGACGACGCCAGGGATGAAATATCGACATTACTCGCCGTCCGTTCCAGTCACTCTCCTCCTTACAGTCCCAAGTCTCTCCGGCACGCAGACGTCTGTACAACTTAGTGGATACATCGACTCCCTGCAGAAAGAAACCCCCGGGAAGGATTTGAAGATCGGTGTACTTGCTGCAACGGATTCAAAGATTTGGAATTCTCTAGACTCTATAGATGGCGTCGCCTGGTACCGTTATCCACTGGGACTGATATCAGAACCCTCTGTAATTGCGCACCGCCTGTTTGACGGGCTACTTACATTAGAAAAGGACGGCGTCCAGCAGATGCTTGTTGAAGAGGTTGAAGAAACTAGAGAGGGCCTGGCGGTCATGAACCGCATTCGGAAAGCCGCCAGCGATACTATACGCGTTACGCTGAGTTGAGGTGCGTCTCGATCTCCCCTTTATGAACTTGTGCTCATCGCCTCTTGTGTAGCCTCTATAGATCATCGTTATCCGCCTTGTCATAGATTACCTAAAGTGAGCTGCACATATTTTGCCTTGTGCTTGTCTAGCGCTAATTCTCAACATCTCAGCGCGATATTGATTTTCAGATCAGTTTTGACCAGCCTCGTTGCATTGAGTGGCTTAGCCACGAGTCGCTACGGAATCGGCACGAGGCAGGTGCATCATGAGCTGCAACGCCTACCGGATAGCACGGAATGCTCTCTCTGAGGAAGCATGTGCCCTCTCGGGGACAACACTCGTTTTCATGCAGACCTTCCATGCCACGCCGCCTTTTTTTTCCTCAAAACATTATTCCAGGTAAGTAATCACCGGTCAATTCCAAGCCTCTTTCAACAATGTCGCCGATAAACGTGTTCGCGGGAAGTGCCGTCGTTGCTTTCATCTCGTCACGTGCTCTTGAGTGGAACTAAATGGATTCACCTTTCACCACCGTAGCCTCGTTCACGTTCCGAAGTCAAAGACGTAAGCCTCGTGTCGGTGACGAAGAGATGGTGCAGCGCTCGCTACTTTGTCCGGTGGGCGTCGACCTCGGAGCCAGCATATATAAAGAATATAAGCTCCTCCGCGACAATCACCCTTACGACCCGTTGTACATCGCCATTCCCGTCACAGCCTATTCCTTTCTCTGATACCCTTAGTCTCAAAATGACGTCGATATGTAAGCCCTACCTTCTCGTATATCTTTCATTTGCTAATGCTCTATCCAGCCGAAGTCAAACAGGAGGAGCGCTCTGGTCCTCTGCAGCTGCACCTGGCCGCCCCAGGTTCCATCGAGTGGAGCCCCACCTTCAAAATCTCGACACCACAACTCCCTATCCAGCCTCTCTTCCCGTCTTATGATGAGGTCCCTGTCGCCAAAGCCAACCGAGGACCATACCGACACGATCGGTCTTCCCCCTTGCTGTCCATGCCTCCTTCCCCTCCGCTTTCCTTGCATTTCCCATCCGATCCCAGTGCCTCTCGGTTTGCGTCCTCCAACCTTCTTCCTCAGCCCGACGACTCGCCTTCTCGCCACCGCATTCCTCGCCCTCCCAATGCTTTCATGCTCTTCCGCTCCGACTTCCTCAAGCGTGGCGTCATCCCCAACAACGTCGAGCGGCGCCAGCAGAATCTGAGCCGCATCGCAGGGCAGGTGTGGAACATGCTCGATCCCGAGGAGAAGGCGCATTGGCACGAGCAGGCCGCACAAGTGCTAAACGAGCACCAGCTAAAGAACCCTAACTACAAGTTCACGCCGGCGCCGCGCGGCTCGCGCCAGTCTAAGAGCAAGGCGCGCGAGGAGAATCCGGCGATGGGCGACGATGATATCAGGAGGATCCGCGAGAGATACGCACGCGTCATTGGTCCGTCGCCGACGTCGAACAGGAAGCGCAGGCACCACAAGAAGGCGCGCAGTGTCGAGGTGGGCGACCGGTTCCCTACCCAGGCCTTCCCGCCAAGCACCAACCCCGCGGTTCATACGTTCTGCTCACCTCCGCTTCCGTTGGGCTATATGCCTGTTTGGGTCCAGCATCATCAGCTCTTCCAGGGCGGGTCTTCCTTCCCCGTGCCTACGGTACCTCGACGCCCTTCCACGTCTCTTGGCTTCGCGGAATCGAAGAACGATGCCATGTCCGCTGGCGGACCACACGACGGTTATTCCGCCCCTGCTTCCCCTAACACTGGACCAGGTTTCCACAAGTTTATAAATAATAATTACCACCACACGGTACATCCCTCGCACATTTCTTTCATTCTTTTCACTTACCCATCGGCTCGTTGTAGACTCTGGGACAATCTTCTGCCCCTGTTGCTCATCCATCTCCCGTAGAAGTTAACGACGCCCTGGTTTATCCTCCATGGAACGCATTCAACTCGTCCCTCGTCGCCCCTCAGTTGTCCATCCCTGGCAGCCCAATCCACCCACAACTTGCCGGTCCTTCCGCCTCTACCTCCGCCTCCGCCCCAGCCACATGCCCGTCGTCCACCCCTCAGAGCCCCTTCATTCCCTCGCCCATCGAAGAAACCGACGCCCTCCCTACATGCTTCCTCGAGCAAACGCATGCCGCCGAAAACCACAACCCCTTCGAGGCTCTCGGGATTAACGACGACATGCTTTCATTCTTGAAGGCTCCTTACGATGATGGCCCTTCTTTTCTGTCCGACGATGCGAAGGAGCAGTTCTGGTGTCCTGGCACCGACAGCCTCGAACAATGGGACTTCCAAGGCGACCTCGACGACACCCTCACTGGCTTGTTTGCCATGGGGGACTACAAAGACACGTCGGCTTGAACGTCAATGATGAACGACTCGGAACGAACAAACGACTCTCACGACCCCTCTATATCGCTATATCTGTACCATCTTTTGGAACATCCTACACTCTTGTATTTCTAGCCTGCTGTTTATAGAATGTCTCTGGTAGGCTTCTTCGTTTTCGCTTCTTGTACATAGTTGTTGTGTTTCGGTCAGCGCCATTGCTTTCGTGTTGTAGAATTGCTACTTATATTGTGATAGACTTACTGCATCTTCGTTTTACTGAAATCAATCACTTTCGATCGAAGACTCGGCCAAAGATGGAGTGAATTGAGTGCGACGCATAGATGGTAAAAAGTAAACTTCGAGAGTTAGACCGCGGTAACCTTCTCCACAAGTTGTTCCACCCGTGTATCTAAAGCCTCTACCTCAGCCTGCAGCGCGGGGTCATTGACTCCAGGGATACTCATTACGCTGGAGGGAAGGTGGTAAGCGACGGTCGTCCCAGACCCGTCGGGCTTTTCGAGGACCAAAAAGCGAGGTGGGATGTTGTAAGCTGCAAATGGGTTGTGCTTCATGATTTGCTGGGCGAAAAGCGGGTTTCCGATGGTATACACGACGACGGTGGGTTTCTTGGTGCCCTCGAGAAGCTCCATGACTCCCGAATACGGAAGCTGCATGAAATACCTGTCGTACGCACCTCTGTCAACTAGAAATACAGGAGTAACCTCGAATGGGCGTACAAGAAATCTTTCCCCTTCGTCACATCGTTAACGAGGGAGACAAGCTCATGCTGGTGGCCAACTTCCTGGATGCGGGATATAATGTTCTGCGAGGCGGACTTGGAGACCTCAGCCTCCAGACGCGCGGTGACCTCCGCATAAGGGAGGGAGGTCTCGAATTTGACGAGCTGGGCGGTAAACGGGACCACAGTCTTTGCCATAGCAGATGTGCGGAAGTGGGTGTCTTTGTTGAATACCAGTCGAGTGACCCAGCGCCAGTTTTTTATACTCGCAAGCTGCGAGGACCGGAGTACGCGAACATAGTAAAAGGAAGCGCTGACAGTTCCTTCTATTTTAATTTGATGTATGGAGAGGCAGAGAATTTATATATCCGCTTCATAGCTTGGTCGGAAGGCATAAATGAGGTGGGAGGAAGTGGAAAACAGCGGCGTCAGGGGCACCACGCGCTCGCCCCAAACGGTCGGATGACATAAGCGAGATTTTGGCGACCAGTGCGAAGGTAGAAAAGCGCACTGAACCTCCATCATCTTCCAAGCGATGATTTAAATCTCCCATCTATTATGGCTCCCGTATCAAAGCTAGGAAAACTCACAGTGGACGACTTATTGCGGCATCAAGAAGAACCTATGAGAAAGAAAAGAAGACTTGCTGAACCCGAGGAAGAGAGGTCTTTAGATTCAAACTCGGGTCCCGACTCTGGTGCTTCAGATCGCGACACCGACAAGCCCGTAACAGGAGACCGTCTGGATACAGATGATGATGATGACGTGGAAGAAGAGGACGAGGACGAACTCTCGTCAAGTATCAAGGATGGTTCATTGGATGTCGAAGACCGCTTTGCATTCAAATCACGGGCATCCCAGCCTTCAAAACGCGATACAACTCAATGTTCTCAAATACCATCCTCGTTCACCTCTCTCGGGATCTCTCCGCCGCTACAGGCCGCGCTCAAGAGCATGTCAATAAAATTACCTACGGAAGTCCAGGCGGCATGCATACCACCGCTTCTGGCAGGCGAGTATTACCCCCCTTCTCTGGCAGATGTCAAAGCTGACGTGCCTTCTCCTAGGTAGGGATTGCATAGGCAACGCAAAAACGGGCTCAGGGAAAACAATCGCGTTCGCACTCCCAATTCTCCAGAAACTCTCTGTTGATCCATATGGTATTTTTGCTCTGGTTTTAACGCCTACGAGGTGAGTATATGTGTCCCGGAAAGACATGTTGTATGACTCAATTCCGGTACAGAGAACTCGCGTTCCAGATATCGGAACAATTTGCCGTCCTTGGTGCGGCGTTGAACATAAGAACGGCTGTGGTGGTAGGAGGCATGGATATGATGGCTCAGGCTCTGGAGCTTGGCAATCGCCCCCATGTTGTTATTGCAACTCCAGGACGAATAGTGGACCATCTACGGAGCACAAGCGGAGAGTGGGACTTTTCAAGAGTTAAATTCCTCGTAAGAGATTTACTCTCACATTTTCTTTCTATTTCTCAACTTGGCTCGATTGAGGAAATAGGTCCTCGACGAAGCTGATAGGCTTCTAACCCCCACGTTTTCTCAGGAGCTTGGCTATCTGTTTAACGCTCTGCCAAGAGACAGACAAACCTGTCTGTTCACTGCAACCCTGACGCCTTCGATAGAAACCTTGGCGGAAGCGCCTCCCCGGCCAGGGAAACAGATGCCATTTATTCGCCGGATGAAGGAAACGTGAGTAACCGTAATCGTCATCCGAATGTTCTCCTCTCATTCCGTACAGCGTTGAGACAGTATCAACCCTAAAGCAACATTTCATCCTAGTCCCCTCGCACGTTCGAGAACCGTATCTCTACCATTTGTTGTGCAATCCACCAGAATCAACCGTGCACCTTCGCCGAGCTCCTCCAGAACCTGTGAAAGCAAGAAAAAAATCGAAGTCGAATCCTAAGACGAAGAAGGCCAAAACAGATCATGCAGAAGACGAGCCCGAGCAACCTCCGCCCACAATTATCTTCTGCGCTAAACCACGAACAGCCGCATATTTAACTGCCCTCCTCAAGACTCTGTCGATCCGGAGCACGGCCCTACATTCTCGCCTTACTCAGCGAGAACGATTGTCTTCGTTGTCCTTGTTTCGCGCATATGTCGTGCCAGTCCTCATTTCCACCGACGTTGGGGCGCGCGGTCTGGATATCGAAGACGTCGCCATGGTCATCAACTGGGATCTTCCGAATGAGCCAGAAGAGTATACTCATCGTGTTGGAAGAACGGCTCGTGCTGGGAAAGGCGGCGTTGCTGTTAGCTTTGTGACGGAGAAAGACGAAGAACGTGTTCTCAAGATTGAAGATCGAATTAGTAAGCTACTCAATCGCCATTGCGGGTTCGCTAATCCTAATCTTACTTGGCACAGAAACGAAGTTGGAAGAGATGAGTCTACCGGAGGATAAAGTCCTTGAGAAATTAAATGCGGTGTCAACGGCGAAGAGGTTGGCTAACATGGAGCTCCATGACTCCAATTTTGGCAGACGAGAAGAAATCCACAAGATCAAAAACGCCAAACGTAGAAGGCCTGAAGAGGTTGCGGGAGTCTAGGCTCAGACAGAGCAACGGACGACGATTCGGAATCCTGCGATCAGGACCGACGACCGTTAAGCCCATATTAGCCGCCGGTATCTCTTGGAAGCGCTGTCTACTGTAGCAGCATTTTTTACCGTGTCGAAATGTAGATATAGATCTCATCGGCAACACGAGGTGCTTGGACATGGGAAATTTACTGTGTGGAAAGGACGGATATGATGATAGGACCCCAGGATGCATTGTAGAACAGTTGTGAATCAGGATAGAACGCAATGGGCCTCCAAGGCTGAAAACAGATGATCCCCTAAAAGGCAGCGATCCCCACGAGTTGTCACGTCCACCTTCCTTCCTTACTCCCAACCAGAATGGACTCTGCGGATTGGGACTCCGTCTTCCAGTTCGTCCCCGACCCCGCCCTCGATGTCAACCACGCCGAGAAGCAGAGTGCACGCCCATTAACAGCCACAGACGCCGTCCAGGTTCCGACTCCACCAGTAAGCAGGGCGCCTCCTTCCCTTTTCATTCACTGACACCGCTCCAAAGCTCTCTCATGACGGCTCGCCTGTTCTTGACGAGCCCGCCGAGGAAAACACACTCGTTTCTGTCTCTACAACCTTCTACCCTGGCTCCCAACAGCTCGCTATCCAGCCAGACACCGTCCTCCTCTCGTCAGATAGTGTCTTTTTCTACGTTCACTCCCATATCCTCTTGGCTGCATCAGAAAACGGTTTCCGCGGTCTCCTCCCTGCTCCCCCACCGTCTTCAGAGGGCCAGGATCCCATTCTGAACGTGCCAGACAACTCGACCGTCTTGAACGTCGTGCTCCATGGCGTGTATGATATGTCATGCGCACATTACTCCCCATCGTTCGCGACGCTCGTAACCGCTGTCAACCGCCTGCCTGTGTACGGAATCTCACCGCGATCGCACATCGCGCCGACAACACCACTCTTTTCCCTCCTTCTGTCGCACGCGCCGCTCTACCCATTAGAACTTTACGCCCTCGCCGCATCATATGACTTGTACGATCTTGCTGTATCGACATCCTCTCACCTCCTCTCGTTCCCCCTCGCCTCTCTTACCGACGAAATGGCTGAGCGCATCGGTCCTGTGTACCTAAAACGTCTCTTCTTCCTACACTTCGGGCGAACAGACGCGCTCAAACGAGTCCTTCTGCCACCTCCGCATCCACACGCCCCAACCCCCTTCTGTGATTTCACCGAACAGAAGAAATTGACCCGGGCGTGGGCGTTGGCGTCCGCATATCTCGCATGGGACGCTCGGCCTGGTAAGTCTTTGGAACTCTGAGGGGCCATATTGCTTATACTAATTACGTAGACTTGTCAACAAGCACGATGGAGTCAGCTCTCCGTCCGTTAGCCGACCATTTAACTTGCGAGAATTGCCAACAAGCCCTTCGGGACCGGATAAAGAACCTGGTGGTACAATGGTCCGTTGTAAAAGTACGTGCTCTCCGAGGCTCTCGAAGTTTGTGCAAGGCTGCTAACTGTACGTTCTAGAGGACAATATGACACGTCCCCTCACACAAACAAAGGCTATCCACGAAATATGGACTAATCAGCGTATTGGCAATTATTGAAGCGTATACGACTTCGTCAAGTGCAGATCCTCCCTTTATAGGACCGTATCCGGCTGGTCCTTGATGAAAAGTTTGAACTGCATACATCTTCTCCCCGCCGGATTGTATTATCTCGAATCTGTTACACACGCGCCCATGAAGGGGATTATTGATACCCTACACCATGGTCTGTATATTGTACGATTTCCCTCTTCCTGGGCATTTCCGTTCGCTGAACTATTACTCTTGCATTTGAGTGTTTTCCACTCCTCTTAGCATTACACATGACATCTTGCTTTGCATGACTTCTCCTCCACCAGCATAATCAACACACACGCGCACCGATTCTTGTAGCCCTATGTCTCTGTATACACGTAGCGAGACCTGTACATGTACTACCATAATCCAGGATTCACGACAAGTTGCAATTTCTTGAAAACCTCGGAGTGGAGAACAATGACATCATCGATGACGCCTCTGGGGCGACCCTAACCTAGCAAATATTACAGCTCCTTTTACATGGTATATGCTCTTATTTGGGGAACAACGGGCGAGGGGTATCCGGGGTGGGCGGCTGTCCATTATCGCACCTTCAAGTCTTCGGCCAGGATCGCATCGTTCAATTCATCCAAGGGTGCTAACTCCTTCCTATCCACAAGATCAAACTGTCACAGCCTTTTAGCGCTCTACTCCCTCCATAAGCCGCGTAACACACCTCGTGTATGAAAAGGAAGAAGTGTCGATAGCTAGTATTCAGATGTGCTGTAGGACGTGAGATTACGAGTCGGCATCCACATCGCAGGAGGAAGAAAAAAGCACCTTCTATCCCAAGAGCACAGATATGATCAAAGTGGTTGCTGTATATGTGTGCATACACACGGAATAGCCGTCGAACGATTGTCTTCACTGTATCACGGAAGTTCTTGGGGAATGGAACACCTACGACAGAAACTTTGGTAAATAGCCGGACTGTTAGAACGATGAGACCTCAGGCGGCACCAATTCGATTTGGGAAAACGGCTTCGTCGTCGAGCAGATTTTGCGCCCAATTCATAAGTGCATCGACATATTCAGGAGCAGGGAGCTTGGTGGGACGACGGTATTTGACGCCGTCTTCCCACAGGTATTCGTAACTTAAAAGGCCGTCATCGTCATAGGGTATCTAATTACCAACGACGCGAGAGGGACGAACCGTGGACCGGCTGACATGATAGGACACTAGAACACGTCATTCAGAGGCACATCATAGGGGCATGTCTTGAAGGCGTACCTCTGAAGGTATGCAAAACTCGGTCACAGTTCCGTACAGCATGTTAAGATGATTGAAGAAATCGACAGCTAACGAGGGCCTTTAACTATCGGAGGATGACTGCAGGGACTGAGAGACGCACTGTGCACCGCGAGCCACTCGTTCAGATCCTCCCCTTCTGGTAGTTGCACAGCGAGCCGTAGATTCCCTGATCCCTAAACGCGTTTCCATACAGTCAGCGTCGGAAGTTACTCTCACTGGTGGCCATGGTCGTGCTGGAACTTGATCATACC